TGCTTGCATGACGGAGCTAGCATCTGATTCCTGGTGTAGGAATTAATCTCAACAATCTGGATGTGCAGCTGTTTTAAATTAGTGGACTACGTGTGAGGATAAATTTATCACCTGAGTCCAATGCCAGGGTGTATACTTGTCTAGGATTAACGATATATAACCTTGTCACCTCCAAATATTTTGGACTACAACTCCCATCATTTCTGACCCAATGTTGGGCACGTTGGGTGGGGTCAATGGGAGTTGTGGTTCAAAACAGCCAGGTTGGGGGAGGCTGTGTGTGGGTATCAGTCTGTAGTCAGCTGCACCTATCAGTCTGGCTTTGTTGATCTCTTTCATTACTTCATTGGCTGGTTTGAAGAATGCATACAACAAATAGTTTAGGTGTGAGGCTGCTGTCCAAAGAATAAGGGCAAATGCAATTGCATCGTAGGACTTAGGCATTCTGTTGTGTGTTATGGGTGGTCACTGGAGCTGTGGAGTTGTGCACACTGTTTTCCAGTATAAGATGGTGATTAAGAGGTCGTTGTGTGGTTGCACAGTAGTATCCAGAAAGTGAACCAGACGCCTAGACTGACCTAGGTGCAAGCAGGTCAAGTCCTAGTGGAATTTCTCAAGATCCTCCTTCATATATGCAGTGTACAAAAACACACCTTAGCGGGTCAAGGAAAGGACTGGAATGCTGGATCTAAAACATTTAAGCTGGAAGGAAGCATTTAACTAATGAAAAGTTGATGAAACCTCAACAGGTTGCATTCAGCAGAAGTCAGCAGAAGAAGGGCCATCCAGGAAGCTTGTAGGTTTCTCTCTCTGTCTACTCTTTCTCATGCAGATAAGACAAACTGACCTACAGCATAATCTCAATATTTACTTTGTAACGCACTGGCTTTTACAGGTCACTGATAGTGATTTGACAAACTTTGCTTCATGCTCTGGTTTCTTCCCTGGGTGTTTCCAATGCATCCACTTCTAACACAGGGATTGACAAAGTTTGGGTGTCCAGGGAAGAACCGGTCCGCCAGTGGGGTGGGGTGAAGCATCTGTCTCAAGTAGCGGAAGCACAAGCGGTGGTGTCGTCCCCCCCCCCACTTCCGCTGCCTTGAAGAGTCTTCTACCCTCTCACCAAGGGTGGACAGAGAAGATGAGTAGGGACACCTTAAGGAATACCCTGGCCCTTGCCAAGATCGGTGAGATCTGGGGCATTCTTGCACACAGTGTTTCTATTCATATTCCCATGGGCAGACAAGACAAGAAGAAATGCATGCAATTTGGCAAGAGCCAAGGCATTCCAGTGATGGTGGCATGGCAACAGTGGAAGTTGGTAAGGAGCAAGAAGTCATACCGTAATTCCTGTTTCTCCACCTAAGGCCCACCCCTGCTTTGGATAAAGGTGTGGCAGTAGCCAATCAACAAGACATTGCGCAGAGTATAATTAATACTAATCCTTTCACTGTAATGCAGGTTGGTCAGTATTTTTATTTCAATCTTAATTGTTGAGAAACTGAGGTAAAGATCACAAACAATCCATTAAATGGATTCCAGAGCATGGTGTGTGTAACCAAGAGTTCCTGACACTGAGCAGGACTCTAATCCAACCCCCAGACTGTCTCCCTACTTTTGATCCAGCTAGCCCAACCCATTGGCTGGTCAGCTCCTCAGCTACCATAGGAATGGTAGGCTCCGGAGGTGGTGTGGCAATGGGCACTGCTGGTTCTCCCTGCCTCTCTGAGATGCCTGGGAGTGCTGGGATGGGGTCCTCATCTGAGTCACTACCCAGTCTGCTTCCGCTCCCCACCTTGGAGTCATCTTCCTCTTCTGACCACGCATGCCACTCCTGCGCTGTCCTAGTTGGTGCCACAGCACCCATAACACATAGCAGCTGAAAATGGGGATAATACCATCTTATGGCTACCCAATGTAACTTTTAATACATGAAGAGGGAGAGAAAAGGACTGAATGGGTTCAGAAGCATGGATGTATCCAAGAGTTCCTGGAACTGGGCACACTCTGCTGGCTTTTTGGATCTAGGGCGAAGGTTACATTCTGTCCCAACTGTTTACATATGTAGATATTTCTAAGCTACACTGCAGTGTTTTGAGCCCCATGAAACCTTTGGACAGATGAGATTTCTTAACTATGATCATAACAACATTGCCACGTTTTCTTTCATAAAGATCAAGTTCTGTCCAGTTATATGTTTTGTTGAATATCAAGGAACTGTGAAATGTCTAAGGAGACAGTAGACTAGCAGATAGCACTCATAAGTTAAAGAATTATTTTAATCACTCTTGAGGCCTCAAGAATTTCCAGTACAGTATAAAGAAATGTACACTCTTCATTCCCCCCCACCCAATCCTGCCACTGCAAATCCTCCTAAATATTGTCAAGCTTTATTATCCTGTAGGGGTGTGTAACCCCTCCAGTTCAGAGACCTGATACAGCCCCCCTTAAGCAAATTTTCTGGACTCCCACTGCTTTTTGTAGCAGCAGCAAAAGGACAATACTTTGGTGGTGATGCACAGTCCAGCACCCTGATGGGAATACAGATCACCTCCTCCCTGGTCATTAGATCGATCATGTGATGAACAGAGGAATGATACCCCCTCCCCAGGTGCTGTCCACAGAAGAGAAAGCTGCTTGCTTCTGATTCTATCCCCGCTCTCTCTGTGGGTGGCATGCAGCCCTTGAAGGCTGGGGCCAAGTGTGAATGTGACCATTGGCAAAAGCAAGGTTGTTAGCGACGCCTTCACTTAGGAAGTCAGAGAATGCCGGAAATAATTAATGAGAAGCTGCCTATTTTCCTTTTTGTGGTGGTGGTGGTTTTTTGTTGTTGTTTAGTCGTTTAGTCGTGTCCGACCCTTTGTGACCCTATGGACCAGAGCACGCCAGGCACTCCTGTCTTCCACTGCCTCCCGCAGTTTGGTCAAACTCATGCTGGTAGCTTCAAAAACACTGTCCAACCATCTCGCCCTCTGCCATCCTCTTCTCCTTGTGCCCTCAATCTTTCCCAACATTAGGATCTTTTCCAGGGAGTCTTCTCTTCTCATGAGGTGGCCAAAGTATTGGAGCCTCAGCTTCACGATCTGTCCTTCCAGTGAGCACTCAGGGCTGATTTCCTTAAGAATGGAGAGGTTTGATCTTCTTGCAGTCCATGGGACTCTCAAGAGTCTCCTCCAGCACCATAATTCAAAAGCATCAATTTTTCGGGGATCAGCCAGTGGTGGTTTAGGCTAGCAGTTTAAATGGTTCCTTTGCACGGTTGTTTGCATTGCTGATTCAAAGCCAAAGATTGCACTCCAGCTTGCTGAAATGTGTTTGCTTAATGCTCAGGGTGTTTTACAGAGCGGAAGCCCTGCAGTCAGAAGAAAGCATGTCTGAGTTTAACGGAGGGGACTCCCAGGAAGCTCATGCTCCCTCTGCAGTGTATTGTGCTCCTTACTGCTGCCTTGAGGACCTTGAGGATGAAAACGTCCACATTTCCCACCACACCACTAGTGACCAGCTCTTTAAGAAGAGCCTGCTGGTCCAGGCCAATGATGACCCACCCTGTCCAGCATCCTGAATGAATTTGCCTAATTTGCCATCCAGGTTGGTGGTCAGCCATGGTTGCTGCGGGAGCCAATTCCGCAATTCTGTCTCCTTCGAAGACAGAGGTCCTTTGGCTGGGTCGGGACGATATGGGATTGGGGGGGGGGAACTCCCATCTCTTGTGGGGGTGCAATTAGTGCCAGCACAGTCCGTTAAGAGTTTGGGTGTAATCTTTGACACCTCTCTTTCCATGGAGGCGCAGATGGCAGCTATAACAAAGGCAGCATTTTTTCATCTCTGCTAAGCTAAGCAGTTGGCTCCTTACCTCTCTTGCCCTGACCTAACCACTGTGATCCACGCGATGGTCACCTCCAGACTGGATTATTGTAACTCGCTCTACGTGGGGCTGTCCTTGAGACTGACCCAGAAACTCCAGCGGGTGCAGAATGCCGTGGCGAGACTCCTTACAGGGTCCTCGCTGCGAGATCACATTCACCCGGTGCTATACCAGCTGCACTGGCTCCCGGTGGAGTACAGGATCAGGTTTAAGGTGCTGGTTTTAACCTTTAAAGCCCTATACGGCCTAGGACCCTTGTACCTACAGGACCGCCTCTCTTGGTATGTCCCACAGAGGAACTTACGGTCTTCAAACAAAAACATCTTGGAGGTCCCAGGCCAGAGAGAGGTTAGGCTGGCCTCAACCAGAGCCAGGGCTTTTTTGGCTGCGGCCCCGACCTGGTGGAGCACTCTGTCACAAGAGACTAGGGCCCTGCAAGACTTGACATCTTTCCGCAGGGCCTGCAAGACAGAGCTGTTCCACCAGGCCTTTGGCCAGGGCGCAGCCTGGCTCCCTCCTTTGGCAATCTTCACAGAACTCTAGCCCAATGGTTGCCATCAATTTGATTGGAATTAATTTTATAATGAAATGATTTTAGAATGTTGTATTATTTGATTGTTGTTAGCCGCCCTGAGCCCGGCTTCGGCTGGGGAGGGCGGGATATAAATAAAAATTTATTATTATTATTATTATGTGTGAGGAAATGTTTTCCTTCGCTGGTCCTAAATCCTCCCAACATGCAGCTTCGTTGGGTGTTCACGAGTTCTAGTATTTTATAAAAGAGGAAGTAAAACTGCTCTCTCGATCCATTTCCTCAGACCTGGCGTGACTTCATACCTCCCCCCAGGTCGCCTCTTGCTCGCGTTTTCGCTTGGCTACCGAGCCCCAAGGCGGTAACCCTTCTCCATCCCCGTGACTCTCTTCCTCCCCGCCCCCGCCTGCATTCTTTGACTACAGGCGGAGGCCATCCCGCCCCGCTTCTCCCTCCCGTGACCTCCTTCTGCTCTCTCGCAGTCCTGCCCCTCGCCGGCTCCGCCTCCTCCTCTCGCCCCGGGGCTTCTTTTCTCAGCAAAACGATTCGCTTTCAGGATCAGAGCGACGCTGTCCGCGCTCGGCGACGATGGGCTTTTGGGCGATGGCTCCGGAAGGCGAGCGGCTCTTCTCCTGGGCGCTTGCCCTGCTCGCCGCGCTCGCCACGCTGCTGGCCGTCTTGCTCGCCCGCTTGCTGCTCGACCAGTACTGGAAATACAGGGAGCTGAAGCCCATCCCGGGGATCAGTCCCTGGTACCCGCTGCTGGGCAACGCGCTGCTCTTTGAACGCGGTGGGGAAGGTAAAGGCCGACGGGGGGTGGGGGCGGGAAGCGGCTGCAAAGCTTGGCAAGAGTTTTCCGAGCGGGGAAACGAAAGTAGCCTGGTTTCTCAAGGTTTGGAAAGAAGCGTCTGTCGATCGTAACTTGTATACTAAAAGCGGCGAACAATACACAATACACGCTTTCTAGGATAGGCACCGAAAAGATACAGGCACTGTACCTTTCCTTGTATCTCTTAATTTCAGTAAGGTGAGATGCCCCACAGTCATGTTCTTGTTTGAGGTGTGGCTGAGATGCAGCCATCCATCTTTTTACTGCAAATGTGTGAGTTTATGCTTTCCCGGAAAAGGCTGGTTTTTACTTTAATATTCTTTAAACTTTTCTCTTGTATTCCACACTGCACTTGTGAACAGGGGTGCCAACTTGAATAAAATATTGGGAGGGCCCAGGTAAGCCCAGCCTTACATAATCGATCAAAAGATAAGGCGTACACGCATCATTCGAATGGCAATGCCCACCAACTTGGGGGGATGCCCCCCTCTAATAATTTATTGGGGGTATCCTAATAAGTCTCCGGGCTTCTCTTCCAAAACTAGGCAGGGAGGATGAGGATAAGGGGAAAAGTAGAGGGAGTTTCCTCTGCCTGTCATTGGCTCTGACTCCAGCTACAGTTGGGTTCCCCACCTTCTGCCCCACCAGCCCCAGTGAGAACTAACCTAGTGCACTGGCTGTCTCTTAACTGTGTATTGGAACGCAGCTTTCTTAGAGGCCTCTCAGGCATTGTTCTTGAACAGAGAATTGCAACAGGAGAAGAAAGTGCATGGAGTTTGGCCTCACCATCCTGGATCAGAACATCACCAGCACTCCACACCACATGCTTGAAGTGGTAGGTGATTTTTTTTGCCTGGGTTCCACCATAACAAGCAACCTCTCCACTGACCATGAGCTGGACAAGCATATTGGCAAGGCAGCTATGTCAACGGCACACCTCTCCCAAAGGTTACTGGAGAATGTGATGCTAATGTCTAAGACCAATATGAAGGTCTACCAGGCTTGCATGTTGAGCACACTGCTTTGTGGAAGGTAGTCGTAGGCAGCTTACAGCTGCCAGGAGTGATGCCCCAATGCCTTCCACATGCATTGCATCAGGAATATTTTGGGAGTCACATGGAAGGACAGAGTCTCAAACAAAGATGTGCTCTCCCAGGCCCATGTTCCCAGCATGTTTGCACTCCTGTCTCTGTCGACTTGGTCATGTCCACAGAATGGAAGACGGCAGGACCCCCAAGAATCTGCTCTACAGACACCCAGCCCATTGGCAGACCAACTCTGTGTTGCAAACGTGACGTGAAGACTGGCAGCATCAACCCCATTGTGTTGGGATCTCTTGTAGATGATTGCAGTGTCTGGAAACAGACAGTCATGTCATGCATTCACAGCAGTGACCAGAGGAGGAATGACTGCTGGGAGGAGCGCAGAGAGGAAAAATGTCACGGTGCACCTGTAGCAGCAAAATCAGATGCCTTCATCTATCTTGCCTGCAATAAAACATGTCCCACCTGTATTGGTCTCTACAACCACAGCAGGTGCTATAATTCTCCAACGGTTTGACTTTACCCCCGAAGGCGCACAGTTGCATTGTCTCCCAAGACAGACAGATGCCAGGAGAAAGAGAAAGTATCATCAACTCCCCCCTGTGTACTGGCCCCAATGAAAATGGGGCTGCTGCGTTCAACTTCCTCTCTTATGTTTTGGTCTCATGTACCTCAACATTCTTGCACCTTGGTTTTCCTGAACTGAGTGGATATGTCTTAAAGGACATTCTCAGTACAGTGAGCTGAATGCATTTAAAATGTTCCCTATGGTTAGGAACCTGCATGCCTGAAGCTTTTTTATTTTATTTGAGGAGGTCAGGGATGTTGTGGACAAGGCTGGTGCATAGAAAGGGGCATTGCGAAAGGGGAGCTGATATGTATATAGCTTCAAGCCCCCTATTCATGTTGAGATTCCTTCTTCAAACATAGAATCTGCAAAGGGCTTAGGAGCAAGTTCAACTGAATGCTGTTTTACTTAAAAGTAAGCACTGCAGTTTTCAAAATAGTTACATGAAATCTCCTAGGTGAATCAAAGTGTTTCCAAACAAAGTGTGTTAAGAGCATGTTACATAAAGTAGCTACATTAAGAGCAGGAAATCAAATACTTTAAGTATCTATCTTGGGAACTGAGTAAATTGGTATGGTTAGAATTTTTTAGAAGTATTATACATTTTTTGCCTCCTGAGCAATTCTGCAATGCTGAATATTCTGCCTACTGTAGTAGACATGTTTTTTTGACAACTACCAAACTTAGAAATGTGAGCTGCTGCTGTTCTTCTTCTTCTCTGTATATAAAATGTGGCATTCTTTTGTCACATTTGCCACAATGTATGAATTCTTTTTCCAGCCTAGGAAAATGTCACTTAATTGTTTGGTTGCTGAATCTGAAGAGAACTCACTGAGCCCAGTCTTGATGGTCCGCCACTCAAAATTCCCCTCTCCACTTACCCAACCAGAGTGCCAGCTGTTGCTTTTGGGCCTGAAACTTTGTTTTGCAACACCCACATTCTGTGAAATGAATTATCTGCTGTTTGCATAAACAGAAAACATTGATCATGTAAAACACCACACAATGAAGGGGTTTCAGCCTCTGTTTCAACTGAATCAGCTTTAGCAAAATCTTTTACAAGCATGGTTATTACTCCATTACAGGATGGGGACTGTATTTGCAGAGGTGCAGATGTATCTTCTCCTATCATGGCTGGATCAGCTGGCCAGTTATATAGACTTTCATTAGAAGAATATATGACAGGACCTCTTTGCTGGGCTACAACATCACCTGCCTCATCTATTGCAGTCACATCATTTTAAAGGACTAAGGGTGTCTGTTCTGTTCAGGACAGATCTATTACTTCTTGAGCCATGTGATTTGCTGTTGCTTCTGGGACGCTTTCTTCAATTACATGATCACAATGATCAAATATGGATTATTTTATATGCTGTGCCAGAGTGGGGCCCACTACCCACTAACAATGGGGAGCCTCTTTATAGGGAATCACCCATGAAGAGGGGTTATTTATATGGTTAAGATGAGTTGTAAGCAAATGTAAATGTGCTCTTATACTTTCTGATGTTTACCAAAACTGATTGAGCGTGCTACATGAATTTAAACTTGATGTGAAAGTGGGAGGTTGGAATGAGTCCCTTGTCTCTTGCAATCTGAATTTAGGAAGAGGGGTCTCCTGCTATGTGTTGATCTTTGCTTAGAGTAGGTGCTATTCTCACGAGAACAAGTAGCATAGAGGTGGGATATTGAATTTATTATTTTCATACCTGATGCATTTCCTTCCTCCCAACCCAGCTTTCTTTAAACAGTTGATCGATTACACTGCGTTGTTATGGAATACCCCACTACTACAGCTCTGGGTAGGACCACTGCCCTTTATTATCTTATATCACCCAGAAACCGTAGAGGTGAGTCTCTCATTCTTACTCTTTACTACAGGTCTAGAGAACTCCTACCCACCAAAGGCCACATTCCCTTGGGAATAATCTGCCAAGGGGTGCATGCATGCCTGTGGTGGGTGGGGCTGAAGTGGATGGTGAATAGGGCCAAAGTGGGAGCAGAGCCACCCCATTCTCTCATGTACCATCCATTCACACGCATTGCACAAGCATGTACCTTGGTCATCCATCCTCTATTCTCGCATACGCTTCTCACTCCATCCTTCTACTTTCTTGTTAATTTGCATATTCTCTCTCTCTCTCTCTGACACACACGCACCTTCCAATTTTCTCTCTTCCCCTCTTTGCCCCTCTTCTCCCCATGGGGCAATTGGACTTAGGAAAACAAGTTTCCCTTAGTCCCCGATTCCCCCCCCCCAGGTTTGTTTTCCTAGGGTGTATGTGTGTAATTTCACCCCCCCCAAAGGGTAGGGGAAGGGTGCATGGGGAACGTTAACTCTTTCCTCCACAGCTGCTGCACCTCTCTGAAAATTGCCTTCCACTTCAATCAGGCTTAGGAAAAATTGTTTGGTGTGGATGGGAGCTAGCCCTCTCAGGCCTAATTCCATCATTGGGACAGGATGTGGATCACAGTATGTGATCCTGCTGCACGGTGCTTTTATTCTAGAAAAAAATAGGTGCCAGTACTCACCATGAAGTTGTTACAGTAAGTGCCACACTTTTTAACAGCAACGACAAAGAGGTGGCAGCGCTACTTACCCTTGAGTACCTCCTGTAAAAAAACGGAACGCTGCTGCACCTTTGAAAGAAACCACCCCCTTCATAAAGCAGTCTGAATGTGAACTCAGTCAGCTGCCTTTCATCGGAGAAGATAACCTAAAAACTCTATTCGTCTTCCAAGGCAGGTTTGCTCAGCATGTCCCCATGAAGATAAAAGTAACCCAACAGCCATAGCGTTGCCATTCTACCAGGTGCTTTATATACCTCTCCCTCTTTTACTCAGAAATAAGTTCCATTGTTTCTAATGGAGCTTGCTCAGTAGTGGGTACCTGTTTAGGTTCGTCCGCTATCCTATGCACACTTACCTGGGAGAAAGCTTCAATAGACCCTTTGGAACTTACTTCTGAAAAGACTCAGATGCAATTGCATATTAAAGGCACCAATCCTTTAATACCTGGGAGTAAGTCCTGCGGAAGCTGCTAGGACTTAATTCTTAATAAATATAATCAGTGATGCTGGATCCAGTCTTGGATCCTGCTAAACTGGAAGTACTTCTGCAACCCAAGAACAGGAGTGAGATAAATTGCTTATGTAAAGCTTGAGCTGTACAAAGTCTTGAACTTCATTTTGTACTATCAGCGCGAGGATTGTTTTCAATGCAGATATTCTGTTAATGATCCACTAGTTTGAAAACATCAGCAGAGTGCTGTTATCTTTGTTCAGTTGTTGTTTTAAGTAAATCCTATTATAGTGATATGCATTTTCCAATATATCTGTTTGGATGTATTTTTTTAAAGCAGGTGGAGGCTTTTTTCCTTGGCAGGATTTTGACAATGGCAGCTGCTAAAGGGATTAAAAAGAATTCCACCTGCCAGATTCAAGGAATGACTGGGTGTAAGGTTTCTACCACTTATGCTGGACAAAAGGATTGTCTGTGGGCAGATACGGTTGGGCTATTAGAGTGGGATTAAACTAGGCAGGGCAGCCTGGTTTTGATTTCCTGAGAGGAAGATTAGAATTCTAGAAGCGGCTAAGAGTGTTTTATGGGTGGTGTAAGACAACAGCCCATCCTAGAAGGATTTTATCTGTCCAGCGCCAGGTTTAAAGTGTGAAGTTAAGAAGGATCTTAAATACTTCATTACCAATCTGATGTCAGGACCTACCATACCGTCAGGGCATAATCAAGCTCTGGAATCTAAAGAGAAAGCAGAGGAGCTGCTAAGACTGCTAAATCAACAGCCGTCACTTTGAACTCTACTAGAATATATTTTAGATAGTGAAGGCACCATTGAACAGATAGCATTGGAGGGCAAAGTCAAGAATTTACGTTTTTTAATCTCTTCTGTTGGCAGGTTGTATTGAGTAGCTCTAAGCATATTACAAAATCCGATCCTTACAAGTTTCTGCATCCTTGGCTGGGCACAGGGCTTCTAACGAGGTAAGGAAAATACACCCCTGGAACATGGGTGCGCAGTGTACTCCTTTGTCACACCCCTTGGAACACAGTGTAGCTGGTGTGTCCAATACTGGTAGAGCTGTTAGTCCTCCTCAACAAGGAATGTGTGAAGGGAGAAATGGGACTGGGGTCATAGGTCACTCCCCCAACATTCTAGTTCCAACTCCACGTGTCCACCTCCTCCTGCCCTATTGAATATGTGAAAAGGGCCCCTCCTCATGCACAGAGGTATTCACTGCAGATGGGAGGCCCCTTTCAGATGCTGTGCTGAATATGGACTTTGGAGACGGGGCTTCGGCTGCAGTCCTGCTCCATTTTCCTCCTGTTTAGTAACTCTGCTAACTCATTTTAACAAAAAAAAATTTTGGGGGGGGGGGGAATGGCTAGCTGGGGGCAAGGAGGAATAGAGTGAACTGGAGCATTGCGTGCTGCAATGTTTTGTTCCAGGTCCTGCTTGAAGGCATTAATGCATTTTGAGACTTGTTTGTGTAGAGAAAAATAATATTTAAGTTTCTGTTTTGCAGCACTGGGGGCAAATGGCGGTCCCGAAGGAAAATGTTGACGCCCACCTTCCATTTCACCATTTTAGAAGATTTCCTTGAAGTGATGAATGAACAAGCCAATGTCCTTGTTCGGAAACTTGAAACACATGTGGACAAGGAGCCGTTTGATTGCTTTTTCTACATCACATTGTGTGCCCTTGATGTAATCTGTGGTTAGTGCTGTGGTTGCTGTCAAAGTTTTGCAGTGAATGAGGTTTAAACATCCCTCTCAATTTCTGGAAGAACTGAGCAGAAGTGTTGTTTTCCAGTGTTAATAGCTTGTTATTCATTTAAATGCGGATTCAGTGATCCACTGTGGAGAACACCAGTGGTTTTGAACCTGTGTGCCATGGCCCTCTGGGGTGCCTTGAATTATGGTCAGGGGTGCTGCAGGCAACACTGGCCTCCGTCCATCTTTTCTTCCCCTCTGATGCCCTCTCACGTCTCGGCCTCCCAAAGGCTTGTGTGGCTGTTGGTTACAGCAGGCCTGGCTACAAGTTCCCCAGGCAAATGGTGCCTCTGGGGCTGCCCAGGGATGCTTCCCAGGCCCCTGTGGGGCAGTGTGAGAAGGCACCTTTCTTTGGAATGGGGTGGGGGGCAGCTCAGAGACCAGGGGCAGCAGCTGCAGGAGAGAAGGCTGAGGGAACATTCCACAAGGGAGGGTGTTTGAAAAAGTGTGAGAGACTGCCAGCTCTGCAAGCAAGGGGTCACATAACTGGGCTCCTGAACCCCACAGGGGTGCCACAGAAAGAATGTAGTTGGTCAAGGGAGTCGTGGACTCAAAAAGGTTGGAAACCTCTGATCTACACTGATAGAGAAGGGAAATAGTTCATTGTCAAATTGTAATCAAATTGAATCACTGTTGATTTGTAGTCAGTCTGAATGCAGGTCAGGACTGGGACACAAGAACACATACTATGGGACCAAAAGGGAATCCCAGGAGACTATGACCACAGGTGTAGTATTAGTGCAATATTACTACAATTTGACCATATGGCTCAGTCCTTTGCATGCAGGGCACCCTGGGTTCATATCCTGGCATCCCCAGATGAGTCTAGGAAATACTTCTCTCTGAAACCTGGAAAGTCATTGGAAGTCAGTGTAGACCGCATTGAGCTCGATGGGCCAGTGTGTGACTCAAAGTAAGGTCTCCCTTTTATGTCCTGTTCTTGGTTTGTAGGAGCATGATTCTTTGATTGAGTTCTTTCTCTCCTGTTCCTAGAAACGGCTATGGGCAAGAACATAGGAGCACAACACAATAAGGATTCCGAGTATGTCCGAGCTGTCTACAGGTAGGTGTCAATGTGATCTCCTTTCTAGAAGCAGGGATGGTGAACCAGTGGCCTGTCAGAAATCAGAGATGCTGGTAGCTGGAGTCGAACAGCATCAGGAGGGCCACAGGTTCCCCATCTCTGCAGCAGAGCCTTAATCCATAAAAACTTTTACTGGGGGCTACATGGAGAAAAAGTCTTTTTCCTCTACCATGCAGATAGCCTTCTGCACGATAAATTTCCAAAAGCCTGTTTTGTGTGATCTTCCTCCCTGCCCCTCATTGGAGCTGAATAGCACAATTCAGGGCCTCTATGTGGGTTGAATGCTCACATAGAAGCTGCATTCACACTGCATCTTTGCAGTGGAGGAGCAGGGCACTGCTGTGGCTGTATGTCCCAAACTGGGCTCTGTTTTACATGTGAATCACTTTTCTCTGCATCTCTACATGTCACTCTGATTTGCTCAGCCTACTAGCAAAAAATTGGGCTCTTTCATGCACTTTATGGTACTTTCCTAGAAATATATCCAGCATTGTTGCTTGTTACCCTAGGATGAGCGATCTGATTCACCACAGACAGAAGTCCCCCTGGCTCTGGCCTAACCTTCTGTACCTCATGTTCCAAGAAGGGAGAGAACATTACAGGAGCCTAAAGATACTTCACACCTTTACTGATAATGTAAGCTGCTATGTTTTTCCTTAGTATTGCCTGTAGTTTGTTTGATTCCCTTCATTCATTCATCCATCTATCACAGTTTAACAGTGCACTGACCCAGCGTATCACTTATTTCAGGGGACAACCATCGCATTATTTGGTATTGCAGGGAGTGCACACATTGGATTATGCAACCTGAAAAATAAACACCTCTTTTGTTTCGCTATCTAAGGTTATTGCAGAAAAAGCTCGTGAATTAAAAAACCAGGAGCGGCATAAAAGCAATGCTGTCAGCAATGGTGATCAAAGCAAGCGCAAAGTCAGGAGAGCTTTTCTTGATATGCTTCTGAATGCCACCGATGACGATGGGAAGAAGTTGAGCTACCTGGACATCCGAGAGGAAGTGGATACATTCATGTTTGAGGTATAGAATGCCCAGTGCTGGTTTAGGTTGCAGAACTCTACCCATTTACCCAAGAGTAAACCCCATAGAGCTCAATGAACCTTGTATGAGGATTGCATTGTAAGTGACTTCCAGAACTCAGGAAATCTCCGGTTTGAATCTCTTTCCTAGCTGGATGCTGGCAACTCGGTCTCATTTAGGCCAATAACTACAGTATGGGGATAATAATTCTGACCACAGGTGGTAATTTCAAACAGAAATGAGGACCTTCAAGCCTGTGGGCCAAACTTGTCCATGCAGACCCCTCTGTCAGGGGTTCATGACACGCTCCAAACAATGCCCCTCACCAGTCCTGCTTTGCACCCTCTTGCAGTATTTTTGTGGATGCCAGGGTAGTTGGGGCTTACAAGAGCAATTTTTTCCAGCTCCCACTCCCAGTTGTGGAACTCTATCCACTAGGAGTATTTGTTCATGCCTCTTCAACTATTCATCTTTCACCAACCTGGGGAAGACAATTTTGTACAGAGGACTTTCTGTTGATTTTGGTATGGCTGGTTGACTTCTTCATCTCCTCCTACACCCACCCTTCACTGTAAAGTCCCAGGGCAGTTTATATCTAAAAAGGGATAATACAGCACATTACAGCAAATAAACCAACCCCATCCCATGCAACACAATAGATACATATAAGCAAACCAGTTTATATGTATACCAGTTGGAAGGTAAAGGTAAAGGGGCCCCTGACCATTAGGTCCAGTCATGGACGACTCTGGGATTGCGGCGCTCATCTCGCTTTATTGGCCGAGGGAGCTGGCGTACAGCTTCCGGGTCATGTGGCCAGCATGACTAAGCCGCTTCGGCGAACCAGAGCAGCGCACAGAAACGCCGTTTACCCTCCCGCCAGAGCGGTACCTATTTATCTACTTGCACTTGACGTGCTTTTGAACTGCTAGGTTGGCAGGAGCAGGGACCGAGCAACAGGAGCTCACCCTGTCACAGGGATTCGAACCATCGACCTTCTGATCAGCAAGTCCTAGGCTCTGTGGTTTAACCCACAGCGCCACCTGCGTCCCTTCCAGTTGGAATGTAGGGGGGTCCTAATGATAATAGCTCATCGGTTGAATGTCCAAGGCAAGAGGTGCATCTTCAGTGGCTACCTCACATGGAAACATCTGATGCACCTCTGCAGAGAGAGGGTTTTGGGGCCATGACAGAGGAGGCTCTGCTATGCTGCTTCTGGGCTTTGTTTTGTTTTCTGGCTTGTAATTATTTTATGTGTTCTGATTGTTTTTTGAGTGTTAGCTATGTTGAGGACTAATTTTTTAAGTGGAAGGACAGGATATAAATAAAATTAGGTGACATCCTAGAAGCAAAGTTGCAGTGCATGTTTTGTTGTTGTTGTTGTTGTATTAGGCAATCTGACTGGGTTGCCCCAGCCATTCTAGGCGGCTCCCAACAAAATATTAGAAACACAATAAAACATAGCTAGATAGGCATATCAACCATTCTGAGAAGACCTTTTCAGATATGGGAATGACTTAGGAGTGTCAGTCTGCCTTTGGCACATGGGTAGTGACCAGAGCTGGAAGAATCCCTGGCATCTGCTGTTGCCTATACACTTAAATTTTTGAAATATTCGTTCTTGTGTATGTGGCTGGTGCCTTAGAAGTTTAGATTTGTGCAAAACCAAAGGTTGTGGGTGCTAGAGGATTTGAAATATTTTGTTCAGGTCCTGGAAAGGGCCAGCAGCTGAGATTTCTTTTTGTGTGTGTGATAAAACATTAGACATTTAATTCTTTCTTCCAAGGGTCATGATACTACCGCTGCTGCCATGAATTGGTGCATTTACTTGCTTGGGTGTGATCCAGAAGTCCAAAGAAAAGTTCACCATGAACTGGATGAAATTTTTGGTGAGTTTTCCTTTCCTCTGGGTGTGAACCTGGGCAAATGTGGTGTACAGGTGTTTATCTAAGTAAATGCTCATAAATGTCGCATAATTCCTCTAACACAGAGATGGGGAACAAACTGGGCCACAAATACAGATCCCGGTTTGGCCCATGAAGCTGTTTTCACCAAACTACACCCACCTGCCCCACACCTGATGTCCTTTGTGACTTTGAGACTGGAGCAGAGGTGGATGTGGTTACAAGAGGACAATTGGCATTTTAAAGGGTGAATGACCACTGGGATTAACTGTTCTAAGGCGTTCCCAAGCATGCAAGGGGGCTCTCCATCAGTGGCCGTCAGCTGAACAACAATGTCTGCTGAGGAAAAAAGTCTGGTTGCAAAGGTGGTTTGGATCTAAAGCACATTTGCAAGTAGACCTCAAAGGGGATTCCTGTAACTGCCATTGCAGTTGATTGCAGGTTACAGCAAGCCCTTGTGAATTCTGAACGGTGGGCAGCCCCACCCAAATTGACCCGTGGTGAGGTGGTGAGAAGATTAAGGGTCTGCCCCCCTGGTCAGATCCAGTTCCCCATCCCTGTTCTAAATCAGGTTGGGAAACTATGGTCCTGCAGACTTTCCTAGAACTCCAGTTCCCTTCAACCTCAGCCAGAAGGTCCAATGTTTAGGCCAATCTCCTCTCCAGCTCCAAACATTACACCTTTTAGGTATTGGCTGCAGTGGCTTGGCCTGCACATCAAAGGCTCCCAGATAACATTCTGCAGGTTCAATCTTTGATGCATTGCATCCTGTCACTTCGCTAGACAATGATGCTGCACTGCTTTAACTCTCTTAAAAGGGACCACCTAGGAAAGAATTGAAGCTTAAAACAAAAATATGGTTTTTATTTTGCTGGCTAAGGAGAGTTATGAATGCTTGGAAGTGCTGTCCCCTAGTGGTCTCAGAGGCTAGCAATGCCTTCTGCTGACAAAAAAGCTATTCTGGAGTCAGGAGCCAGACCTCATGCTTTTTTGTGCTGTGGTCTTTGCAGCTCTAGTGTGGACAGACCTCATGCCAGCAAAAAGGAAGCCCTGATGAGCTGGTTGTAAGCATAAGCACAGAAATGATTAGTGGGTTAGACCCCACAATGCCTCCTGCTCCACCATAATTTAAAATAGGTGTCAGAATAACACACGTTTATTCTCAGGGGACTCCGATCGTTATGTTACCATGGACGATTTGAAGCAACTACGGTATCTGGATTGTGTTATTAAAGAAGCTCTTCGCCTCTTTCCTTCCGTTCCATTTTTTGCCCGTACACTGAGTGAGGAATGTTATATAAGTAAGTAATTCAGGTTGCTTAATGCTTTGATGCACTGTGGCTATAAGCTTAGTACTATTGGGGGTGGCTGTGGAAGAAGAGACTAACAAATATCTCTTCTTCTTTGGCAGGAGGGTTTAAGGCACCAAAAGGGGTTGATGTCATCATTGTGCCCTATGCACTGCATAGAGACCCTGAAGTCTTCCCAGACCCTGAGGAATTCAGACCTGAGCGATTTTTCCCTGAGAACACAGCTGGGAGGCACCCGTATGCATATGTGCCTTTCTCTGCTGGGCCCAGGAATTGTATTGGTATGTACGAGAATAAAGAAAATCTCTATCTCTTCAGAACTCCAGAGCACAGTATGCTTCCATTACTGATCTTTCAAAGGGAGATTTTTGTCATAGTAGAGTGTTACCTCCGGTTACAGACTCTTCACGTTACAGATGCTTCGGGTTACAGACTCCGCTAACCTGGAAGTAGTACCTCGGGTTAAGAACTTTGCTTCAAGGTGAGAACAGAAATCACGCGGTGGGAGGCCCCATTAGCTAAAGTGGTACCTCAGGTTAAGAACAGTTTCAGGTTAAGAACGGACCTCCAGAACGAATTAACTTCTTAACCCGAGGTACCACTGTACTTAGAGCAAGGCCTACAAATGTGTTGTTGTTGTCAGGACTGGCCCTAGCTTTAGGCAACCTGAGGTAATTGCCTCAGGCAGACAGTGCTAGAGGATGGCAAATCAGTGCCCTTTGACCAGCTGTGGTCCTGCTATTGCCCAATGAGGCCTTCCACCTTCTCCATTGCTCTAGAAAGGAAAAGGGGAGGGTAATGAGTCAGTAGTAGAAGCTGTCTAAAGGGAATGATTATCCAACAGCAAAGCTGAAAGATCATGCAATCTACTAAAGCCCCAGCAACACTGCACATCTAAAGCAATATTATACCATCTAAAATGGTGATGGCTTCTCCCAAAGAATCCTGGGAGCTGTACTTTGTTAAGGGGTCTAAGAGTTGTTAGGAAACCTCTGCTTCCATCAGAGAGCTATAGTTCCAAGTTCCCTAGGCAGAGCGACAGATTGTTAAACCACTCTTGAGAACAGTAAGTGACTGAAGTGAATGTACCTAAGTTTAAGTTATATGAATGGAGATTATGTCTATCCATAAGGAAGAACAGTAAGAGCTGTTTGGCAGTGGAACAGACTCCCCACAAGAGGGAGTGCAATCTTCTTCCTTGGAGTTTTGTTTTTTAGCAGAGTTTGGAATGCCTTCTGTCATGGATGCTTTAGTTGACATCCCTGCATTGCAGGGGGTTGGACTCGATGACCATCAGGGTCCCTTCCAACTCTACAATTCTATGATTTTATGATGCTAAACCTCTTCAAGCATTTCACACACTCCTTCCAGTGGCTTTATATACATCACCCCTCCCCCCCATACTATCTTCTTGGTAATTTTGAGTAAACATCTGAATAATAATAGAATAGTGTTCAAAATAATTCTTAAATTAATTTGACAGCCTGACCTCAGTGTCATGTGGCAATAATAATAATAATAATAATAATAATAAATTTATACCCTGCCCACCCTGGGCGGCTTCCAACAGAATATCAAAAATGTGCTTGAACATCATAATAAATACATATAATTGCTCTAGTTTATCTTGTCTTCACTTTCCAATGTATAGCACAGTTGTACCTGGATCTAAAAGTTATTTCTACACTATTAATCCACCCCTTCCAGTATTTCACTCATTCCCGCCAGTGGCTGTAAATCCATCACCATCTGTATAAGTATAGAAAAGTGTTCAATTATTTTTTATGAACCTGAGAATCTGACCTCAGTGTCACATTGCTCATACTGAATAATAATAAATATGTACAGTATTACAGTGGTACCTCGGTTTAAGAACTTAATTCGTTCTGGAGGTCCGTTCTTAACCTGAAACTGTTCTTAACCTGAGACAACACTTTAGCTAAGGGGGTCTCCTGCTGCTGCTGTGCCGCCGCTGTGCAATTTCTGTTCTCATCCTGAAGCAAAGTTCTTAACCCGAGGTACTATTTCTGGGTTAGTGGAGTCTGTAACCTGAAGCGGCTGTAACCTGAGGTACCACTGTATTTCTCTGGTTAATTGTATCTTGTCATTGCTTTCCAACCCCTCTGCAGGTCAGCGCTTTGCACAGATGGAAGAAAAGGCTATATTAGCCACCATTCTACGGCGCTTTTGTGTTAAAAGTACACAGCGACGTGATCAACTCAGCCCTGTAGGAGAACTGATTCTTCGTCCAAATAAAGGCATCTGGATTCAGTTGAAAAGGAGATCGTCTTCTAGCTCTTAAAATAAGAAACACTGCATTTGGACTACTTAAGAAGAAACACTTGATTTTCACAGCAGGACATTTCAGACTGCCCAACCCTACTAGGACTTCTTTTTGTTAACCAAAATTGTGCTGTTGCCTTTAAAAAAGTCAGCAGCTGCAATCCAGAAACTGATGCTTGTTCAATTGATGGGATATTCCAAATGACTTTGTAATTCATAGGCTTCCACCTAGGTTGCACTAGCTGATTTTTCTTATCCTAAAGAAAATGAGCAATTTGTTTTATTCTTTAAAACTCCTTTATTCATTATTTATGCACATAAGTAGGGAAATATATATACTGAAGTATGTATTTTAAGGATGTATGACTATAATAATAAAAAGTATGAATGAAATTACACCTGAGCACCAGAGCAATCTTTTCTTATTGGCTATCATGGACCAAGATGGGATTAGGACCACCTAGTACTCAAAGGCTTCACAGAAACATTTAACTAAGGAAGCTCAAGATTTGACATTAGTGAAAAACTTATCAACGTATTTATTTATTGAACAGTGATTATAAGTTATTAATTTTGTCCAAAATATTAAGAACGATTTTACAGGTTCTCAATCATCATAATCAATGTGGATTTCTGCCTAAAAGACAGTTAAGAGATAATACCAGAAATCTGTTTGATATTTTGGAATATCTGAATTTTCATAATGAGAGGCAAGCTGTTTTGGTATTTTTGGATGCAGAGAAAGCCTTTGAAATGGGTATTTTGTGTTGTTTGGAGTATTGCAAGATATGAACTTTGGAGATATCTTTATTAAATGGGTAAAATCGATTTATACTTCCAGATAGTCTAGATAAATGTTAATAAGGTTACAGGGAACCAAACAGGGGGCCTTCTTGGTAGTGGCGCCCACCCTGTGGAACCCCCTCCCTTCAGATGTGAAGGAAATAAGCAGCTATCCTATCTTTAAAAGACATCTGAAGGCAGTCCTGTTCAGGGAAGTTTTTAACGCTGTATTGCTTTTAATACTTGATTGGGAGCCACCCAGAGTGGCTGGGGAAACTCAGCCAGATGGGCGGGGTATAAATAATAAATTATCATTATTGTTATAGGGAACTGATAAAAACCCTTTGAGACACAGAAGGGGACAAGGCAAGGGTGTCCATTTCCCTTGCTACTTTTCATCCTGGTCTTGGAAGTCTTGCTTAGAGACATTAGACAAGATGAGAGAATTATGGGAGTAAAGATAAGAAAAGAAACTTATAATGATGACTTCATGTAATAATACTAGTAATACTAATAATATATTTATACCCCACCCACCTGGCTGGGTTTCCCCAGCCACTCTGGGTGGCTCCCAACAGAATTAAAAGCACAATAAAACAATAAAAAATTCCCTAAACAAGGCTGCCTTCAGATGTCTTAAGATGTCATGTTAGTTTTCGAAAATCTGCGACAGGGAATGAAAATTCTTATGGTTGAGCTAAATGAATTTGGTATGTTAGCAGGCTTTTAGGTTACTCACCAGAAAATGAAAATATTGCCAAGAAACATGTCAACAGAAGATCAGAAGGTTTTTGATGAAGAAGAAAGGGTTTCAAATTGGGGGTGGAGTAAAATATTTGGGTATTACTATGACAAATATGAATTGTATGTTGTTTCAAAATAATTATGTTAAGACATGGACTGAAATAAAAAAAGACAGGTCAAGATGGGAGCTGATAAAATTGTCATTGAGTCGAATCTCAGTGATAAAGATGAATGTTTTGCCTAGAATGAGGTTTTTATTTCAAAATTTTTGACTAATGATTTATCATTTAAACAATGGCAAAAAGTTTTTATCTGTTTTTATGGCAGAGGAAGAAACCCACGGGTTAAAATTAAAGTACAGTGGTACCTTGGAAGTCGAACGGAATCTGTTCCAGAAGTCCGTTTGACTTCCAAAATGTTTGGAAACCAAGGCACAGCTTCCGATTGGCTGCAGGAAGTTCGGGAGCCAAAACATTTGAGTCGCAAAGCGTTGGTCAACCAAGGTAGGACTGTATTGCAAGATGCAAAGGAAAGGTGAGGATTAGGCATACCTGACTTGAATTTGTTCTTTGCCGCTTGTTGCTTAGTGTGGATAAAGGATTGGGTGACACTGAAAAATATGACACACTTGGAACTCGAAGGGCATGATTTAACATTTGACTGGCATGGGTATTTGTGGTATGATAAACTTAATGTGGATCTCAAAAATCACTTCATTAAATGTGCTGTATTAAGAATCTGGAATAGATATGAACCTAGGTTATGTACAAAGACACCTTCATGGATTTCACCACAATAAGCTTCTTATATAATAATAATAAATAAATAATAAAATTTTATTTATATCCCGCCCTCCCCAGCTGAAGCCGGGCTCAGAGTAGCTAACAACAGTAAAAGTAACACAGTTTACATAAAATCACAATCTATTAATTGCAATACATTCTAAAATCAATTCATTCTAAAATCAATTCAGAATCAAATTAATGGCAACCATTGGGATAGAGTTCTATGAGGATTACCAAAGGAGGGGGTCAGACTGTGCCTTGGCCAAAGGCCTGGAGGAACAGCTCTGTCTTCCAGGCCCTGCGGAAAGATATCAAGTCCCGCAGGGCCCTAGTCTCTTGTGCCAGAGAGTTCCACCAGATTGGGGCCACAGCCAAAAAAGCCCTGTCTCTGGTTGAGGCCAGCCTAACTTCCCTGTGGCCTGGGACCTCCAAGATATTTTTGTTTGAAGACCGCAAGGTCCTCTGTGGGAGAGGCGGTCCTGTAGGTACAAGGGTCCTAGGCCGTATAGGGCTTTAAAGGTTAAAACCAGCACCTTAAACCTGATCCTGTACTTCACCGGGAGCCAGTGCAGCTGGTACAACCCCGGGTGAATGTGATCCCGCAGCGAGGACCCCGTAAAGAGTCTTGCCGCTGCATTCTGCACCCGCTGGAGTTCCTGGGTCAGTCTCAAGGGCAGCCCCATGTAGAGTGAGTTACAATAATCAAGTCTGGAGGTGACCGTCACATGGATCACAGTGGCTAGATCAGGGCAAGAGAGCCAACTGCTTAGCTTGGTGGAGATGAAAAAATGCCGCCTTTGTTATAGCTGCAACCTGCACCTCCATGGAAAGGGAGGTGTCAAAGATTACACCCAAACTCTTATTGGATGGTACTGGCACTAATTGCGCCCCCGCAAGAGATGGGAGTTGTTCCCCAATCCCATATTGTCCCGACCCAGCCAAAGGACCTCTGTCTTCAAAGGATTTAACTTCAACCGGCTCCCACATAACCATCCAGCCACAGCTTCCAAAAATCTGATCAGTGTGTCTGGGGCCAAGTCAGAATGGCCATCCATCAACAGATAGAGTTGAGTGTCATCAGCATACTGATGACAGCACAAACCAAAACTCTGGACAAGCTGGGCGAGGGGGTGCATAAAGATGTTGAAAAGCATCAGGGAGAGTATTGCACCCTGTGGCATTCCACACACCAAGGACTGGCGCGATGACAGTTCCCCCCCAAGTGCCACCCCCCAATGCCTCTGTCCCCGACCAGAGAGAAATGAGTGCAGCCATTGAAGGACTGTGCCCTGGATCCCCATGTCAGCAAGGCAGTGGTCCAGGAGTTTGTGATCGACCATGTTGAAGGCTGCCGACAGGTCTAAAAGAATCAGCAGCCCTGACCCGCCTTGATCCAGATGCCTGTGAAGATCATCTGTTAGGGCGACCAGAGCCGTCTCGGTCCCATGACCAGAGCGGAAGCTGGACTGGAATGGATCCAAAGCCGATACAGAAAAGAGGAGATAGGGAAAGGGTTGACCATGGGTAGGCAAACTAAGGCCCAGGGGCTGGATCTGGCCCAATCGCCTTCTAAATCTGGCCAACTATTAGAGTGGAGTCAATAAGACTGTAAAATTAAAACAAGGGAATGGTTAACAATGGAAGGTTATACATTCCAGTGGTTATCTCATTCACAACTAGCAAAGAGATCAAAGTTGGATGAAAGGACTAAGATTTACATTATGCTATGGTATATAGATAATATAGATATAGATATAGATATATAGATAGATATATAGATAGATGTACTATCGCTTTCTAACTCTGTGAATTTATTTAGAATGTACAAAGGTGTTGCAATTATTTGTGGGAAGCATATGAAGGGACATTTTATCATGCCTGGTGGAATTGTAAAAACAATACACCCTAAGAAATATTGGATGCAAATACATACATTGATACAGAAGATTTTAAAAGTTAACATTCAACTGAAACCGGAACTTTTCCTGCTAAGAAGAATGGATATACAATTAGAAAAGGACTATGGAATCTTATTTCAACACATGACCACAGCGGTGAGACTTTTATATGCACAAAGATGGAAAGATTCATCATACACAGCTCCACATCTCACTGCTGTATGAGTGCCTTCCAGAGCTGGGCAATGAACAAGAGTTCCTTGGTTGGAGATGATCCACTGCCACTCCTGCCCTGCCCTAGTTAGTGCAGTAGCACCCATGACACATGGCAGCCGAAACTGGAGATAATACCATCTTCATACCTAACCTAAGTAATTTTTAATATCTGTAGAGAGATGGGAGATTAAATGGATTCTGGTGCATGATGGGTGTATCCAATAGTTCCTGGCACTGGGCATACTCTGCTAGCTTTTTGGAGCTAGGGTAAAGGTTACTATCTATCCCAAATGTTTACATAAGTAGATATTTCTAAGTCACACAACAGTCTTTTAAGCCCTATGAAACCTTTGGACAGATGAGATTTCTTAACTATGAGCATGTTTTCTTTCACTGGACCTGATTCTGTGTGCAGCCGCTGCCTCGGATGTAGGAATTGAATAGCTTTCCCCATCTCTTGATCTTTATGTGAGCAAAAGCTTCATCTGCAATGTTTACTTTTTTCCCTAGCATGAAGATAAAGGCTACCTCCAGACTGTAGCTGCTTTGTGGGAGGCATTCAACTGCATACCACAAATTCAGGTTTGTGCAGTTACAGTAAATTAATTAAGGAGCTCTGTCACAATGGAGAGTGTTTGTGGATGTGCAAGGAGAAGCAAGAAAAGTGGATGTGGTTGCATTGCTCCACAGATCTGCTTAAGCATCGAGGTAGGGTAATAATGGGGTTCAGATCTTCTGCAAGATGAAGAGGTTTCCTGGCTGTTAGCCATGTGAAATACAAGAAAGGGCTGTAGCTCAATTCCAATCTGCTTTGCATGTGCAACATCCCAGGTTCAATGCCTGTCATCACCAGATAGTATAAAGATTCCTGCCCGAAACTCTGGTGAGTTGCTGCCAGTAGTGTAGACACGGAGCGGGATGAACCAGTGGTCTGACTCTGAATAAGTGGTCTGACTCTACATGTTCTTATGAAAATGAGAAGAACAAGGGCTCACTCCATCCGCTCTGCTGTGACAGGCCAGCTTCTTCAGGCCTCCTCTCCCCCCAACTATCACCTGGGAAGCAGCCATTTCACCAGGCTGCCTCAGTGGGGGAGAGAGGAAGCAGGGTTCATTGCATCCGCTGTACATCCTGCCCATGGGCATAGCCAGGATTTATGGGGGGGGGGGGGCAGGCTTTATGTTAGGGAAGCAGAACAGAGTTATCTGTGATGCAATTGGTCAGCTGGTTGTGTTTTTATTTATTTACTTTATTTGGGGGGCAACTGCCCTCCTGCCCCCCTGCCTACGCCTATGCTTCTGCCTCTGGTCACAGTGGGCAGCCGGTCACAGTGGGCAGCCAGATGGCTGTGGGAAACCTGCAAGCAGGACCCAAAAGCACATGCTTCTCCAGACGATATTCAAAAGCATGCCGCCTCCAGCCATGACGGCCGAACATAGCCTCCATCATGGCTAGTAGCCACTGATAGCCTTGAATTTGTCTAAGGTAAAGGTAAAGGGACCCCTGACCATTAGGTCCAGTCATGGCTGACTCTGGGGTTGCGGCGCTCATCTCGCTTTATTGGCCAAGGGAGCCGGCATACAGCATCCGGGTCATGTGGCCAGCATGACTAAGCCGCTTCTGGCGAACCAGAACAGCACACGGAAACGCCGTTTACCTTCCCGCTGGAGTGGTACCTATTTATCTACTTGCACTTTGATGTGCTTTTCAACTAGGTTGGCAGGAGCTAGGTTGGCAGGAGCAGGGACCAAGCAACGGGAGCTCACTCCGTCGCAGGGACCAAGCAACGGGAGCTCACTCCGTCGCAGGGATTCGAACCGCCGACCTTCTGATCGGCAAGCCCTAGGCTCTCTGTTTTAACCCACAGTCCTCCTTTAAAGCCATCCAGGTTGGTGGTCAGCCATGGCTCCTGTTGGAGCCAATTCCACAGTTTAAATTGCGCGCTGTGTGAAATCCTTTCTTTTGCCAGTCCAAAATTCACGAGTTCTCGTGTTATATGAGAGGGGAAGAAAAACTTTTCTCTATATCAGGCCTCGCCCGAGTCTATACCTCACGTGGCCTTTTCGCTAAGCTAACAAGCCCTCAAGGCAGCCACCTTTCTTCAGAGCGCACTCCGCCCTGTGTGAATGGAAAATGAACCCATCCCGCCGGTTTCTGCTTTGCCGTGACCTCCTTCTTCCCTCTCGCACTCCTGCCCCTCCCGGGCTCCGCCTCCTCTCGCCTTGAGGTTTCTGCTCTGAGCAAAGCTCTTCCCCGAGCAGAGCGACGCCGTCCGCGCTCGGCGACGATGGTCCTTTGGGCAATGGCTCCGGAGGGCGCGCGGCTCTTCTCGTGGGCGCTCGCCCTGTTCGCCCTGCTCGCCACGCTGCTGGCCGTCTTGCTCGCCCGCTTGCTGCTCGACCAGTACTGGAAATACATGGAGCTGAAGTCCATCCCGGGATTCAGTCCCTGGTACCCACTGCTGGGCAACGCGCTTCTCTTTGAACGCGATGGGGAAGGTAAAAGGCTGGTGCTAGGTGGCGAAGCGCCCTCTCCCTCCTGCTGCCAAAGGCAAGCGCGCAGAGCGCGCGCGCAGTTTTCCCAGGCGGGTGGGGACACACAGAGAGAGAGGGCAACGCGACGCATCTGGGACAGGCACAAATAGGAGGCGTTGTGAAGCAGCCGCCCTCCGCCTCCCAGACGGATCTCCTTGCTTGCGGTGGTTGTTTTGGGACCTTGCTTTTCGTTTTATCGCCTCATTTCAGCACTGTACAATACAAACATTATTTATTTGTTTAGCGAGAACAGAAGATAAGATGAGTACAACACATTTTTAAAAATATATATATATTCACAGTTAAAATGATGATCAGAAACATTTTGTCAGATAAGAGTTTGCTCCCCTGAAGAATTTAACTTATCACCCCGACAAACTAAAACTACCTCTCTAAAGACAAAACTGGCCACTTTTTCAGAGGTGTAGCGGGACCTGTGCCCCCAATAAAAGGTTAATCTAATAATCAATCTCTCACTACCCATCAATCGTGTGGAGCCCCTTTGTATGGAATCACCTATTAAAGGGGCTCATTTACATGGTCAGACTGAGTTCTAAGCAAATCTAAATATACTCTTAGATGGGAATGATTGAGCATGCTACATAAATTAAAACTTTACTTGAAAGTGGGAGGCTGAAACCAGCTCCTTGTCTGAATTTTGGAAGAGGAGTCTATTGTGGTGTGGCTTTTGATCTTAGTTTAGACTATGCAATAAATTTGTTAGAACAAGTAGCCTAGAGGTGGGATCACTGAATTTATCCTGTTCAAACCAGATGCATGTCTTCTCAGCCTTCTTTCGGCAGATGATGAATTACTTCGAAGACTTACGGAATGTCCCACTGCTACAGCTTTGGGTAGGACCACTGCCCTATGTCATCTTATATCATCCAGACACTATAGAGGTGAGTCTGTCATGCTTAGTTTTCTCTGCAGGGCTGGAGAACTCACCACCACCAAAGGCCCTGTTCTCTTGGGTTTAGAATGCCTAATGGGTGGTGCTGTAGCAGGTGGTGGACAGGGGTAAAGTGTAAGTCAAAAATGTAGGAGGAGCAGAGCCAACCAAAAATATGGCAATCAAGAGGTGGGGTCACAGTGGGAGTCATTCCCCTTCCTGCTGTTTTGTGTGTGTGGTGCACAGTGCTTTGGTCAATACGATTTCCCATGGTCAGAGTGCAGGGCTTCAGGGCCCTGTAGAGGTCCTTACCATTTTGATGTCAGGATCTGGCATGCCTTGGGACATAATCAAACTCGGGGAAACTAAACAGAAAGCAAATGAGCTGCTACCTACATTGCAAACAGCTTAGGGGGATTTGTGGTCAAGTCTGCTAAAACACTAGCCATCACTTTGAACTCAAATATATTTTAAATTTTCTCTCTCTTTGGCAGGTTGTTTTGAGTAGCTCTAAGCATATTACTAAATCCCGTCCTTACAAGTTTCTGCATCCTTGGCTAGGCAAAGGACTTCTAACGAGGTAAAGGAAAAAGCACCCCGGGAATGTGGTTGGGAATGTGGTTGGGACTTTTGGAACACAGCATAGGTGGCATGTCCAGTACTGGATGAACAATGAATCTTGTTCACAAGTTTCACCATACACATATAATGAATGAGTGAAGGAGGAAGTGGAGATGAAGTCATAGGTAAAGGTAAAGGGACCCCTGACCATTAGGTCCAGTTGTGACCGACTCTGGGGTTGCGGCGCTCATCTCGCTTTATTGGCCGAGGGAGCCGGCGTACAGCTTCCGGGTCATGTGGCCAGCATGACTAAGCCGCTTCTGGCGAACCAGAGCAGCACACAGAAACGCCGTTTACCTTCCCGCTGGAGCGGTACCTATTTATCTACTTGCACTTTGACGTGCTTTCGAACTGCTAGGTTGGCAGGAGCCCCAGGGACCGAGCAATGGGAGCTCACCTCGTCGTGGGGATTCGAACTGCCGACCTTCTGATTGGCAAATCCTAGGCTCTGTGGTTTAACCCACAGCACCACCTGCGTCCCAAGTCAGGCACACCTGAAATCCATCCCACTGCACTTCCAGGGAGGCGCCTCGGTAATGGCGGAATTCCTCTGACCGGGAGGAATCTGCTCCATGGGAATCTGGGTCTGGCCGCCACGGCGAAGGCGGAGACCCGTTAAAATCACAGGCGGGAGAAGCCTGTGAATGTGGGATTCAGCGGGCACCTTTTGCGCCTCCCCCACTCGCGGGGAACCCCGGTTTTGGGGGCTCCGGAGCGACGTGGGGTGAGCGGTGCGGTGCATCGAATCGTCTGCTTCTTCCACGGAGCGAAGCCGCATAGCTGTTGCCGGAGAGCGCTGACCTTTTCCTGTGGACAATTTGACTTTAAAGTAATTACCCGTGAGTAGAGCTGAAGCGGAAGAATTGGCTTTCTAAATGTTTAATTTGGTACCGTAACGGGGAGGTTCAAAACAGGAAGTCCGCCTCCCTCTTTTGTAAATAGACTGAGGCAATGAAGTTGCAAGCTGGAGTCCTGGAAGGTCTTTTGTAAAAGATCAAATTTCCAACGGTAAAGAACATTAAACCCCCTCTTGGAGGCAGGAGAAGAGAGGGGGAAGTTGCGGATTGAGTATGCCTGCGGGAGAGAGTGGAGAGACTTAAAACACCGCCGCTCTGACCCTGGGAACGGGCTGCTAGTAGGACTGACGTCTTTTGGAATGTTCATTGACAGCGTTTAGAACGTTCATTGACAGCTAGTTAAGTAAGAGAAATACATTGTTTCTACTGTCTCCAGCTGCCTTAAAAAGGAGTAAAAGTAACTGAAAATTGAAACTAATTTGAAACTAACTTTGGATTGTTTAAAAGAGGATACTATTGACTATTACAAATAGAAACTGTTTCCCCCTAGTGGAAGCCTTTGAAACCGATTGCTTTACAAGAGCTGGACTAGGGGAATTTCCAGCTGCAAGTTAAAAACCGTGAGACTCTGGAACTGACCTTGAATCTTTTAAGTGTTATGGTAAATGGAAGAGGAAAAACAGACCAGTCAACTGCTGACAAAACATTAAAGTCTGGGAGGACTGGGTAACAATCCAGGAGAGGTCTATCATTAAGCCCTCCTGTTCTTTCTGTTGCTGTTTTTGTACTAGTATATTCAAAACTAAGAGGAATGTCGACAGAAGAGGCTTTAGTGGCTGCATTATATAAGATAAATGACTCATTGGATCAGCTTCACAGGAAAATGGACACGATAAATGCGAAAGTGGATCTTTCAATTGTGAAGATTGACTTGAGTGCAGAAAGTATAAATAATACCAATGCAGAAACAACCCAGAAATTGATGCAGGAACCTATTTTGATATGGCAAACTGTGGAGGAAGTCAGGGAAAAAGCTGTTGCTGCTGAAGGTAAAGTAACACAACTGGAGAGAAAGAGAAAGAGAGCCCCAGCCCTACAGAGGCAATTTGATGAACACAAGTTGACGCTTGCTATGACTGAACTTAAAGAAAAACAGACAAATTTGAGGATTAGAGTTCACTTTTGGTGGACATGCCCAAGGATTAAGACACTCTGGGAGATGATTCATAACGAAATGAAAAAGGTATTTAAATATACCCTTTTGAAGAAACCAGAGGCCTTTCTCCTGGGCATGGTCGGCCAATTGGTGTTAAAGAAGGATAGAATTTGTTTCATGTATGCAACAATAGCAGCAAGAATACTCATTGTGAAGTACTGGAAGACACAAGATTTATCCATTCGGGAAGAATGGCAGATGAAGTTGATGGACTATACGGAATTGGCGGAAACGACTGGCAGAAATCTGAGACCAGGGAGAAGAGCTGGCGGAAGAAGACTGGAAAAAGTTTAAGACTATTTATAGAAATACTGTAAAAATAATGAATGCTAGAAAAATGTTGGAATGAAGTTATATGGCTTTAGTAGAAATGTTATAAGGAATCAAGTATAAATAGATTAATAGTGTATTAAAGGGAAAATAAGGCTAGAATATGTTAAGATAATTATAGGATAGAAAACAGAGGAAGATGGAAAGGAATTGCTGAAATAATTAATAGAAGTGGAAAACAAAAAGGGAGGTGTGAGGAGGTCGTGGAAATAAGGGAATGAAAGATAAGACATTGAAATTGTTCTGTGTTTGAAATGGTTTGTGTCTTGCTTTTTTAGCTTTATGTTTTTCTTTTTTTTCTTTTTTTGTTCTTTCTTTTTTTTGTCTCTCTGTTGTGTTTAAATGGTTGAAAATTAATAAATATTATTTTTTTTAAAAAAGAAATCCATCCCACTGCCCACTCTCTACCTGCATGTGTGCTAATGAAAAGAGCCATTCCTTGTGTATAGAGGCGTCTATTGTAGATGGGCGGCCCCTTTCAGATACTCAGCTGTGTGTGTGGACTTTTGGTGCAGTCCTGCTCTATTTCTCCTGTTCAGTACCTCTGTAACCTAATAAAATGGCCAGCTGGGGGCAAGCGGGGGTGGGATGGAGTGTCTGGAAAGCTGTTCCAGGTCCTGCTTGAAAGCATTGCATGTATTTTGCTTTGAGATTTGTTTGTGTAGAGAAAGATAATGTTTAAGTTTTTCTTCCACAGCACTGGGGGCAAATGGCGGTCCCGAAGGAAAATGTTAACGCCCACCTTCCATTTCACCATTTTAGAAGATTTCCTCGAGGTGATGAATGAACAAGCCAATATCCTTGTTCAGAAACTTGAAAAGCATGTGGACAAGGAGCCGTTTAATTGCTTTTTCTACATCACATTGTGTGCCCTTGATGTAATCTGTGGTAAGTGCTGTGGTTGCTGTCAAAGTGTTGCAATAAATGAGGTTTAAACATCCCTCTCAATTTCTGGAGGAATTTACTTTTTTGTGAGGCCTGAACAGAAGAGTTGTTTGTCATCTATATTGAGCACATTCCATTTTTTAATTTTTTAAAAAATCATAAATTCATAGAACTGGAGAGTTGGCAGATACCCCAACTGTCATCTAGTCCAATCCCCTGCAATGAAGGAATCACAGCTAAAGAATCATTGACAGATGGCCACCCAACCTCCAGTGAAGAAGAGTCCACAACCTTTAATGGAATGCAGGAGCAGGATTCTTTAACTGATTTTTATTTCCTTTGTTCCTAGAAACAGCTATGGGCAAGAGCATAGGAGCACAACACAATAAGGATTCAGAATATGTCAGAGCTATCTACAGGTAGGTGCCAATGTGATTATTCTAGCAGCAGGGACGGGGAACCTGTAGTCTGCCAAAGGTCCGAGATGCTGGTGGCCAGAGTCAAACAGCATCAGGAGAGCCACAGGTTCCCCATCTCTGCAGCAGAGACTTGATCTGCAAATACTTTTACAAGGGGCTAGATGGAAAAAAGACTCTTTCCCTTCCACAATGCAGATAGCCTTTAGCTTGAACTTGACTGTCTGCATGATAAATTTGCAAAGGCCTGCTTTGCATGATCTTCATCCCCACCCACCTTTTGGGAAGCAGATTGCACAGTCGGACCTCTATATGGGATTATGTAGACGCCCTGCTCAGTGGAGGAGCTGAGCACTGCCCCAGTTCTATGTCATGAACTGGAACTCTGATTATCTGTTTCACGTGTCATCCATATTTCTCTGCCTTTCTACACGACACTCAACTTTGCTCAGCCTAGTAGCAAGAAATCTGGGCTCTTTGCTGTACTTCTCATCACTTTCCTGGAGATATACCCAGCCTTGTTGCTTGTTACCCTAGGATGAGTGTTCTGATTCAAGAAAGACAGAAGTCTCCTTGGCTCTGGCCTGACTTGCTGTATCATATGTCCAGAGATGGAAGAGAACATTACAGGAACCTGAAGATACTCCACAGCTTTACTGATAATGTAAGCTGCTGAGTTTTCTCTTTTTGCATTATATTTCATAGACACAGATACTAAAGTGTGTTCTGCTAAGATTCACAGTGGTGCCCCCTGCCCCAGACTCCAGAGCCCTGTTCAAGGCTTGTTAGCCTTGGCATGTGTGGGCAAAAGTTTGCAAAGGGACACGTTGGGCCAGCCCCCAACATTGCTGATAGTACCCCCTCCATTCCCAATCTTCGTGCATTTAGAGCAAAAATCTAATGAAGGCTTGCAGGTGTATTTTCCTAAACTCACTTTCAAGACTCCTGGAATTTGGAATCCCACATTCAGGCTACCTAATGGATCTCATGGCTGAGTCAGGATTCAAACTCAAGCCTGAGACCAGCACTAACTACAATGCCTCACTGTCACCATTTTGTTATTGCTGGTACATCAAGTGTGTCTTCATAGCCAGGGACATAGCTAAGTCCAACAGAGATAGCTGATAGTTTTATTTGGCACTGCAGGGACTGCACACATTGGATTATGCAACCTGAGAAATGAATGGCTTTTTTTGTTTTTATTATCTAAGGTCATTGCAGAAAAAGCTCAAGAACTAAAAAACCAGGAGAAGCATAGAAGCGATGCTGTCAGCAATGGTGAGCAAAGCAGGCGTAAAGTCAGGAGAGCTTTTCTCGATATGCTTCTGAATGCCACTGATGACGATGGGAAGAAGTTGAGCTACCTGGACATTCGAGAGGAAGTGGATACATTCATGTTTGAGGTAGACAAGGGTGCTGTAGGAGAGTGGTGGTTAAGGATGCAATCCCATTGAACTGAATGAGCCTTATTTCCAATTAGACATGTTAGAAGGATTGCATTGTAAGAGAAAGGAAGGTCTACAATGGGTGCCCCCAAAGGCAAGACGACCTGCCTGCTTCCTAGAGGGAGGCATTTCCAAAAAGTCTCTTGCTTTTCATCAGCTAAGTAATGGGAAGCAGTGGTAGGTTACAAAATAAATTAAAGTGGTATCCTGGAAGCAAAGCTAGGGAAAATCTGTCTCATAGCTAGATAGGTGTGCTAACCATTCTACTAAGACCTTTTCAGATATGGGAGTGACTCAGGAATGTCAGTTTGCATTTGGCACAGGGGAAGTGACCCGGGCACCTAGTCTTGCCAATGCACTTAAAAATTTGAAGTATTCATTCTTGTGTAGGAGGCTGGTGCCTTTGAATTTTGGGATTCTGCTATGAAAAACAGTAGCAGGTGCCAGATTGGAACTACTTTTTTTTTTCCAGGCCCTTGAATGGGTCATCAATATAATGGCCCAGAATTTGTTGTTGTTGAGAAAACATGGTTGTTGTTGTTGTTTAGTCGTTTAGTCGTGTCCGACTCTTCGTGACCCCATAGACCAGAGCACGCCAGGCACTCCTGTCTTCCACTGCCTCCCGCAGTTTGGTCAAACTCATGCTACTGGCTTCAAGAACATTGTCCAACCATCTCGTCCTCTGCCGTCCCCTTCTCCTTATGCCCTCCATCTTTCCAAACATCAGGGTCTTTTCCAGGGAGCAGTGGCATAGCGTGGGGGGTGCAGGGGGGGCCGGGCGCACCGGGCGCAACATCTGGGGGTTAGAGTTAGGGGGCGCAAATCCACAGGTTAGGAGGCGCAAATCCACGGGTTAGGGGGTGCAAATTATTTGCCTTGCCCCGGGTGCTGATAACCCATGCTACGCCACTGCCAGGGAGTCTTCTCTTCTCATGAGGTGGCCAAAGTATTGGAGCCTCAGCTTCAGGATCTGTCCTTCCAGTGAGCACTCAGGGCTGATTTCCTTAAGAATGGATAGGTTTGATCTTCTTGCAGTCCATGGGACTCTCAAGAGTCTCCTCCAGCACCATAATTCAAAAGCATCAATTCTTCGGTGATCAGCCTTCTTGATGGTCCAGCTCTCACTTCCATACATCACTACTGGGAAAACCATAGCTTTAACTATACGGACCTTTGTTGGCAAGATGATGTCTCTGCTTTTTAAGATGCTGTCTAGGTTTGTCATTGCTTTTCTCCCAAGAAGCAGGTGTCTTTTAATTTTGTGGCTCCTGTCACCATCTGCAGTGATCATGGAGCCCAACAAAGTAAAATCTCTCACTGCCTCCATTTCTTCCCCTTCTATTTGCCAGGAGGTGATGGGCCCAGTGGCCATGATCTTCGTTTTTTTTATGTTGAGCTTCAGACCATATTTTGTGCTCTCCTCTTTCACCCTCATTAAAAGGTTCTTTAATTCCTCCTCACTTTCTGCCATCACGGTTGTGTCAACTGCATATTTGAGGTTGTTGATATTTCTTTCAGCAATCTTAATTCCAGCTTGGGATTCATCCAGCCCAGCCTTTCACATGATGAATTCTGCATATAAGTTAAATAAGCAGGGAGACAATATCCAGCCTTGTCATACTCCTTTCCCAATTTTGAACTAATCAGTTGTTCCATATCCACTTCTAACTGTAGCTTCCTGTCTCACATAGAAAACATTATGTCTCTTTAATTCTTTCTTCCAAGGGTCATGATACCACTGCTGCTGCAATGAACTGGTGTATTTACTTGCTTGCTCGTTATCCAGAAGCCCAAAGAAAAGTTCACCGTGAACTGGATGATGTTTTTGGTGAGTTTCCCTTTCCCGTGGGTATAAACTTGGACAAGTGTGGGATGCAGGTTTATTTCTAGGTAAGTGCTCATAAATATCACATAGCTTTTCTAACACCGAGTTGGGGAACCTCAGGCCCACAAATACAGATCCCAGTTTGGATCTTTGCAGCTCCAATGTGGTCAGACCGTGTGCTAGCAGAAAGGACGACATGCTGACTTACACCCTAAGCCTAAAGCACAGAAATGAATTAGTGGACCCAAACTGTTCCCAGCTCCATCAACATGTAAAATGGTTGTTAGACCATCAAGTTAAGGATGCATATTTTGCTAGTTATAAATAAGTTGTGTCAGTGGCGTAGCGTGGGTTGTCAGCACCCGGGGCAAGGCAAGTAATTTGCGCCCCCTAACCCGTGGATTTGCGCCCCCTAACCCTAACCCCCAGATGTTGCGCCCGGTGCGGCCGGCCCCCCCTGCACCCCCCACGCTACGCCACTGAGTTGTGTTTCTCTAACCGCCTCTTGTTATCTTATCAGGGGACTCGGATCGTAACATCACAATGGACGATTTGAAGCAACTACGGTATCTGGATTGTGCTATTAAAGAAGCTCTTCGCCTTTTCCCTTCTGTTCCATTTTTTGCTCGTACACTGCTTGAGGAATGTTATATTAGTAAGTAGCCCAAGTGGCTTGATGGCTCGATGCGCTGTGGCTGTAAGCTCAGTGTTGGGTGGCTCTACAAGAAGAAACTTTCATGACTATCTGTTCTTTGGCAGGAGGATATCGGATACCAAAAGGGGTTGAGGCCATCATTGTGGCCTATGCACTGCATAGAGACCCTGAAGTCTTCCCAGAGCCTGAGGAATTCAGACCTGAGCGATTTTCCCCTGAGAACGCAGCTGGGAGGCACCCATATGCATATGTGCCTTTCTCTGCTGGGCCCAGGAATTGTATTGGTACGTATAAGAATAAATAAAGAATAAAAAAGAGAGCAAAAAAGGATAAAAAAGAGTAAAAACATCAACTCTCGGCACCCTTAAGGAACCACAGTTCGCAGGATTCTTTGGGGAAGCCATGACTGTTAGCAATATTATAGTGTTTAAAATGTATAGTGCAGATGTACCTAGAACTAAAGATTATTTGTACACCATTTATCCACCCCTTCCAGTTTTTCACTCAATCCTACCAGTGGCTGTAAGTCCACCACCATCTGTATAACTATAAAAGTGTTTAAGAATTTAAAAATGAACCTGAGAACCTACCGTATTTTTCTCTCTATAACACGCAGATTTTTTCTCCTAAAAAGGAAGGGGAAATGTCTGTGCGTGTTATTGAGCGAATGTGTGGTCCCTGGAGCTGACTAGGGCGAGCGCAGGAACAAAAATCAGGCAAAAATCAAATCGCGTGTCAGAGAAGGGAAACCTGAAAAGAGGAAGTTGCTGCTTTCCTGCATTCTGCCTCAGGGTCTTACTGCCCACCCGCTTGTGTTTCGTTGCTGTGTTTGCTCAAACGGAACAAAGAGCAGGCAAATCCCCTCCCCTCCAGGCAAGCAGAGGGGAAAGCAGAGCGTCCTTCCTTCTAATTCCTCTCCCTGCTCCTCGCAGGCAGCCAGAAAACATGCAGGTGGGAGAGAGGGAGAGAGAGAGGGAGAGAGAGAGGGCTGGCTTGGGTGGGTGGGGGGACTTTTGCCTTTCTTTCCTCCCTCCCATTAAATCCCTCTCCTGCATTCTTATGCTCCTTGTCCCTTCTGTGTTTTTCCTTCCCTCCCCACTTAAAATGTAGTTACAAAGCATGGATCCACATGGATCCTCAGGATCTCTGCATTGGGTCACCCCAAATTCATCATCAGATCACATGTCTGTGGCCACAGCATGAAGCACAAAAATGATACATCCACTGTTTCATTCAGAATTCCCCCCCCCCTTGGTTTCCTCCTCTAAAAACGATGTGCGTGTTATGGTCAGGTGCGTGTTAGAGAGCGAAAAATACGGTACCTCTGTGTCACATGGCTCATACTGAATAATAATAAATATGTATTATTGCTCTGGTTAATTGTGTCTTGTCATTGCTTTCCAACCCCTATGCAGGTCAGCGCTTTGCACAGATGGAAGAAAAGGCTATTTTAGCCACCATTCTACGGCGCTTTCGTGTTGAAAGTACGCAGCAACGCGATCAACTCGGCACTGTAGGAGAACTGATTCTTCGTCCAAATAAAGGCATCTGGATTCAGTTGAAAAGGAGATCGACTTCCTGCTCTTAAAACAAGAAACCTCAGGGAAATTCCTTACCACACCACATTAGGACTTTTTTTTATTGGGTAAAAACTGTTGGTTTTCAGTGCAGGACATTTCAGACTGCCCAATGCTACTAGGACTTCTTTCTTAACCAAACCTGTGTTTTTGCTTTTTAAAAGCCAGCAGCTGCAATCCAAAATCTGATGCTTGTTCAATTGATGGGATATTGCAAATGGGTATGGGATTTGTGGCTTCAATCTAGGTTGCCACTATATGATTTTTCTTAATCCTAAAAAAAAAAAAGCAGTGTGTTTTAATTTTTAAAACTCCTGTATTTTGAAATGTATGCACATAAGAAATATTGATAATATATATAATATATTTTAATGATGTATGAATATAATAAAAGACCTTGGAAGTAGAGATTAGACATGAGCATCACAGCATTCTCAGGGCCGCCTGTCCTGGACTGAGGGTGACTTAGCACCACCTAGTGCCTGAAGACAGGAACTATAGTTGCTTCACAGGAACATTTAACAAGTCACCCGCATCACAGAGCTCTCATTGCACTTTTCTGTGTGAAGGGCTGCATTTGCCATTTTACTTCTGACTTTTATAGGCATCATATGCAAATTCCTATGTGTCTTCACAGGCCGCTGATAATGATTTGACGGACTTGGATCACTGTGTTTGCTTGATCTGGTTTGGCAAACCAGAGAAATAATTGTGAATAATTTTGTTGTTGTTTAGTCGTTTAGTCGTGTCCAACTCTTTGTGACCCCATGGACCAGAGCACGCCAGGCACTCTTGTCTTCCACTGCCCCCCGCAGTTTGGTCAAACTCATGCTACTGGCTTCAAGAACACCGTCCAACCACCTCATCCTCTGTTGTCCCCTTCTCCTTGTGCCCTCAATCTTTCCCAGCATCAGGGTCTTTTCCAGGGAGTCTTCTCTTCTCATGAGGTGGCCAAAGTATTGGAGCCTCAGCTTCAGGATCTGTCCTTGCAGTGAGCACTCAGGGCTGATTTCCTTAAGAATGCATAGGTTTGATCTTCTTGCAGTCCGTGGGACTCTCAAGAGTCTCCTCCAGCACCATAATTCAAAAGCATCAATTCTTCGGCGATCAGCCTTCTTTATGGTCCAGCTCTCACTTCCATACATCACTACTGGGAAAACCATAGCATTAACTATACGGACCTTTGTTGGCAAGGTGATGTCTCTGCTTTTTACGATGCTGTCTTAAACATTGCCTTAACATTGTTGTATCTCCCCACAACAAATCAGGATGCATTCTCATTATGTCTCTGAATCTCTTTGTGGACAAATTCAAGATGAATTCTCACTATCTCATCTACTCTCTCTGCAAACAAATCAGGATGAATGCTCACTAAAGAGGTCCTCTGGAAGCGACCTCAGTGTCATCCAACACTATTTCGCCTGGGATTTGAGAAGCCACCTTTTGTCTGCTCTGTGCTTGATTGCTTTGGATAAAGGAGTGGCAGTATGCAATCAAGAGAAAGTTCTGCAGATTATATTTTTTAATCCTCTCATTTTAACGGAGGTAAGTCAATATTTTTGGTTTAATTTTAAATGTTGAGAAAGTGAGGTAGAGATTGCAAATCATCCATTAAATGGATTCTGAAACATGGTGTGTGTATCCAAGAGTCCCCAGCACTGAGCACACTCTGCTTGCTTCTTGGAGCTAGGGTGAATATTACAACTTGTCCCAACTGTTTATGTAAGTAAGGTAAAGGTAAAGGGACTCCTGACCACAAGGTCCAGTCGTGACCGACTCTGGGGTTGCGGCGCTCATCTCACTTTATTGTCTGAGGGAGCTGACGTACAGCTTCCGGGTCATGTGGCCAGCATGACTAAGCCACTTCTGGTGAACCAGGGCAGTGCACGGAAACGCCGTTTACCTTCCCGTCAGAGCGGTATCTATTTATCTACTTGCACTTTGATGTGCTTTTGAACTGCTAGGTTGGCAGGAGCTGGGACCGAGCAACTCCCCTGTCATGGGGATTCAAACCGCCGACCTTCTGATTGGCAAGTCCTAGGCTCTGTGGTTTAAACCACAGCGCCACCCGCGTCCCTGTTTATGTATATAGACATTCCTAAATTATGCATTCCTATGAAACCTTTGGACAGGTGAGTTTTCCTAACTAAGATCACAATAGCATGGCTGTGTTTTCTTTCACTGGGCTTGATTCTGTGTGTAGCAATAGCCCGGAACGTGGAAATTTAATAGATGAAACTTTCCCTAACTCTTGATCTTTATGTGAGCAAAAGCGTCACCTGCAGTGATTTCTTTTTCTGGCATGAAGATAAAGGCTACCTCCAGACTGTTGCTATTTTATGGAAAGGATTCAAGTGTGTACCAGAAATTCAGGTTTGTGCAGTTACGTGAATTAAGGAGCTCTTGTCGCAGTGGACTAAAATATCTGTGTGCATGTGCGCGTGGGCGTGCAAGGAGAAGCAATACAAGTGGATGTGGTTGCGCTGTATCGCAAATCTTCTGCCTGAGCACCAATGTAGGGTAATGAAGGGATTCAAGGGCTTCTGCAAGATGAAGAGGTCACCTGGCTATCAGTCATGTGAATAATGAGGAAGAGCTGTACCTTAGTGGGAGAGCATCCGCGTTGCATGCATGACATCCCAGGTTCAATGTCTATCATTCCCAGACATGCCTGGGAAATATTCCTGCCTGAAACTCTGGTGAGTTACTGCCAGTCAGTGTAGACAATATTGACCTAGATGGAACAGTATCCTGACTTGGTGCAAGGTAGTTTTTTTGAAATGTTGTCATGAAAACATGAAGATAAAGCAAGAATTCTTTCTGAAACTCAAGTCCGTTCATAGAATCGTAGAGTTGAAAGGGACTCCAAGGGTCATCAAGCGCAACTCCCTGCAATGGAGGAATCTCAGCTAAAGCATTCATCAAGAGAAATCTGTAGGGAAGTGGATAAGAAGATGTATACCGGTACTTTTCACTGTTTTATTCATACATTTCAGAACCTTTGGAAATGGTGCACATTAAGTGAGGCTGCCTGTGGATTTCTTTGCTCCTTGGCTGTCCCAGGCCACAGTGCAGAGTTGAAAGCTACTATGGAAACCATGCAGGTCAAGACTTGTCCAGTTCCATATTTTGTTAAATGTTGAGGCACTGCGAAATGTAGTATAGTAGTAAGCTAAAAACCAACAGATGACACGCATGTGCCAAGGCATTACCTTATTGTATCTTATATTCTTCATTCACAAGCGGCCACAATAATTTCCAGTATAAAGAATTGCCAACTTATTTAATCCGCCCACCAATTCCTCCAAAATCCTTTCCGGCTTTATTATCTTATATTAGAGTGTCTGCCTCCCTAGTTCAGGGACCTGATGCAGCCCCCACCCCCAATTTTTCTGCTTTTGGTGGCAGCAGTAAAGGACAATACAGTGGACGCTCGGGTTGTGAACATGATCCATGCGGGATGCACGTTTGCAACCCACAGCATTCGCAACCCACGTCTGCGTGTCTGCGCACGAGTGGGTTGTGATTCAGAGCTTCTGCACATGCGCAAAGTGCGATTTAGCCCTTCTGCGCATGCGCGACTGCCGAAACCTGGGAGTAACCCATTCTGGTACTTCTGGGTTTCGGCGGTCCGTAACCTGAAAAAACGCAACCTGAAGCATCTGTAACCTGAGGTATGACTGTACAGTACATTTAAAGAAGACATGGTGTGGGGGTGGGGGCAGGCGAACAGGAGCCCAGCACCCTGGATTAAAGCAGCTGGAGTCCCTGGAATAGGGGACCTTGGGAGGCCCAAACTTAATAGCATCTGATCATGAGAAACAAAACATTGCTCTCTCCTTTTTCTACTCAATGAAAGTAGAACATTGATGAAATTTTAGCATTGATACAGATTTTTGCAGATATAGATTTTAGCATTGATACAGATTTTTGCAGATTACAAATACAGCATTGATACAATTTTAGCATTTATAACCTCGAATAATTTTTCTTTGCAAAAAATTTAGCAAGAGGCCCAGCCCTCCCCCCCCCCCCCCGGTGATTATGCAGCTCAGCCCCTATGTAAATCTGGCACTGTCTCTGGTGGTTGTTGTTGTTAAAATTTGTATACCGCCATACATCCATACATCTCAGGGTGGTTCGCAACCTGATCATCTGCTGAGCAGAGCAGGATGGCGGTCAGCCTTGGTAGTCAGCCTTGGCTCCTGGTGGAGCAACGGCCATAGTTTATAAACTATGTGCTGTATGAAGTACTTTCTTTTGCTTCTCCAAAATCCTGCATCATTCAGATTCCCTTGATGTGCTCTAGTGCTGCATAAGAAGAAAAACGTTTCCTCTAGATCCACTTTCCGCCAGGTCTGGCCCTGGCCTGATTTCATACCCTTTTCTCCTGTTGCTCGCCTTTTCTCTTAAGCTAACAAGCCCCCAGGGCAGAGACCATTTTCCCCAGAGAGGGGTTACTCCATCCCCTTGACAATTTGGCTCCACCTCCCCCAAGTCTTCACTGTTTAAGAGAGATGGAGGCGATGCCTTCCCTCTCCCAGTCCTTCCCCTCCCCGGACTCCGCCTCGCCTTACCTTGGAGCCGCTTCTCCAAGCAACTCGCTTCCCTGGAGCCGAGGGAGGCCATCCGTGCTCGGCTGCTCTCGCCAAGGATGGCTCCGGAGGGCGATCGACTCTTTTCCTGGGCGGCTGCGGCGCTCGCCCTGCTCCTGGCCGTCTGGCTCGCCCGCTTCCTGCTGGACCAATGCTGGAAATACGTGCAGCTGAAGCCCATCCCGGGGCTCAGTCCCTGGTACCCGCTGCTGGGCAACGCGCTGCTCTTTGAACGCGATGGGGAAGGTAAAAGGCAGGCAGGCAGAGAAAGCGCGCACGGAGTTTTCCCAGGCAGGTGGGGCGAGAGAAATCGAATAGGCTACTAGGTTTTGGCAATCTTCACCTGCCCACTGTGACACATTCTGGAAAGGTACAAATAGGAGGCATTGCGAAATAGCCTCCCTGCGCCTCTTCCAAACGCATCTTCTCCCTGGAGGTGGCTGAAATTCTGCCTTTCCATGTATCTCTTAATTTCAGTAAGGTGCGATGCCCCGTCTCCGCTCGGAAACGCACCTTAACCATTTCCATGTATGCAGTATCGGGATGATTTTGATGTAGCGATCCCTCCCCCCTTTTTAACTGCAGATGTGTGAGTAATTTTTCTTATACAGTGGTACCTCAGGTTACATACGCTTCAGGTTACAGACCCCGCTAACCCAGAAATAGTGCTTCAGGTTAAGAACTTTGCTTCAGGATAAGAACAGAAATGGTGCTCCGGCAGCGCGGCGGCAGCAGGAGGCCCCATTAGCTAAAGTGGTGCTTCAGGTTAAGAACAGTTTCAGGTTAAGAACGGACCTCCGGCACGAATTAAGTACTTAATCCGAGGTACCACTGTATTCCACATAGCACTTTTGAAAGAGCTTTTTCCTCATCCCGCCGGTGCAAGAAAGTCTGGACTCCAGATCAGTTGAGAATATTGATTCAAGGGTGTGCTCCTGTGTGTGCAGCATAATTTGGGAAGAATTGGAAATTCATAAATAGGGTCGTAGGTAATTTCTGTATATACCCTGCTTATCTAGAAGCATCATCATTATCCAAATGTTAGATGTCCAGAGTTGCATAACAGAAAGTAGCAAGTTTTCCCCACTGGAAAATGCACATTTTATTTCCTCCTCTTCACAGAATTGTGGATTTGGAAGCGACCCAAGGGCCACTTAGTCCAACACCCCTGTAATGTAAGAATCACAGGTATGATTTATAGATTTACTGTAGTGTGCAATTTACAGTGGCACCTCAGGTTAAGTACTTAATTCGTTTCGGATGTCCGTACTTAACCTGAAACTGTTCTTAACCTGAAGCACCACTTTAGCTAATGGGGCCTCCTGCTGCCGCCACGCTGCCGGAGCACGATTTCTGTTCTCATCCTGAAGCAAAGTTCTTAACCTAAAGCACTATTTCTGGGTTAGCGAATTCTGTAACCTGAAGCGTATGTAACCTGAGGTACCACTGTATTGCTAAAATCCAGCGCACCCATCCTTATAATTGTTATGTACTGATTTGAATAGGATCCAAACTGCAGCAGTCTGGTTGGTCCTAGAACAATAGGATCCAAAATGCAGCAGTCTGATTGGTCCTATAACAATAGGATTCAGAATGCAGCAGTCTGATTGGTCCTAGAACAATGCAGCAGTATTATTGGTTGGCAGGAACCACCCAATCATGCTCCAGATAGAAGTGAATCCACAACCTGATTGGCTTACAGTAGAATTCCGGAACTAGCCAATCATGTGCAGCCCATTGTGTAAATAATGTATATAAAACAGATACTTTGAGGGGACATTCATTCATTCCTCCTCACCACTATGAGCTGAATAAAGAGCATGAAATCACTTTGCGACTCTGAGTATATTTCAATAATAATAATAATCATTATTATCAGTTTATTATCCCATAGGGTAGTAGTGTTATGCTATAGCAGAAAACAAAAATGAAAAAAGTCCCGTGATACATGATTAAAGACTTCACAGTTTTTTTTAAAGGTATACTGTAATATTTGTAGATAAGATTTCAAAACATTAAAGGAAGGGAATCAATTTATTTATGGGATTTGTTTCAGGTGCCAAATTGCCTGGGGATTTGCTCCAAAGTAGACATAGCTAGGCTTGCAACCGTGAGCTTGCACAAGATCTTCTGCCGTAGGAATTTAATGAATAATAAAACAAACGCTTTCAACACGGCAAATCGGTGGGGCTTACTTCGGAGTAGAGCCATTTAGGTTTCCATTGTGAACCCATTCAGGCGCTAGCACTCTCTCAAGCTCCGCCTTAGACGCCCTCCCTGCCCGGGTTTCTTGCTCTCCTCCTCCCTCGAGCCAACATGTCAGCTTTCCTCCAGCACCGCACCTTCACCATCCCTCGCCCGGCTCAGAAAATGACGCCTCCACGTTAGGCTCTGCCTGGGTTGAGCTGCTCGTCAGAAAGCATCTCCCCGGAAACCTCTCGGGGTTCCTCCCCCCCCCCACCGCGTTTGCCGCCTCTGTTTCGCTGCTCCGCTTTGTCCTCGAGAAAGGAAGACGCCAACTGAAATATACTCGGAGTGGAGAGTAGATTTCATGCTCTTTATTCAGCTCATAGTGGTGAGGAGGAATGGAAGTTCCCCCAGAATGTCTGCTTTATATACATTATTTACACAATGGGCCCCACATGATTGGCTAATTCCGGGATTCACCTGTAGGCCAATCTGGTTGCGGATTCACTTCCACCTGGAGCTGGATTGGGTGACTCCTGTGGACCAATCAGACTGCTGCATTCTGGACCCTATTCTAGGACCACTCAGACTGCTGCATTCTGAATCCTATTGTTCTAGGACCAATCAGACTGCTGCCTTTTGGATCCTATTCAACTCAGTACATAACACCAACCAAGCCGGCTCCCCTCTCTATGAAGGGCTTTGCTTGGCTCACAGCTGCCAGCTTGCTGCCTTTTCCTTTCTCAGGGAAGAGGGGCGCAGCGGTGATTCGGAGGCGGCAAACGCTGAGTTTCAGCGCTGCACTGCAGGTGCTCCATTATGGAAACCGTTCCCCTTGCAGTTCTGCCCTCTTGTGCCTTGGGAGCAGGGTGAAGTTGTAACAGCGCCATTTTCAAAATCGAGGCACCACCCCCGAAGCGGCTTGCCTCATGGAAAGGCCGGCCAAGGGCAGCAGGTTGGATCTGCTCCACCTGCCTCCAATGGGGAATCATCGCCTCACCTTGCTCGGCCAGGGCAAGGCTGGCCCGCAATGGAATGGGAAGCAGCTCTGGATTGAGGGCGCGCAAAATAATAATAATAATAATAATAATAATAATAATAATAATAATAAAATAATAGTATATTTATATGGGTACGCAACTTAGGTTGGGGCGTCAAATGTTGTCCTTGCTCAGGGCGCCATAGTACCCAAGTCCGCCCCTGCTGGAAGGCGCTCCTTGGTGAGGAGAGCCCTTCAGGCTGAAGGGCCAAGCAGACAGGTGCAGTGTCCAGAGTTCATTCATTAAAATGTGCCTTAATACCAACGTAGTAATAATACCATACACAGAAATAATATCACGAATCAGCAGTACTATCAGTCCACACAACCTCAGAGTCACCAAAACAATTACAGCAAAGGTATTTCTAATCTTCGCTGCTAGTGCAAGAAGAGTTGCAAAGCTGTTGCTATCACTCCAAAGAAATGGCTTTTTTCCTCCAAACCTCAGTGTTCCTACTTCCATATGTTATATTCAGAAATCTCTCTTGAATCAGTATATAAACGTCAGGTTAACAATTACACCTAATAGTGGCCACAGATACAGAATTTGCCTTCGTAATAGACCTTGTTATAGCACAGGGGTTGGCAAGGTTTACCTCGCCTGGGCCGGTTCACTCCAGTGGAGACCCCTCCGTGGGCTGGATCATGTGTGTGTGTGGGTGTGTGTGAGCGCACGCGCCTGTTATTTCCGGTGTCTGCATCTGTGCAGATATGATTTCTGGCATCTGCGCATGCGCCGAGGTGATTTCCAGCGCCACAGAAGCGAGTCTCCACACCATGCTACACTGGTTTAGTGTAGCACGTGGGGACTCACCGAGTGGGCAGCTCAGTTCGGGGGTGGCTTGTGGCCCCTGTGGGTCGCTTGTGGCCCATGGGCCTTAGGTTGCCTACCCCTGTTATAGCACTTATCCAGGATTGCAGTTGGCATCACTTGAATAAAAGCTTTTATTAGGGAAACAGGCTTGAGTTTAGTTAAATAACTGGCTCTTAAATGCTTGTTTTAGAAAAGAGAAAATTTAGAGTTCTTAATTAGCTGCAATTCCTTTCTAGAATCTTACCTAGCTAAGCCAGATCAGGATTTATTCAGGAATTCATGAAACACAAACTTTCATGATAGGAATGTATTTGCTTAGGTGCAGATGTTTCTTCTGTCATGGCTACATTGACTGACCAGTTAGATAGACTTTCATTAAACATATATATAGCAGGACTTCTTTGTGCCTCACCTTCTGTACTTAAATCACTTAGGACCGAGGCTGTCTGTTCAGGACATATCTATTGCTTCTTGATCCATCTGCTTTACGGTTACTTCTGGCTCCCTTTCTCCAGTTATATGGTCACAATAATCAAATATGGATTATTTTGTATGCAATGTCAGAGTGGGGCACACTACCCATCAATCATGCAGTGCCCCTTTGTATGGAATCACCCATAAAAGAGCCTCATTTTATATGGTCAAATTGATTTCTAAGCAAATCTGAATATGCCCTTTGATGGGAATGGCTGAGCATGCTATATAAATTAGAACTTTATGTGAAAGTGGGAGGTTGGAATCAGCTCCTTGTCTCTCGCAATCTGAATTTGGGAAGAGGGTTCTCTTACTGTGTGGCTGTTGATCTTAGCTTAGAGTATGTGATATGAGAACAAGTAGCGTAGAGGTGGTGTCTTTGAATTCCTCAATTTCATACTGGATGCATGTTTTCCCAGCTTTCTTTCAGCAAATGATAAATTCCATGGAACCCTTCCGGAACGTCCCACTGATGCAACTTTGGATAGGACCACATCCCGTTGTGCTCTTATATCGTCCAGAAACTGTAGAGGTGAGGTTGTCATTCTTAGACTTTACTGCATGGCTGGGGAACTCCCCAGCAGCACTACCAAAACCCACCATCCCCTGAGTATAATCTGCCAAACAGTCATGCCTAGAGAGGATGGTGAATAGGACCAAAGTGTCAGCCAAAAATGGGGGTGGGAGAGTAGAGCTGCCCATTCTCTTTCATACACTGGTGCACTCTTATGAATATTTACTCAAAAATAGGTCTCATTGTGTCTAATGGGGCTTGCTCACTTTCTTGGGAGCAAGCTCCATTAGATTCATTGGAACTTATTTCTGTATAGACTCAGATGGGATTGCAGTCTAAAGACTCCTGGGAATAAGTCCTGTGGAAGCTGCTAGGACTTAATTTCTAAGAAATATAAAGAAAGGTGCCAGATCAGATATGGGATCCTTCTGAAAAATACTACTGTAATCCAAGAACATGAGAGAGAGAGTAATAGTTTTTCCAGTGCGGGCACTCAAGAAAACCTTGCACTTCATTTTGTAGGATGAGCATGAGGATTATGCTTAATGCAGATATTCTGTCTGAAGATCTTAGCTGAGTGCTATTCATCAACAGTGTGGAGGTGGTGTTTTTCAAAAAGCAAATGCCATAATATCTGCTCTGATTTATTTATTTATTTATTTATTTTAAAACCGGGTGAAGTCCCCCCCCTTCCTTTGGTAGGATTTTGACAAGTGCAGCTGTTTTAATGCAAATTACTGGATCCTGTTAAAAGGGACTGAAATCACTTGCAACTGCCAGCTGCATGGAATAGGTCTAGGGTTGCTGCCACTTATGCTGGACAAAGAGCTTGAAAGCAGATGGTCCTCCAGATGTTTTTGGATCCCCCTCCCTCCATTGCTGACCATAGGCCATGTTGAATGGGGCTGATGGGAGTTGGGGTCAACAACATCTGGAAGGCTACAGGTTCTCTCCACTCCCGATTTAAATGATGCAGTTTCAGCAAAAGGAAGAGCAGCCACATTTGCTCTCCCAGTCCCATCATCTGTCCCCCCCACCTCATTTTCTCTGAAGCACAGCTGACACCCTCCTTGCCACAGCAAGCAAAGGAGGTAGATTGAAGCAGATGGGCTGAACGGGTGGGAGCAAGAAATATGGCTGCTTTGTTCCTTGGAATTCTAGGCTTCAGCCCTATAATCCACATTCTGGAATACATGAAGAAATAATAAAGAGGGGGTATGTGTGTCGAGAGCCGTTCCTTGAAGATGGGTTCACAGCAGCCCTCATGGGTGGGTGGGCAGATCTCCATCACTTGCAAGAGTGAGACAGAAGAGAAAATTCCAGCAGGACACCTGTTGAAGTTCCTTCTTCAACACAGCTATTAAAGGTGCTGGAGTTCTGCCACATTTTGCATCTAGCCAACCTACTTACAGACTAGGTTCTCCTGGCAGAAGGAAGGGCCCTCAGGCAGGCTGGAATCAGGCCCCTTTTGCTAGGATCTTAATAGCAGAGTCATTATCCTGCTAAAACTGGTCTTACAAATAAAGGTGGACATGGTGATAGGGAAACAGAGTTGACGCAGGGAAAGAAGCATCTGACAATGATGTTGGAGACAGATTGTGTTGCTGTCTGCAGCTCCCTATGGAGGCAGGCCTTCCACTTGGAAAATGACACGATGCCCCTAGCTGCCTGTCACGCAGCAGGAGCCAAGAACAGATGCCAAATGTGGTTTTCAGTGCAACATGCACCTTTCTGAGAATTTCAACTGCTTTCGCAATTATCAAAGAACATTTGAAAGTACATGAGTAATTCCCGGTATACACTAGATGGCGAATGAGCTGAGCCAAGTTCAGGTGACCTGGGATGTCCTTTTGACCTCCACACATTGATTGAGCTTTCAGAACAGATGTGTGCACTCACAGGTCCTCACATCCTTACAATGTACTCTAAAAAGAAAAAGAATGAAAACGCAAGTTGTAGAAGGGAGCCCTATGGCGGACAGGCTCTGGGTCTGCCTCTTGGTGACCTAGCAACCAGTGGGAGCTAGTGAGTCCATCAGCCAATCAGGAGAAAGAGTGTGGGATTCAAGTTAGATTCATAGAAAGGCAAAGTCAAGAAGTTACATTTTTGCTTGCTTCTGTTGTCAGGTAGTGTTGAGGAGCTCTAAGCATCTTGCAAAACCCTTTATCTACACATTTTTGCATCCTTGGCTGGGCACAGGACTCCTAACGAGGTAAACGGACCCGAAACATAAGTGGGAATTGTACCCTTTTGTCCTACCCTCTGGAATACAATGTAGCTGGTGTGTTCAGAGCCGGTTGGGTTATCAGTCCTGCCACACATGTATAATGAATGTGTGAAGGAGGAAGTGGGACTGGGGTTACAGGCCACACCCATGTAAGCCCACTGACCACACAACACCTGCACATGTCCTATTGAGTGTGTGGACTTTGGAGGTGGGCTGGTGGGTGTAGTCTTGCTCAATTCTCAAGAAAAGTACTGAAGAGCTGATTGGTGCTGACTTCAGGACCTGCTTTTAGCAGAGGTCAGCTGCTCTCTATGGAGTTCTCCACTGGTTGGTTGTAGTGGGCTTTGAAGGCAGCACCAAGCAGCTGATTGATACTGACTTTAAGGCTCTTGATGGTTTATTTGCAGCCACATCACACAGATGGCATCATGTATCTTTGCATAGCTCAGTTGTGCTGATAACACAAAGGTCTCATGTTTGATCCCTATATGGGGCAGCTGCATATTCCTGCATTGCAGGGAGCTGGACTAGATGATCCTCAGGGTCCCTTCCAGCCCTACAATTCTATGATTTGATGTGAGGGCAAAAATGAAATGGCCTAATGACCAAAATTGAAACCTCATCCCTGTATTAACATAAAACTAGTTGGGGGAATCTGCAGTGAGCTGGAAGTTTTCAGCTGGTAGCTGGAGCAGGAAAGAGATAATAGTTTATGAAGAAAGAGCCTTAGGAGGTGACCACTCATTGCCAATCCAGAATTGGCATTGAGATCCATGAGATTTGAAAAGTGGTTTATTGCTTGAACATCACCATACTAATGACCTCAGTCTGCTAGGTGCTGGTCTTTATGTGGTCAATCATCCTTTTATGTAGCCTAGGCAAGGGAGCACCAGCAGGTTCAGGGAAACCCCAAGGTTTCCAGTGCCAAATCTTTATTGCAGGGATGGGGAGACAATGTGGAAATAAACCAGTAAAAAACACATTGGAGACTGAACATGATCTGTGACTATGGGCTGTTGACTGTTAGAGAGAAAAATGGTCAGTTTGGGGTGAGGAAGAATGGAGTGTCTGGAAATCTGAACAGGAGCACTGCACACTGCAATGTTTTGTTCCAGGTCCTGCTTGAAGGCATTCATGTTTCAGTCTTTGTTTTGCAGCACTGGAGGCAAATGGCGGTCCCGAAGGAAAATGTTAACACCCACCTTCCATTTTACCATCTTAGAAGATTTCCTCGAAGTGATAAATGAACAAGCCAATGTCCTTGTTCAGAAACTTGAAAAACATGTGGACAAGGAACCATTCGATTGCACTTTATACATTACTCTGTGTGCCCTTGATGTAATTTCTGGTAAGTGCAGTTGCTGCTGCCAAAGTGTTGCAGTGAATGAGGTTTAAACGTCCCTGCTCATTTGTTGGACGAATGGACATTTTTGTGAGATCTGACCAGAAGAGTTGTTCTTCTTGTAACAATTTATCTAAATTAGACACATGCCATTTTAAAAATAATGTGAATAGCTTGTTGTTCATTTAAATTCTGTCAACACTGAGCTTGATGGGCCCTCTGCTCCGATTATGTCCCATTCTTGGTTTCTAGGAGAATGATTCTTCATTTGATTTCTCTCTCTCTTCTGTTCCTAGAAACAGCTATGGGCAAGAACATAGGAGCACAACACAATAAGGATTCCGAATATGTCCAAGCTGTCTACAGGTAGTTGTTAGTGGGATGACGCATTCCAGCAGCAAGGATTTGGAACCTGTGGCCTGTCAATGGTCAGGGATGCTGATAGTTGGAGTCTCAACAGCATCTGGATGGCCACAGGTTTCCATCTCTGAAGCAGAGCCTTGATCCACAGTGTCTTCCTGGGGGGGGGGGGTTACATGGAAAAAAGGCCCTTTCCCTTCCACCATGCAGATATAATAATAATATTAATACTACCACCACCACTTCTACTAATAATAACAACAACAATTTTGTTTTTATACCCTGCCCATCTGGCTGGGTTTCCCCAGCCACTCTGGGTGGCTCCCAACAGAATATGAATATTATTATTATTATTAATAGTGATAAAAGATCAAACATTAAAAGCTTCCCTAAACAGGGCTGCCTTCAGATGTCTTCTGAAAGTCAGATAGTTGTTTATTTCCTTGACATCTGCTGGGAGAGCGTTCCACAGGATGGATTCCACTACTGAGAAGGCCCTCTGTCTGGTTCCCTGTTACCTCACTTCTCGCAGTGAGGGAACCACCAGAAAGCCCTGGGAGCTGGACCTCAGTGTCCGGGCTGAATGATGGGGGTGGAGATGCTCCTTCAGTATTTAACCTGAACTTGACTGTCTGCATGAAAAACTTGCAAAGGCCTGCTTTGTACAATCTTCCTCCCTACCCTTCCTTTTGGAGGTGGATTGTGCGAACCGGGTTGAATGATTATGTAGAAGCCCCGTTCACACTGGAGGTGACCTGTGCAGTGGAGGGGCTGAAAACGGCTCAAGCTGTATGTCCTGAGCTGGGGCTCTGTGTATCTGTTTCACATGTATACCATATTTCTCATGACGCTAATTTGCTCAGATTAGTAGCAATACATCTGGGCTCTTTCCTGTACTTCTCGTCATTTTCTTAGGGATGTACCCAGCTTTGTTGCTTGTTTCCCTAGGATGAGTGCTCTGATTCAACAAAGACAGAAGTCTCCCTGGCTCTGGCCTGACCTTCTGTACCTCATGTTCCAAGAAGGAAGAGAACATTACAGGAGTCTGAATATACTTCACAGCTTTACTGATAATGTAAGCTGCTGCATTTTCTATTTCATAGGCACAGATACCAAAAGGTATTCACAGTTGTGACCCTCCCAGACTTTGGAGCCCTGCTCAGAGCATGTCAGGCTGGGCAAAAGTTTGCTCTCTCCACTCCCAGCCTTTGTGTCTTTAGGGAAAACATCTAATGACGGCTTGAGGGTGTTTTTTCCTGAACTTGCTTACAAGGCTTCTGAAATCTGGATCCCCACATTATCAGTGTTCCAGATTGCAAAGAGTGTTGTGTATTCAGGCAATTGTGCTCCCAAGCTCCCTTTATACGTTTGCATTCAACGAACGAAGGTTAGCTTAGAGACATTGGGGGGCAGGACCAAAGTGACACCCATTTTCTTCTACACCCCTTGGCTCCTGAATGTCCAGGATGACATGCCATGAAGAGCACTATTTTCTGTAGTTTATGTGAATCCATCCATCCATCCATCCATCCATCCATCCATCCCAGTTATATTTTTCCCTGTCGTAAAAGTGCATGTGGCAATTCCCATTTTATCTTCACCACATGCCTGCAAGGCAGGCTGTGCTACAAGAGAATGACTCAACCTTCAGGCTACCTATTGGGGTTCATGGCTGAGTTGAGATTCAAACTCAAGCTTCAGTTCAACACTATCCACTGTGCCTCACCAGTAACAGTTTGTTATTGCCAAGACATCAAATGCATCTTCATAACCGGGTATACAGACCTAGCACAGGTTCAGGGGACAACAGAGATAGCTAGTCATGTTATTTGGTACTGCAGTGAGTGCACACACTGGATCCTGCAATCTGAGAAATGAATGGCTTTTTTGTTTTTATTATCTAAGGTCATTGAAGAAAAAGCTCAAGAACTAAAAAACCAGGAGCAGCATAGAAGCAATGCTGTCAGCAATGGTGAACAAAGTAGGCACAAAGTCAGGAGAGCTTTTCTTGATATGCTTCTGAATGCCACAGATGATGATGGGAAGAAGTTGAGCTATCTGGACATCCGAGAGGAAGTGGATACTTTCATGTTTGAGGTATAGAATGCCCAGTACAAGAGTGCTAAGAAAAAAGCGCACCAAGAACTCTGGCCAATATAAGTTTCAATAGTGGGAGTTGTCCCTACTCAAGTACAAGAGTGCTGGCATAGCATGGTGGTTAAGGATGCTATCCTGTACCCATATATCTGGGAGTAAACCCCATTGAACTCAATGGTGTTTACTTCCAAATAGAGAGGTGTAAGTGTTAAGAGGCTGTTCTACAAGTCAATAAATCTCCGGCTATAGGCAAATGTCTACACATGGGACCTACCATAGCATACTTCAGCTTAGTGCTGAAAAAAGTACCTAGGCTTGGTTTGAGCTTGTTAAGAGAAAATAATTGAAAATAATTGTTTCAGATACGTGTTGGCTAATTTAACACATGTAAAACTTTGCTGTAGAAAATATGTATCTGAAACTGCCCTTAGCTAGATGGTAAGCTTGCATTTGCCATACCCGATTAGTCTGGTATTCTCTTCCAGTGGAGCCTAAATAAATTCTCAATGATGCATCTTATTTCATTGACAATACATGGGCATGGAATAAATCATTGCCTGATATTAATTTGCTTTAATAAAGAAAACAAAGAACTACTTGCACACAAACAGCTGCCAGACAGATTGCTTAATGGTAGTTCAGTGAGTATAATTAAAACCTGACTTGATTCACAGATAACTTTGTTGTGTGTGTTTGCCCTCTGGTGGTTATAGCGGCATGGTTGTTTATTTATTAATCATTTAATTCCATTTATGAATTCCTTCCTTTTTAAATATCTCAGAAGTGCTTTAACAATACAAAGAATTTAAGAATACAATGTATAAAACAGTTCCAAATCCAGATATAGATGGGGATAAAAAAAATCCCCACTTAAAATGCTTGTTGAGAAAGGAAGGTCTTCGGTGGGCATCAAAGAGGCAAGAGGGATCTATCTGCCTGCTGTCTAGTGGGGGCAGTTCCAAAGGAACTCTTGTTTTCAATTGACTGAGACATGGGAAGTGGGGGTCAGTTACAATGCAATGAGCGAAAACAAAGGAAAACATGTTTTTATACAAGAGATTGTTTTTCTATGAAATATGCAATTGTTTTATACATGACACATTTGGGATTGTGTGAAAGCAGGAAAGGTGGGATAAAAATAAAATAATATCACATGTCACATGTCACATATCATATAAAATAAAATGAAGATACCTAAAAGCCAAGCATCAGTGTATATGTTTGTTTCATATTTAGATAGGTGTGTTAACCATCCTCCCAAGATCTTTTCAGATATGAGAGTGACTCAGGAATGTCAGTTTGTCTTTAGCACATGGAAAATGACCAGGCCTGGAAGAAACCCTGGGACATGGTCTTCCTTAATTTCCCCCCAACACTTACAAGACTTACTCTTGTGTATGTGGCTGGTGCCTTCAAATTTTGGATTTGTGCTAAGAAAAACTGCTGTGAGTTTCAGAGGGTGTGAAATACTTTGTTTAGGCCTTGGATTGGGACATCATTCTAATGGCTGAGGATCCCATTTTTCTGATAAACATTAGACCTCTTTCATTTTTTCCTTCAAGGGTCATGATACTTCTGCTTCTGCCATGAAGTGGTGCATTTACTTGCTTGCAAGTCATCCAGAAGCCCAAAGAAAAGTTCACCATGAACTTGATGAGGTTTTTGGTAAGTTTCTTTTTCTTTTCTGTGGGTATAAACCTGGGTAAGTATGTGTCAGGGAACTGCCATCAGTGCCGGAGGGAGAGAGCAAAAGCCAGAGGGATTATAGAGAGCCTCCAGGGATCGGGAGAAGCAGCTCCTCTTCTGGGGAAAAGAATAAATGCAGCTCCAGTGGAGAGGGGGTGCAGGAGTCGGAAGTGGGGAGGCGGTCCCACGACTCCTTGCCTGGGACAAGCGGGGAAGGAAGGGGTCCTCCGCTGCCCACACCCTCTCTGCGCAGAAGGCTTTTGCGCAGAGAGGGAAGGCGGAGACTGGGCATCAAGGAGCTTCTTTGCTGGAAGAAGTTTAAGAAACGCCTACTCACAGATTCTGCCAGCGATTGAGTCAGCCACGGGTGAGTGGCTCTCCGAACAGATAAAGTCAAATTAGCAGCCAGCCAGGGAGAGATTTGCCTGCTTGCGCACGAGCAACCCCTTGGAAACTTAACAGTATGGTATGCAGGAATACTTCTGGGTACTCATGAATATTTGTTGATTCTTCTAATGCAGAGACGGAGAAGCTCTTGTAAAATATTGAGGCTTAACGGCATAAAATATTTTGTGGAGATTTCCATTTGCAGAGAATTGTAGCAAATCGCCTGTTGCTTAAGAGCGATGTGTTGATTTGTATTTACAATGTATTTTGTAACAGGTTTAAAGACAGCTTGCAGTAAAACTTTGAAACACTTTATTGGTGTGTAAAGCTCATTTAATCATACCCTGTACGAGGCCAGATCAGAGAATTCTGCTCATATAAGTCCAGTACCTTTGGCCCAGCATGAGTCCCAGTTTGGCCCATGAAGCTGTTTTCACCAAATCATACCCACTTGCCCCTCCATGTCTAACAGGAAACATTTAAATAATAAACTCTGTAGGTGGGGTCTACTCTGGCTTGGCATATTTCTCAAAGGCTCCCTAATAACTTTCTGCAGATACAATCAATGATGCTTAGCATCCTTTCCCTTCGCCAGACAATGATGCTCCGCTGGTTTAGCTCCCTTAAGAGGGACCACCTATAAGAGGATTGCAGCTAGTCTCATACCAAAAACAAAAGAGACGGAAGTTAGTTAGTTAGTTAGTTATTTTGCTGGCAAAGTGGGGCTATGAGTGCTTGGAAGCTCTATCCTTTAGTAGCCTCAGCAGCTGGCAACTCCTTCTGTTGACAAAACACCGTTCGGGAGTCAGGAAGCTGGCCTAATGCTTTTTATGCTTTATCTCAACCTCTGGCTTAGGAAGACATGCTGACTTGCATCCTAAGCCTAAGCATAGAACTGAATTATGGCAGTGACTGAACTAGTCCCTCAAATGTCCCCTGTTCCACCATCCTTTAAAAATAGGTGTCTGAACTTCAAAGTTAGGATGCATGTTTTGCTGGTAATCAATAACACATGTTTCTCTAACTGCCTCTTGTTATCTTATCAGGGGACTCGGATCGTAATATCACAATGGACGATTTGAAGCAACTACGGTATCTGGATTGTGCTATTAAAGAAGCTCTTCGCCTTTTCCCTTCTGTTCCATTTTTTGGCCGTACACTGAGTGAGGAATGTTATGTTAGTAAGTATTTCAAGCGGGTTTATTTATTTATTTACTTTATTAAATTTGTATACTGCCCTATACCCCGTAGATCTTAGGGAAGATTCACAGCATAAAACTACAAAATAAAAAATACATAATAAAAATGAAAACAAGCCAATAATCCGCCCCTCCTTCCACAACACATTTTAAAGGGGCATCTGATGTCAATCAGCCAAAGGGCTGGTTAAAGAGGAACATTTTCGCTTGGTGCCTAAAGATGTATAATGAAGGCGCCGGCTGAATCTCCTTGGGGAGAGCATTCCACAAATACGGAACCATCACAGCTTGATGCCTTGATGTTCTGTGGCTATAAGCTTAGTGCTAGCATGGCTGGTTTTACAAGGAGAAGTTTTCATGACTATCCATTGTTCTTTGGCAGGAGGATTCAGGATACCCAAAGGAATGGATGTCATAATTGGGTCTTTCATGCTGCACAGAGACCATGTTGTCTTCCCGGAGCCTGAGGAATTCAGACCTGAGCGATTTTCCCCTGAGAATGCAGCTGGGCGGCACCCGTATGCATATGTGCCTTTCTCTGCTGGGCCAAGGAACTGTATCGGTATGTGTGAGAGTCAAAAGTCTGTATCTCTTCAGAACTCCAGAGCACAGTATGCTTCTATCACTGATCTTTCAAAACAATTCTCAGCATCCTTAACAAATCATAGTCCCCAGAATTCTTTAGGAAACCCATGGCTGTTAGTTTTATAATGGACAGTGCAAACACACCTAAGTCTAAAGGTCATTTCTGCACCAATACTATGACCCCCTGCCTTCCATTTCCCCCACTTTTTCCTTCCTTTCATTGGCTTGTCCCTCCCCACACACTGTTTGTTTGGGTGGATTTGATTATATATCTGTATAGAAAAATGCTTAAGTGTTTAAGAATTTAAAATTGAGTTTTGGGGACCTGACCACAGTGTGATGTGTTGAATAACAATAAATATGCACTACTGCTATGGTTAATTGCATCTTGTACAGTAATTGCTTTTTAACTTCTCTGCAGGTCAGCGCTTTGCAAAGATGGAAGAAATGGCGATTCTAGCTACCATCCTGAGGCACTTCTTTATTGAAAGTACACAGCGACGTGATCAACTCTGCCCTGTAGGAGAACTGATTCTTCGTCCAAATAAGGGCATCTGGATTCAGTTGAAAAGGAGATTGACTTCCTGCTCTTAAAATAAGAAACCTCAGGGAAATTCCTTACCACACTGCATTGGGACTACTTCAGTAAAAACTATCAATTTTCATAGCAGGACTTTTCAGAGTGCCTGATGCAACTATGACTTATTTTTTAAACTGCCCAGGGTGGCTGGGGCAACCCAGTCAGATGCGCATGGTACAAATAATAAAATTATTATTATTACTAACCAAGGTGGTGTTGTTTCTTTTTAAAAGCAAACAGCTGCAATCCAGGTTTGCCTTTCCCTTCTCAAGAGGGAGACTTCAAGACTTGAGGAGTGAGAGGGCTGCTTTGTGTTTCTGGAAATTCTGTTCTTAGCATGTAGTGGAAGTCTGCCTTTAGAGAGATTTTTTAAAAATTAATTTGGGAACCCCTCTGTCCTGATGGAGAGAAATTTGGAATGGATCTAAATCATCAGGGTGCTGCCAGACTGTCTGCATTTTGAATTGAAATTCAATCTCATACCAGCAAATTCAGGTTGAACAATTAAAGCTGCTTTGGAGCTCTTGTAAAACAGGCCTGCATCCTCAAAATATTTTTTTTTAACAACAAGGAAGGTGAAAGCACACTGGAAAGCCTGGAATAACACTTGATTGACCCAATGTTGTCTTATGTCCCTCAAAACAAATCAGGATGAATTCTCATTGTCTCGCCAGAATTCTCTCTGCAAACAAATCAGGGTGAATGCTTATTAAAGAAATCCTCTGGAAGTGACCTCAGTATCATCCAACACAATGTGGTGTTGAGAAGCCACCTTTTGTCTGTTCTGTGGTTCATTGCTTTAGATAAAGAAGTGGCAGTATCCAATCAAGAAGAAGTTTGCTGACTATAATCAACCCTCTCACTTTAATGCAGGTATGCCAATATTTTTAGTTTAATTTTTAAAGTTAAGAGATTAAGGTAGAAATCATGAATCATCCATTAAATTGATTCCAGAACATGATGTTTGTCTCCAAGCATTCCTGACACTGGGCAGGACTCTAATCCAACCCCCAAACTATCTCCCCACCTTTGACCCAGCTAGCTCCACTGATTGGCTGGTCAGCTCCTCAACTACCATAGAAATATTTTGCTCTGGAGGTGATGTGGCAATGGGCACTGCTGGTTCTCCCTTCCCTTCTGGGATGCCTGGGATTGCTGGGATGGATTCCTCATAGGACTCACTGCCCAGTCTGCCTCTGCTCCCTACCTTGGAGTTTTCGTCCTCTTCTGACCACGCATGCTACTCCTGCGCTGTCCTAGTTGGTGCCACAGCACCCATGACACATAGCAGCTGAAAATGGGGATAATACCATCTTATGGCTACCCTATGTAACTTTTAATACATGGAGAGAGGGGAAGAGATAAGGATTAAATGGGTTCTGAAGCATGGATGTATCCAAATTTCCTGGCACTGGGTAAATACTCTGCTGGCTTTTTGGATCTAGGGAGAAGATTACAATCTGCCCCAACTGTGTGCATAAGTAGAGATTTTTAAGTTACACAGCAGTCTTTTAAGCTTCATGAAACCTTTAGACAGATGAGGGAAGAAAACTATGGCCATAATAGCATTGCTATGTTTTCTTTTTTCTTTTATGCCTGATTCTCTGCGTAGTAACAGCCTGACAGGTGGAAATTTAACAGACGGCGCCTTCCCCATCTCTTGACCTTTATATGAGCAAAAGCTCCATCTGAAACATTTTCTTTTTCTTTATTTTTATAAGATATTTATTAAGATTTTCAAAATATTACAAAATAAAAATAAAAAAGAAGAAAATACAAAATAAAAATGGTTAAAAACAACTCAATCTTTCCATTACTTATTTTTCATTAGCTTGTTTCCCGGACCTCCTCACGCCTCCCTTTTTTGTATTCCAGTTCAGTTTGTTGGTTCAGCAAATCCTTACCCTCTTTGTTTATCCTAGTCTTTAATCTTAAAATATTGTAACGTTAAATTTTTACCTATAAATAATCCATTTTTCATATTCCCTTAAAATATTACAGCTGAAAACCACTTAATTTCTATCCAACATCATTCTAACATTCATTAATTTTACAATATTTCTGTAGATAGTCTTTAAATTTCTTCCAATCTTCTTCCACCGACTCTTCTCCCTGGTCTCGGATTCTGCCAGTCATTTCCGCCAGTTCCATGTAGTCAATCACCTTCATCTGCCATTCTTCCAGAGTGGGTAGATCTTGTGTCTTCCAATACTTTGCAATGAGTATTCTTGCTGCTGTTGTGGCATACATAAAAAAAGTTCTATCCTTCTTTGGCACCAGTTGGCCGACTATGCCCAGGAGAAAGGCCTCTGGTTTCTTCAAGAAGGTATATTTAAATACTTTTTTCAATTCATTGTAGATCATCTCCCAGAAAGCCTTAATCCTTGGGCACGTCCACCAAAGGTGAAAGAATGTACCTTCAGTTTCTTTATATTTCCAACATTTATTATCGGGCAAATGATAGATTTTTGCAAGCTTGACTGGGGTCATGTACCACCTGTATATCATTTTCATAATATTCTCTCTTAAGGCATTGCATGCCGTAAACTTCATACCTGTGGTCCATAACTGTTCCCAGTCAGCCATCGTTATGTTATGTCCAACATCCTGTGCCCATTTAATCATAGCAGATTTCACCGTTTCATCCTGAGTATTCCATTTCAACAGCAAGTTATACATTCTTGACAGATTCTTAGTTTTGGGTTCTAACAGTTCTGTTTCCAATTTTGATTTTTCCACCTGGAAGCCAATTTTCTTGTCCATATTATATGCCTCCATTATCTGATAATAATGAAGCCAGTCTCGCACTTTATTTTTTAATTTTTCAAAACTCTGTAATTTCAGTCTATCTCCATCTTGTTCCAAAATTTCCCAATATTTCGGCCATTTGGCCTCCATATTGAGCCTTTTCAGAGCTTTCGCTTCCATCGGTGACAGCCACCTAACATTTTCTTTTTCTAGGATGAAGATAAAGGCTGCTTCCAGACAGTTGCTCTATATGATGAGAGGGATTCAAGCGCACACCAGAAATTTAGTTTTTTTTGCATTAAATTGTGAATTAAAGTGCCATGTCACACTGGACTTGTGCAGATGGGTGTGTAAGTGCAAGGAGAAGGTATAGAAGTGGATGTGGTCATACTGCTCCACAGATCTTCTGCCTCAGCATCTATGTGAGGTAGTAAAGGGATTAGGACTTCTGCAAAATGAGGGCAATACCCAGCTATCAGCTATGTGGAACATGAGGAAGGGCTGTAGCTCAGTGGGAGAGTCCCAGGTTCAATCCTGGCATTTCCAGATAGGTTCTTGCCCAAAACCTTGGTTAATTGCAGCCAGTCTGTTTAGATGATACTGAGCCAGATGGACCAAACTCCTGTGCTATTTGGCTGCCCCAGGACAGTGCAGAGTTTTAAGCTACTATCATGGGCATAGCAGGAGGTGGGCAGCTGCCCCCCCTCAAGTAAAACAATAGAAATACTTAACTAACTGACCATTCACATCGGTTCTGCCCCCCAACAAAAATCCTTCCCCTCCAAAAAAACCAAAACATCTTGGCTACACCCATGGCAGCTGCCCCCCCAAATCAAGTAAGTAAATAAATAAATATACTTAACTAACTGACCAATCGCCTTGCAGATAACTCGGTTCTGCTCCCCACCCCCAACATAAATCCTGGCAACGCCCATGGCTACTATGGTATTCATGCATGCCAAGACTTGTCCAGTTTTAATTTATTCAACCGTTTAGGCATTGTGAAATGTAAAGAGAAAACAAAGACCGACAGATGACACTCATATGTGAAGGAATCACCTTTATCAGTGTTGAGTTCTTGGTTCGCAAGAGACCACAAGAACTTCCAATACAGTGGTACCTCGGGTTACAGACGCTTAAGGTTACAGACACTTCAGGTTACAGACTCTGCTAACCCAGAAATAGTACCTCAGGTTAAGAACTTTGCTTCAGGATGAAAACAGAAATCGTGCAGCGGCAGCGAGGGGCCCCATTAGCTAAAGTGGTGCTTCAGGTTAAGAACAGTTTCAGGTTAAGAACGGACCTCGCCTCCAGAACTGTACAGTGGTACCTCAGGTTAAGAACTTAATTTGTTCCGGAGGTCTGTTCTTAACCTGAAACTGTTCTTAACCTAAAGCATCACTTTAGCTAATGGGGCCTCCTGCTGCTGCCGCGCCGCTGGAGCACGATTTCTGTTCTCATCCTGAAGCAAAGTTCTTAACCCGAGGTACTATTTCTGGGTTAGTGGAGTATGTAACCTGAAGTGTATGTAACCTGAAGCATATGTAACCCGAGGTACCACTGTATTGAGAAATGCCCGCTCCTTTTATCCTCGCCTATCACCTCCATGCCACTATCCTGTTTCGACGGAGACAGAGCGCACCCCGCCCTTCTCTGCCCTGCCCGCGTCTCCCTCCCGTGACCTCCTTCTCCCCTTTCGCAGTCCTGCCCCTCGCCGGCTCCGCCTCCTCCTCTTGCCCCGGGGCTTCTTTTCTCAGCAAAACGATTCGCTTTCAGGATCAGAGCGACGCTGCCCGCGCGCGGCGACGATGGGCTTTTGGGCGATGGCTCCGGAGGGCGCGCGGCTCTTCTTCTGGGCTCTCGCTCTGCTCGCCACGCTCGCCACGCTGCTGGCCGTCTTGCTCGCCCGCTTGGTGCTCGACCAGTACTGGAAATACAGGGAGCTGAAGCACATCCCGGGGATCCGTCCCTGGTACCCGCTGCTGGGCAATGCGCTGCTCCTTGACCGCGATCGGAAAGGTAAAGGCGCCCTCTTCCTCCCTCTCCTCCGGGCAGCTGATGCGCGCAAGCAGCGCAAAAAGGCAGCGCTGTGAACCAGGAAACCCGCGCCGCGCTATCTTAATCTCCCACTCTGAGGTTCTGCCTTTTCTTTTGCTCTTTATTTCAAGAAGGATTTCCGACCGACACGTACGTGAGTCATTTCCTTTTGTGCAACGTCTGTTTACCGCAGTTGTGTGAGTGTATGCGTGAATTGAAAAAGGCAAGCAAGCAGGTTGATTTTTATTTTTAAAAAGCACAACTGTCAATTAATTTATTATCGAATAAAATACTGTATCTTCAGTTGTTCCAGATGAAACAGAAAAGCGGGGGGGGGCAGGTCACCCCCAAGGGAAAAAAAAAATCTCAAAAAATAAGGAGGAAATAAAAGAGAAGGATGAAACTCTCATGTGATTGAAGATGAGGCAGCATCAGGAGGTGTTGGTGGGTGGCATAAAATGAGTTTGGAAGTTTTCCTGAATGCTCTGTTTAGGATCCTTGGTGGTTCCCCAAAGAGCTAAAATGTTAGATTTAAAGAAATCCTGAAGCCTAAAGCAAACATGCTAATGAGGAAGCACTCAGAACTCCATTATATATAGGCAAATCATACTGGAGCCAATTATCTTCTATAGGATGAAGTCCATATTTTGTAGCATGCTTAATCAGCTCTGGTGATATTGGAAGTAATTATCCTCCACATCCCAACCAAATCTAATAGGCTGCCTGAAACCTGTTTAAGGCATGTTGGAAACATCTCAAAAGGTTGCCCCTTCTCCATTACAGTACTGAACACAAGCCCTGTGTAGATAATGAACTGTGAGTGGGGTGGGGATACTCAATTTTCATGCCACTATGTCAGTGGTTGCCAGCCTTTTTGGACCCATGGGCACATTTGCCGAATGGAGAGATTATTGTGGGCACCACCTCCGTGCCACCCCCTATTTTATCGGCTACAGCAGAATCCTTTCAAATTTCATGGGGGGGGGGGAGAGAGAAGGGGACCTTGTGGTACCAGGAAGGGCTTTGTGGGTACATGGCCACCCACAGGCACCACATTGACAACCTCTGCTCTCCCTGTTCATTTGTATTCACAGCTGCATGTTTGGGCTGAGCTACAGGCAAGCTACAAGATAGTGTGGCATGACCCATAGGAGTTGAACTGCAAAACTTTTAGATATCTCTTGAACAATCAGTTTATTTTTTTATTTTTTTTATTAATTAATATTTATGAAAGTTTCAGAAAAAATAAAATCACATTAATAAACACAAAAATTTTAACAAAAACAGAGAAAAATACACCATACAAAATACAAAGTACAGAATAAAAAAAAGAAAAAAAAGAAAAAAAGAAAAAGAAAGAAAAAGAAAAAACAGTTAAAAATAATTCCGTCCTTTCATAACCTCTTTTAAATTTACTTATTTCCCGGACTTCCTCATACCTCCCTCTTTTGTATTCCATTTCAGTTTGTAAACCCAGCAATTTCTTACCCTCCTTTTAATTCCAGTCCTAAATCTTGATATATTATGACATTAGATTTTTACCTGTTTGAATCCATTTTTCCATTTCTCTTAGTCTTTTTGGTCCTAATCCTTAATCTTGATACATTTATAGCCTTAAAACCTGTTCAGCTAGAAGCCACTTAACTTCAATCCAACATCACTCTAACATTCATTGATTTTGCAATATTTCTGTAAATAATCTTTAAATTTCTTCCAATCTTCTTCCACCGACTCTTCTCCCTGGTCATGGATTCTGCCAGTCATTTCCGCCAATTCCATATAGTCCATCATTTTCATCTGCCATTCCTCCAGTGTGGGTAGCTCTTGTGTCTTCCAATACTTTGCGATAAGTATTCTTGCTGCTGTTGTGGCGTACATAAAGAAAGTTCTGTCCTTCTTTAACACCGATTGGTCGACTATGCCCAGGAGAAAGGCCTCTGGTTTCTTCAAACAGGTATATTTAAATACCTTTTTAAATTCATTATAAATCATCTCCCAGAAAACCTTAATCCTTGGGCACGTCCACCAAAGGTGAAAGAGTGTACCTTCAGTTTCTTTACATTTCCAACATTTATTATCGGGCAAATGGTAAATTTTTGCAAGCTTGACTGGGGTTATGTACCACCTGTATATCATTTTCATAATATTCTCTCTTAGGGCATTACATGCCGTAAACTTCATACCCGTGGTCCACAACTGTTCCCAGTCAGCAAACATAATATTATGTTCAACATCTTGTGCCCATTTAATCATCAGTTTCATCTGATATTCCATTCGCAGTAACATTCTGGCAAATTCTTAGTTTTGGGTTCTAGAGTTCTGCTATTTCATTTTCACCTGACAATTTCTGTCAATTGTAGCCTCCATTATCTGATAAATAACTCGACTTGTTTTAGTTTCAAAACTCTGGTTCAATCTATCTCATCTTGTTCTAAATTTAACATGCCACCTAGAGCTTTACTAGCCTTTCCTTGGTGGCCAAATTTCTCTTTTTAGCTTTTAAGCGTCTGCAAGACTATAATTGACTGTATTGATATGGGGCTATCTGTTTAGCCCATTTTAGTGTTGGCTAAGTTTTAAAATCTTCCTGGATGTTTTTAACTGTGTATTGATAAAATGTACTTTTTTCTGACTGACGGTCGAATAAAAAGGATGATGATGAACACTCATAAATGGGGATCATTTATACAGTCAAAATGAATTCTAAGCAAATGTAAACTATAGTCTTAGACTTTCACATAATTGTTCTCTTTGAATATCAGGAGGTGGGAGGCTGGAATCTGCACCTCATCTCTTGCAATCTTAATTTGGGTAGAGGGGTCTCCTGCTATGTGACTATTAATCTTAGCTTAGAGTGGGTGCTGTTCTCATGAGAACAAGTAGCATGGATGTGGGATCATTCACTTTCTCATTTTCAAACTGCATGCATGTTTTTTCCAGGTGCCTTTTCTCAGGTGATACGTTCTACTGAATTGTTGCGGAATATCCCACTGTTACTCCTTTGGGTAGGGCCATTGCCCTTTTTAGTATTATATCATCCAGATACTGTAGAGGTGAGTCTCCCATTGTTACTCTTCATAGCAGGGCAGGAGAAGTCTCTCCCACCCCCCTTCACCCAGGGTTGCATTTGCGGGGATTAAACTGTCAATGGGTACATGTCAGCAGTGGGTGGGGCCAGTGGTGGAGGAAGCCGCTCAGGCGCTGGCGGACGAAGGTGGAGGTGGGGGGAGTGGGCCACACCGGGTGCCATTAGGGGAAGGGGTGCCATCGCGGCCGCTCCCCAGGTCACGCACCGCGCCCTCCCGGGATACACACCACATGCCGTGCAACCCCGGGATGCATGCTGTACCCCCGCGTGCAGTGTGCCACACCCCTGCGCTGTGTGCCACGCCCCCATGGGTGGTGCGCCATGCCCCCGGGACATGCACCACGCCCCCACAGGCAGTGTGCCACGCCCCCGGGACATGCGCCAGCCACGCCCCCACCTGTTCTCCGCTCTGGGGGCTGCAGCATGTAGCTCCGCCACTGTGCTCGGGCTCCTGGGGTGGCACGCCCAGGGGCAGGGTGAGCCACCCATAGGGGCGGGGTGCACCATGGGGGATCTGGAGTCTGCCTGCCTTATCCCACTCAGCTGCCCTACAGCGAGGGGGAGGCAGCGGGTGGACTGTTTGGGCAGCGCAGAGCCTGCACGCGCCAAGCCACCGTGTCTCTCCCAGGAGAGACATGTGGCTTGGGTGCACTGCAGGCCCCGCAGTGAGTGCCGCCCGGCATTTTGTCACCCCCCTCAGTGGTGACAGCCGCGGCAGCCCACACCCACCGAACCCCCTTCCTCTGCTGGAATGGGTGGTGAATAGGGCCAAAGTGTCTGCTAAAACTGTAGAAACACCCACCCACACATTTCCTCACACACATCATCCATCACCTTGGCTATCTTACCTTAGTGTACTGCAAGTTGTGTAGCGGTATTCTAGGTTGACCCTTGGCATTATTATGTCATAAAAGACTTTTGCGAGAAAAATCCTAGATCTGTCACGTGCACACCTTGGATTACTGCACGGAGAGAGAGAAAATAGGGGAAGAATGTTGACATTCATCTGGTGACCTGGTATAATCTGAAGAGACATCAAAATGGTGATAGATGGAACTGTACACATTGCTCAGTGTATCCAAGTAAAGTTCATTTTCAGCCTGGTACTATCAACACAATCCTGTGAAAATTTCCTCAGAAATAGGTTCCATTGAGTCTCATGGGGCTTTATTGCTCGTGTGTGTTTTGCAAATCTATGCACACTTACTGGGAGAAAGCTCCATTAGTCTCATAGGAACTTAACTTGCATCCCTGATGCAGATTAGAGAATGTAGTTTCTGATTTCAGGATTTGTCATACCTCGGGGCATAATCAACATCGGAATATAAAGATAAAGCAAACCTGCCTTGCAAGCCACTTTAGTCAAGCCCACTAAATCACTAAGTCACTTTGAACTCAAATAGAATCTATTTCAGATAGCTGACTTATTTTGAAGGACAAATTGAACAGATAGCATAGAAGGGCAAAGTCAATAATTTATGCCCTTCTCTTCTGTTGGCAGGTTGTATTGAGTAGCTCTAAGCATATTACGAAATCCGATCCCTACAAGTTTTTGCATCCTTGGCTGGGCACAGGACTTCTAACAAGGTAAATCAAAAACAACCCAGAACATGGGTGAGGCAGTGTACCCTTTTGTCACGCCTTGTGTAGGTGGAGTGTGTGGCACTGATTGAGCTATTAGTCCTGTTCTGAAGGCCTGCCCCACACATTTAATGAATGTATGAAGGTGGAAGCCAGACTGAGATCATAGGCCATACCCCCAACATCCCACTGATTGTGTGAAAAGGGTCTCTCCCTACAGAGGTATTTATTGCAGATGGGAGGCCCCTTTCAGATGCTCTGCTGATTGTGTGGAGAAAATGGTCAGTTTGGGGTGAGGAAGAATGGAGTGACTGGAAACCTGAACAAGAGAACTGCAATATTGTATGGCTGGTTCTGCTTGAAGACATTACATGCATTTTGTTTTGAAATTTGTGTAGAGAAAAATAATATTTAAGTCTTTGTTTTGCAGCACTGGAAGCAAATGGCGGTCCCGAAGGAAAATGTTAACGCCCACTTTCCATTTCACCGTCTTAGATGATTTTCTTGAAGTGATGAATGAACAAGCCAATATCCTTGTTCAGAAACTTGAAAAGCATGTGGACAAGGAGCCATTTGATTGTTTTTTATACATCACATTGTGTGCCCTTGATGTAATCTGTGGTAAATGCAGTTGCTGCTGTCAAAGTGTTGCAGTGAATGAGGTTTAAAGATCCTTGCTCATTTGTTGGGCAAATGGACATTTTTGTGAGATCTGACCAGAAGAGTTGTTCACCTTGCAATAATGTTACTTACATTTCGCTTCCTAAATTGGGCACATTTACATAATACAAATAGCTTGTTATCCATTTAAATGCTGATTGAATAATCCAGTGGAGAACAGGGATTTAAAATATACACTGATGGAGTTGGAAAATAAAATAACAGACTGTGATCAGTTTGAATAATTGTTGATTTGCCATCAGTCTGAATACAGGTCATGATTGGGACACAAACACACAATACTATGGGAGGAAATGAGAAGTTCTGGATACAGTTACTGTAGTAGTGGTGCTGTGTTAGTACAAGACACACTTGACAATGAACTGACCACTGACCAGTGGTAGAGTGCAGCAGGTCTTGGGTTCAAATCCTGGCTGGGAAACACCCTGGCTCTGAAACTTGGAAAACCATTGGAAGTCAGTATGACTCGATATATGGTTGCTCCCTGTGTTCATTTTATGTCTCACTCTTTGGTTTGTAGGCAAATGATTCTCTAATTGATTTCTTTCTCTCCTGTTCCTAGAAACAGCTATGGGCAAGAACATAGGAGCACAACACAATAAGGATTCCGAGTATGTCCAAGCTGTCTACAGGTAGGTGTCAATGTGATGATCTATTCCAGCAGCAGGAAATAGAGATGGTAGTTGGACTCCAGCCACATTTCGAGGGCTGCAGGTCCCCCCCCCCCGCTTCAATGGAGCCTTGGTCCGCAAATACTAGGAGAAAAATCTCTTTCCCTTCCATGATGCAGACAACCTTCAGCTTTAACTTGACTGTCTGCATGATAAGCCTTCAAAGGAAATGATTTTAGAATGTTGTATTATTTTTTTACTGTTGTTAGCCGCTCTGAGCTTGGCTTCGGCTGGGGAGGGCGGGATATAAATAAATTATTATTATTATTATTATTATTGTCTGCTTTGTATGAGCTTCCTCTCTGCACCTCTTTTCTGGAGGTGGGTTGCAGAAACTGGGCCTCTCTGGGGGTTGAATGCTGATGTAGAAGCCACAATAACCCTGCAGGCGATAGGGGCATGGCATATCTGTTTCACATGTAAACTATTTTTCTCTGCCTCTTTACATGACAGCCTAGTTGCAAGAAATCTGGGCTCTTTGCTGTACTTTGCAGCACTTTTCTAGAAAGCGTTGTTGCTTGTTACCCTAGGATGACCGATCTGATTCATAAAAGACAGAGGTCTCCTTGGTTCTGGTCTGACCTTTTGTACCTCATGTTCCGACAAGGAAGAGAACATCACAGGACCCTGAAGATACTTCATAACTTTACTGATAATGTAAGCTGTTGCATTTTCTCTTTATGCATGATGTTTCATAGACACCAATATCAAAGTGATTTCTGCTAATATTCACAATTGTGGCTCTCCCAACTCAAACGTCCTGTTCAGGGCGTGTTCACAGGGTGTATGTGAGGCCTCCCATTTTATCTTCACCACATGCCTGTAAGGTAGGCTCTGCTAAGAAACCGATTTCTCCCTAGAGGTTTTTTTTCCAATTCAGAATGCTGGTAAGATTTCAGCTTAAAATCACTGTGTCTGTGAGGAGTTGTCACTTAGAATTATTTTGTTACATGGGATAAAATGACCTTCGTAGATTTACCCAGTCAGGCGTCCATTTTCACGCAGTGCATTTACATCCAGACAGCTTTTACAGAGATATTGGAAATGCCTTGTATCCTGATTTTATGTATATTTACCCAGAAGTAAGTTTTTGCCCATGGCAGTGTCCATAGGGCACTTTAGACAAGTTGGGTGCAATTGGATATATTCTTCTTTTTCCTTGTCAGCACAATGCACTTCGCTAGGTCCAGGGTGCAACAGAGATAGCTTATCACTTTATATGACACTGCAGGGAGTACACACATTGGATTATGCAACCTGATAAATGAATGACTTTTGTTTTGTTTCGACTGTCTAAGGTTATTGCAGAAAAAGCTCATGAACTAAAAATTCAAGAGCAGCATAAAAGTGAGGTTGTTGGCAATGGTGAGCAAAGCAAGCGCAAAGTCAGGAGAGCTTTCCTTGATATGCTTCTGAATGCCACTGATGATGATGGGAATAAGATGAACTACCTGGACATTCGAGAGGAAGTGGATACATTCATGTTTGAGGTACAGAATGCCCTGTATAAGAGTGCTGGTTGTTCTCCCCTATTTAAAGGATCACAACAAACTAATGTATGTGAAGGTCTTTGAACAAAGACAAGACGTTAAGGGTCTTTCTGTCAGATGACTTGGTAGTTTGGTGGTCATCCATCTGTCTTGGGAGGCATTGGAGGTGTGTCCCTTTGAGGGTGAAGTCAAACTGTTGGAAGGTCGCAGAGCCTGTGGTGGCTGTAGAGACTGATACGGGAGAGACATATTTTGTTGCAGCTGGGGCACATGAAGGCATTTCGTTGTGCTGCTGCAGATGCACCATGGTGTTTCTTCTCTCTATGCTTCTCCCAGTGGTCATTCCTCCTCTGGTCACTGCTGTGGTTGAACAACCTGTCTGTCTTGGACGCGTGAAACCAACCACCTGTCTCCTTGATCTTTGCCCATCCTGGCTAATAAAAGCAAGCCTGGAAGGGCTGGGCGATGGGCTCTGCGGGGTGGTGAATGCTTCCCTCTGTGAGGGAACATTCCCAGATCCGCTGAAAGAGGCGGTCATTAAACCGCTTCTTAAAAAACCATCTTTATACCCGGCCAGTATGGCCAACTATCGCCCAGTCTCAAATCTTCCATTCTTGGGCAAGGCGATTAAGTGCGTGGTTGCTGAACAACTCCAGGCACGCCTGGAGGATGTGGACCATTTGGATCCCTTCCAATCGGGATTCAGGCCTCATCATGGGACTGAAACTGCCTTGGTCGCGCTGGTTGATGATCTCTGGCGAGCTAGGGACAAAGGTGAGAGCTGTTTCCTAGTTCAGCTGGATCTCTCAGCGGCCTTTGATACAATCAACCATAAGATCCTTCTGGACCGTCTAGAGGGGCTGGGAGCTGGGGTCACTGTTATACAGTGGTTTCGCTCCTTCCTCCTGGGCCGTGTTCAGAAAGTGGTGGTGGGGAATGAGTGTTCAGACCCCTGGGACCTCACTTGTGGGGTGCCTCAGGGTTCCGTCCTCTCCCCCATGCTTTTTAACATCTATATGAAGCCGCTGGGAGAGATCATCAGGGGGTTTGGACTGGGTGTCCATCAATATGCAGATGATACCCAGCTCTACCTCTCTTTCAAATCAGAACCAGTGAAGGCGGTGAAGGTCCTGTGTGAGTGCCTGGAGGCGGTTGGAGGATGGATGGCGGCTCATGGATTGAAGTTGAATCCTGACAAGACAGAAGTACTGTTTTGGGGGGACAGGGGGGCGGGCTGGTGTGGAGGACTCCCAGGTCCTGAATAGGGTAACTGTGCCCCTGAAGGACCAGGTGCGCAGCCTGGGAGTCATTTTGGACTCACAGCTGTCCATGGAGGCGCAGGTCAATTCTGTATCCAGGCAGCTGTCTACCAACTCCACCTGGTTCGCAGGCTGAGACCCTACCTGCCCACGGACTGTCTCGCCAGAGTGGTGCATGCTCTAGTTATCTCCCGCTTGGACTACTGCAATGCACTCTACGTGGGGCTACCTTTGAAGGTGACTTGGAAACTACAACTAATCCAGAATGCGGCAGCTAGACTGGTGACTGGGAGCGGCCGCTGAGACCACATAACACCGGTCTTGAAAGACCTACATTGGCTCCCAGTACGTTTCCAAGCACAATTCAAAGTGCTGGTGTTGACCTTTAAAGCCCTAAATGGCCTCGGCCCAGTATACCTGAAGGAGCGTCTCCACCCCCATCGTTTTGCCCGGACGCTGAGGTCCAGCGCAGAGGGCCTTCTGGCGGTTCCCTCATTGAGAGAAGCAAAGCTACAGGGAACCAGGCAGAGGGCCTTCTCGGTAGTGGTGCCCGCCCTGTGGAACGCCCTCCCATCAGATGTCAAAGCGATAAACAACTACCTGACATTCAGAAGACATCTTAAGGCAGCCCTGTTCAGGGAAGTTTTTAAAGTGCGATATTTTGGTGTATTTTTGGTTTCTATGGAAGCCGCCCAGAGTGGCTGGGGAAACCCAGCCAGATGGGCGGGGTACAAATAATAAATTAATTATTATTATTATTATTATTATGTCTCCAGGCACTGCAGTCATCTGCAAGAGCAGATATTGCCAGCCTTCATGCCATGTTTGCAGATGTCTTTGTTGTGCAGAGTTGGCCTGCCAACGCAGAGGCAGATTTAGGGGAGCGTGGCTGGTTTGGTTGCAACTCTCACACAGTTGCCAGACAGATTGTTAATGGTAGTTCATTGAATATAAACTGTGACTTTATCCACTGGTAAAAAATTAGCAGTATTGTTGTGTATTTGCCCTCTGGTGGTTATAAAGGCACTGAAGCATGCTTGCTTATTTACTAATTATTCAATTCCATTTATGAAGTCCTTCCTTTAAAATATCTTGGAACTGTTTAACAATACAAACAATTTAAAAACATCACATATAAAACAGTTACAAATCCATATGTAGACCGGGATCAATGATCCCCACTTAAAATGCTTCTTGAGAAAGGAAGGTCTTCACTGGGCACCCACAAAACAAGAGGCATCTGCCTGTTGTCTTGCGGGAGGCCGCTCCAAAGGGATTTGTTGTTCTTTAAGACCTGGGAAGTTGGGGTGAGTTACAATGGAGTAATCAGCAACAAAGGAAGCATGCTTTTATACAACAAATTGTTTTTGTATGAAATTTTCTATTGTTAATTTTTATGACATTTTCTGGAATTGTGTGAAAGCAGGAAAGGCAGGATATAAATAGAATGAAGTAGCACCTTAGAAGCAAAGCTTCAGTTTATATGTCTGTCTTATTGCTAGATAGGATTATTAGCTGTTCAAACAAGATCTTTTCAGATTATGGGAGTGACTCAGGAGTGTCATTTTGCCTTTGGCACGTGGGAAGTGACCAGGCCTGGCAGATTCCCTGGCCCCTGGTATTCCCAATATACTTTAAATTTTGAAAGACTTACTATTGTGTATGGGACTGGTGTCTTTCAATTTTGGATTTGAACTAGCTTGTTCGGGCCCTAGACTGGACCATCACTATAATGCTTAAGAATTCTATTTTTTGTGAGAACATGTTAGACCTCTTAAATTCTTTCTTCCAAGGGCCATGATACTACCACTGCTGCTATGAACTGGTGTATTTACTTGCTTGCAAGTCATCCAGAAGCCCAAAGGAAGGTTCACCATGAATTAGATGAAATTTTTGGTAAGTCTTTCTTTCCTGTGGGTATAAGCCTGGGTAAGTTTAGAATGCAGGGCTACTTCTAGGTAAGTGCTCATGAGTATCACCTGACTCCTCTAATGCAGAGATGGGGACTCTCTGGCCTGTGGGCCTAATTTGGCCCAGCACAGACCCCAGTTAGGCCCATGAGGCTGTTTTTCCTCAAACCACATCCACCTGCTGCACGTTTGATGTCATATGTGAATGGAGTAGGTGAGGCTGTGGTTACAGAGGGAGCTTAAAGTGAGAATGACTGCTGGGATTGGTTGCCCTAAGAAGTTCCTAGAGAGCAATGCTGTCTACAGGGGGGAAATGTCTGCTTGCAGATGTAGTTTTTGAAACCATGCAGCGTCTGCAAACAGGCATCAAAGGAGATTTCTGTAATTGCCAATTGGTTGGTTGGGGGTTACAGCAAGATCCTGTGAACTTTGAATGGTGGGCAGCCCCACCAACTTTCAAAATTGATCTGTACTGAGAAGAGTAAGGGTCTGGTCCCCTGGTCAGTTCCTGTTCCCCACCACTGTTCTAAATCAGGTGGGGAACCAATGGTCCTGAAGACATTCCTGGACTCCCAACTTGCTTTAGCCTCAGCCAGAATGGCCAGTGCTTAGGAAAGATGGGATATATACTCCACTAACTTCTTCTGGAGGGCCACAGTCTCCCCATTCCAGCTCTCAGAAGACAGCTTTAAACAAGAAACCTCTCTGGTGGGGCCTACACTGACTTGGCTTACTCATCATTCTGCAGATAGAATCCATGATGCATATGATCCTGTCTATTCACCCAGTAATGGCCATCCATTGGTGTAGCTCTCTTAACCAGATCTCCTTGGGCAGCTCAGTTAGTCCAGCCTTGGTTAGCTCAGTTGTTTAGCATGACACTGGTAATGCCAAGATTGCAGGTTTGATCCCTGTATGGGACAGCTGCATATTCCTGCAATGCAGGGGTTTGAACTAGATGATCCTCAGGGTCTCTTTGAATTCTATGATTCTATGATTCCTATATAAGATGTGCTGTGGTCTTCACAGCTTCAGTGTCTGTTAGCAAAAAGGAAGTCTTGATGAGTCAGCGTATTGTTTTATCATAACCCATGGCTTAGGAAAGTGTGCTGACTTAAAGCTATCCAGGCTAACTTCCTGAGAATAAGCACAGAAATGAATTATGGAAGTAACTGATCTAGACCTAAAATTGCCCCCTGGTCCATCACCATGTAAAATAGCTGTAAGAACTTCAGTGTTAGGATGCATGTTTTGCTGGTTATAAATAACACATGTTTGTCTCGCTGCCACTGGTTTTATAAGGGAACTCTGATCGTCACGTCACAATGGACGACATGAAGCAACTACGATATCTGGATTGTGTTATTAAAGAAGCTCTTCGCCTTTTCCCTTCTGTTCCACTTTTTGCTCGCAAACTGAGTGAAGAATGTTATATTAGTAAGTAGTCCAAGTGGGTTTCTGGCTTGATGAGCTATGGCTATAAGCTCAGGGCTAATTTCATGAATATCTGCTCTTTTTTCGCAGGAGGATTCAGGGTACCAAAGGGGGTAGATGCCCTAATTCTGCCTTTTGCGCTGCATAGAGACCCTGATGTCTTCCCAGAGCCTGAGGAATTCAGACCCGAGCGGTTTTTCCCTGAGAACGCGGCTGGACGGCACCCATATGCATACGTGCCTTTCTCCGCTGGGCCTAGGAACTGTATTGGTACATAAGAGAGTCAAAAATCTGTATCTGGAAAGGAAAAAAAGGGGCAATCAGTCAGTGGCAGGAAGTGTTTAAAGGGGAAGAATATTTAGACATTGGCATTAGGCATTTAAAGCAGTGTCATATCCATTTAAACAGTCTGGCTTCCTCCAAAGCATCCTAGGAGCTGTAGTTTAAGGGTGCTATGAGTTGTTTAGAGAATTCTGGGAATTGTAGCTCTGTGAGGGGAATCAACATCTCCCAATAACTCTCAGCATCCTTAACAAACTACAGTTCCCAGGATTCTTTGGGTGGGTGTGTGCCATGAATTGTTAACAGTATCATAGTGCTTTAAATGTATAGTGTGAATGCACCTCAGTCTAAAGTTATTTCTGCATCAATATTATCAGTCCTTCCCTTCCAATTTTTCACTTACTCCTTCCAATGGCTGCAATTCCACTGCCTCACCCTCTCTGTGTTTGTTTGGTGGTTTTGTATAATTACAGAAAAGTGTTTAAGGATTTAAAAATGAATCTGAGAACCTGACCTCAATGTCACATGACTCATGTTGAATAATAATAAATATGTATTATTGCTCTAGTTAATTGTATATTGTCATTGCTTTCCAATTCCTCTGCAGGTCAGCGCTTTGCACAGATGGAAGAAAAGACTATTTTAGCCACCATCCTACGGCGCTTCTCTGTTGAAAGTGCACAGCGACGTGATCAACTTGACCTTGTAGGAGAACTGATTCTTCGTCCTGATAAAGGCATCTGGATTCAGTTGAAAAAGAGAAAATAAGTTAAAATAAGAACCCTCAGGGAAATTCCTTACCACCTTGCATTAGAACTGTTCCAGACTGCCTAACCCTTCCTGGACTTTATTTTTTTAACCAAGATTGTGTTGTTGCTTATTACAGGCCAACAGCTGCATTTTAGAAGCAGATGATTATTGAAATGATGGGTTATTCCAATTGTCTTTGCAATTTGTAGGCTTCAGCCTAGGTTGCCACTAGCTGACTTTCCTTAATCCTAAAGAAGATGAGCAATACAGTGGTACCTCGGGTTATATACACTTCAGGTTACATACACTTCAGGTTGAAGACTCCGCTAAGCCAGAAATAGTACCTAGGGTTAAGAACTTTGCTTCAGGATGAGAACAGAAATTGTGCTCCTGCGGCGCGGCAGCAGCAGGAGGCCCCATTAGCTAAAGTGGTGTTTCAGATTAAGCTCAGTTTCAGGTTAAGAACAGACCTCCGGAACGAATTAAGTACTTAACCCGAGGTACCACTATATGCTTAATTTTTTTAAAAAAACCTCATTCATTTCAATATTTAAAGACCTTGAATATATGAGAAAAATTAGACCTATGTTTTGTAAGCATACAGACAGGATGGAGGATCTGCTCCTACTTAGCCTCTGGTTTGCCCCTGCCCAATTACATTATAAGGTCTCTTACAGTCTAGATCAAGTGTTATGTCCTATGGTGATTTTGCTTGAGGATGGTATCTAAGTAAATTGTTCAAAAAGCACACTAGACTTTACTTGAGCAATGTTTCCAATTGAATGTTAATGGATTTTACACATATGCATCGTTATACATGGTGGTCTGTTGTCCACTTCTCTCTCTCTCTCTCTCTCTCTCTCTCTCTCTCTCTCTCTCTCTCTCTCTCACACACACACACACACACACACACACAGACACACTTTTATTTTAGTGCAAGTGACCTGACCAAGAATGTCAGAAACGTGGAGTGTTCCAGAAAAGAGACTGAACCTTTAATGCTAAGGGAATTAAGGTAGAAATGGCCAGTAGGCTAACGTGTTCATAAATGTATACACATATACATGCTGCATTATACAGCTATTACCCAGCTCTAGTTAACAGTTATTTACAAGTTTACATTGTGTGTCTGCTTCCATTTCTTACCCATTACTCGTTTTATTGCTGTTTGTTACCTGTGTAAATTCAACTGCTTTGCTGCCTACCTCCTGAACATTTCAAAAACAATCTGAAATCAGTTTAATAAAACTGAATATGACACTAAAAATAAATAAATACTGATGAAAACAGTGGAAATTGCCAGCGTTAAATTATGGAAATCATCTAGTGAATATGATCAGTTTTGTTGTTCTTGTTGCTTTCAGTCTGCAAACAATACAGAATTCATTACACCCCTCCCCCCATTTGCATTGTGTCCTTTGCACTGAAATGAAGGGGATGGAATAACATCATGACAGCGTAATTTATGTACATTACATAGTCACATAAATTATGCTTGTTACATAGTTTTGCCACAGCAGATAGCACGGCGAATAAAAGGTTTTGGCAGAAGGCGAACTGCAGTAGAATGGAAACAGCCTTGCATTTGACAAAGATGGTTGAATGGAAAGCGATGCCTTCTTACAGTCCTACTTCCAAGACTTTTCCTCTAGAATGGGTTGAGGAGCCCTGGACCACATGGATGCCATTGGACTCCCAACTCCCATCTGTCCTAGATACCATCACTGGTGGTGATGGATGATGGGAGCAGCATTTGGAGGCAGTCTCTCCATCTTTGTTGTAGAAGATGACTAGCTTTACAATACTATCCTGTGACAGGGGTTGGGTTGTTCAGACTCCTATGTCTGGAGGTAAAAGTGGTCCCTGAGAATAAAGAAGCTGGTCATCCCTGAAATAGATGAGTGACACATTTATGCATTTTTTTAAAAAAATACCAGTGGGCAAGAGTCACTCAGTTTCTTTCTCCTTGGCATCTCTGCTTATAGCCTCTATTTTTGTTTCTCAAAAGGCTCCCACCTCAGAGGTGCCAGAACCAAGTTTCAGCTGAAAAAAAGCCTTGGTGCATAAGCAGGCTGATGTGGAGAGAGGTGATTCTGCAAAGAACTGAGCCAAAATTTAATCAATCATAAATCTGCCCATGCAAAACATGGGGACTGCTGAAGGAGCATCTCCACCTCCATCCTTCTACCCTGACACTGAGGTCCAGCGTCCTTCTGGCGGTTCCCTCATATGTGACTGTAACATATGAGAATGCTGGAGGTGAAATAGTTAAACAGGTTACCCAATCAGAACCCAGGGGGGTGGAGTCAGAGGGACTATAAAACCAGCTCTGGGAGGGGCGAAGGGGGGGATCATTGGGAGTTGGGTGGTTGGTTGGAGTGGGAGTGGGAGTGAATTGGGATAGAGTCTGTGGGGAGGTTGAGTTAGTGTAGTGAAATAAACTGAGTCAGGAACAGTTAGGGGCTAGGAAGACAAGTAAATATCTGAGAGGTGGTTTAATGAGTGAGAGCAGGTAGTGGAAGTTATAGGTCTGGATAGGCAACCCCATGATTGTAATTGACTGATACCGTTTCTGAAACCACATGCTTGTTAAACTGCAATAAATAAACAGAAGTTTATGTTCCAATTTAACCCTGACTGGACTCAATATTGTACCAGGTAGGGCCTGGGTGGTGGCAGCTAGAAATAAAGTGGTGGCACAGGGATCAATAGACGGTGAAACGTCTGGGGACCCTGTGTGATCGCCACACACTCATTGCGAGAAGCCAAGTTACAGGGAACCAGGCAGAGGGCCTTCTCGGTAGTGGCGCCCGCCCTGTGGAACGCCCTCCCATCAGATGTCAAGGAAATAAACAACTAACTGACTTTTAGAAGACATCTGAAGGCAGCCCTGTTTAGGGAAGCTGTTAATGTTTGATGGATTACTGTATTTTAATATTTTGTTGGAAGCTGCCCAGAGTGGCTGGGGAAGTGCAGCCAGATGGGTGGGGTATAAATAATAAATTATTATTATTAGAAAATGCAGACCTGTGGAGCTTTAACAGAATACAGATAAATACAGTCATACCTCATGTTATGTTCGCTTCATGTTACGTTCTTTCAGGTTACGTCCCACGGAGACCCGGAAGTACTGGAAAGGGTTACTTCCGGGTTTCGTCGCTCGTGCATTCACAGAAGCACAAAATGACATCACGCACATGCGCAGAAGCAGCGAATCGCAACCCACGTGTGCGCAGACATGCCACTGCGGGTTGCGCTCTTTTCATGTTGCGAACGGGCCTCCGGAATGGATCCTATTCACAACCAGAGGTGCCACTGTATTGATCAGTCTGGAGAGAACAGGACATGTTCCTGTGTGAGCACATGCTCACATGTGTGTGCTTGTGGACTGGATCAGTGGTGGAGCTTCATGCTCTGGCACCAGGGGGTGGAGAGCAGGTGGGGCGGGGCTGGCGCACGTCCCGGGGGCATGGCGCGTCGCCCGCAGGGGCATGACATGATTCCTGGGGGCGTGATACACCGCCCGCAGGCGTGTGGCGCGCGTCCTGGGAGCGGAGGGGGGGACAACGCGGGCGGGGGGGCAGCCATGATGGCACCCCACCAGGATCGCGCTGCCAGGGGCGGTGTGCTCCCTCTGCACTCTGCTTCCTCCGCCAGTGGACTGAATCAGGACCTGCTGCTTTCTGACAGAGAAGTCAAAGTACCTAGAACCAAAGGTGAACCTACTTGTTTCGGCACTTTAGGCAGAAAATCCCACAAGTGCCTCTCTTGGCAGAACCACCCCCAACAATAAATTAAATAACTGAAATTGTGCTGCCCTTTCATGAGAGCCAAAACTGGCGGGTCTGAGGCAGGTGCCATTAGGAGGATACGTGAGGAATGTATATTGAATGTTCTTGTAGGTCAGCAAACTTTTTCAACAGGGGGGCCGGTCCACTGTCCCTCAGACCTTGTTGGGGGCCGGACTATATTTTGAAAAAAATAAATGAATGAATTCCTATACCCCACAAATAACCCAGAGATGCATTTTAAATAATAGGACACATTCTACTCATGTAAAAACATGCTGATTCCCGGACCATCCACGGGCTGGATTTAGAAGGTGATTGGGCCGGATCCGGCCTTAGTTTGCCTAGCCATGTTGTAGATTTTGATGCATTCCTTTTCTATGCAATGTAGTTGTTGTTTAATCGTTTAGTCGTGTCCGACTCTTCGTGACCCCATGGACCAGAGCACGCCAGGCACTCATATGCCTGTTGTCTTTGTCCATGGAGTTTTCTTGGCAGGGATACTAGAGTGGCTTGCCGGTTCCTGCTCCAGTGCAATGTAGTACCCATAGTAAACACCAGATGGCTTAGCTCATATAAAGGAGAGAAAATGACATTTTTCAGAAAAGAAAAAAAAACCCCTCCGGTGTCACCCGTTACGTCAGCTGAGAATCACTTTCAAGAAGGCAGAAGCAGTATTTACTGTGTGAGCTTTCCTCAAAAGTAAATATCACAGGCAGATAAACATTGGCAGAGGCAGCATGACTTATCACAAGTGGAATGTGTACATTTCCCCCTCTCCACCCCATTTTTGGGTACTGCAAATTGCATTTGTTCAGAAAGAAAAGTTACAAGTGCAGCAACTATCTCCAGGTAATGAATTTCCTTTATTGCTTTCAAATAAAATATACATCTACTGCAGGGCTTATATTAGATAGCTGGGAGCAAATCAAAAGTAGTAGTAGTAGTAGTAGTAGTAGTAGTAATAGTAGTAGTAATAATAATAATAAAAACAAACCCCATACCTCTGGCTGGGTTTCCCTAGGCAGTCTGGATAGCTTACAACATATATTAAAAACTGTTAAAAAAATTGTCAGAAATCAGGCTTTGTTAATGTTAGACGCATGCTTAAAAAAAAATCTAACTAAAGCTGCGGTATTTAATCAACCAATGGGCTGATATAAAAGTACAGCACTAACTGCAGTAACTCATTATAATAAATCTTAGCTGATAGTTTAAACAGATGGGAACAAAAATTATTCATCTTTATATAATAAAAGCACTATACTTTTTGAAATTACTGAGCAATGTTAATGACAACTTTTGATGCCCATTTTGTTAAACTCCTTCTGAGACCTTGGAAATGTGAGCTTTTGAGAAATCCCTCCTTATAGCACACTTTTAAAATGGGCATTGAATATTTTATTGCATTTATTTTTTAGGATGGCATGGTTTTCACAAACATGTTCTTTCATTCTGTTAATTTCTTCAGTCTCTAGCGGTAAGTACCTCTAGATTGCTTCTTGTATGTGAATATTTGTAAAGATATACCTAAATGACTTCATCGGACCAAGCTCAGAAAATAAAATGTGGAACGGTAATAGTTTATCTAACAAATAATACTGGAGGAAATCCAAATACTCTGAATTATTAATTCTAGGGTAGCCAAATTTCAAAATATTTTGCATCCTCCAATGCTTTTTTCCAGAGGAAGCTGGGGGTTTCAGTGGTGACTAATGGTGCCTCTCTCACAGTTTTGCTGGACAGTGTTAAATTTATACAGTGGTACCTTGGGTTAAGTACTTAATTTGTTCCGGAGGTCCATACTTAACCTGAAACTGTTCTTAACCTGAAGCACCACTTTAGCTAATGGGGCCTCCTGCTGCTGCCGCGTCGCCTGAGCACAATTTCTGTTCTCATCCTGAAGCAAAGTTCTTAACCTGAGGTACTATTTCTGGGTTAGCGGAGTCTGTAACCTGAAGTGTATGTAACCCGAGGTACTACTGTACTGGAGAATTTAGGTTTGAGCAATTACAGCAGATTAAAACACTCAATTGCCCTCTACTTACAAAAGAAACAAGAAACAGGGCTTTTGTGATTAGGAAAGTTTCCAACAGTGACAGTGCTGGAGGGGAAAATGGGACATTCCAGGATCAAATCAGAAGCTGGAATGGTTTTGGCAATTCTGGGAATTCCCCAGGAAAGTCTGGACACTTGGAGGGTGCGCACCAGTAAGTTAACTTGTCAACTGTGGGGGCAGATGCTGTTCTGTTGCCAGCACTGAAATAAAATTTAACTGCCAGTTCAGTAGGTCTTTGTGCATGAAATAGAGGAGGGTGCCATTTTTAAAAAAATATTATTTTTGTATCAGGCAGTAAAATGTCTTGGGCTAGCCTTGGAGCTGACTGGGGGTGGGGATTTGTTACAACTCATAAATAATGAGGCGGAGCAATGAGCTTCCATCTACTCCAGCCATAACATAATGGTCTACTTACACCTGCTCTGGCCACCTATAAAGGCATGGCTACTTTTCCTGATATAAAAACTCAGAAAGGAGCAACAGGAACTGTAGTTCTGTAGAGGTTAAGAAATAGGGTTGTGTTAAAAATAGCACAGCGTGATGCATCCCATTGGTGCAAGGGTTTCTGTTTGCTCAGTGGGACTATGGTTTTTAACTTCCTGTGTTCTTCATAGGAACTCATGAACGTAAAGCTGGTTTATAAATGAAAAGGGTCGATGGGATGGAAAGAACTTGAAGTGCAGGGGGTTGAAAGTGGCTGGGTGGCTGAAGTAGGGATGCTTGCGGATTTCATTTGTTCCACACTTTGATGCTGACAAAACCGGTTTGCATTCCCTGACCCACTGTACAGAAACGTAACAAAACAGTCTGCTGGATTTTGCCATTCTCCAAACCTTGCAATTTGAAAATGAGCTCAGAAAATGCACAAAATGTGCAAAATACCCTCACTCGTTTTTAAAAAACACACACATAAAATGCAACCAGAAATAAGCAAAATATTGCAAAAAGGACTATGGCAAAAGCTTTTAATAGCAACTAGAAGCCTAACATCAGCCACATTCTGCCTATCTACCCCTGCTTTGGAAAACAGCAACAACTATGTACCATGAACATACGCTAACATTTTGCATTTTTGTGCCTCAGAATGTGTGTCTGAAATCTACGAAAACACATATTTTCAAGGAGGAGATATCTCTAAGGTTTATGCTCCCAATGCAGACTACTGCCAAATGGTGTGCACGTATCACCCAAAGTGTCTATTATTTTCCTACTTTCCAGGAGACTGGGTGAAAGATATTGGAAGGTAACATTCACATTACATCTCTGATTTGTTTGTTTATTTGTTCATTCATTTAGTGGCATCTATATACAAGTGACATTAACCTTTGTCTGCTTTTATAATTGCTCTTTCTGATTTGTATACATTATAAAATGAAATAATATACTCGAACAAGACAGGTACCTCCTATCCCAAGCTAGGTGTAATTGAATTTCAACGGCAGGGGACAGTTTTAGGAGGGGACGGTTGGTGGTTCATTTTGTTTGTTTTTACCCAGGGAGGGGGTTTCTTTTTTTCTTTTTGCATAGTTCAGAAATCCACACTATAAATAAATAGCTAGATAAAGGGGAAGAAAAATAAATGCACGCTATAAATGAAGGGGTCCTTTCCAATTCTTTGATTCTATGATTCTATAATCTGTTTCTCTTCTCCTTTCCTTAATGTCAGGTTTGCATGCTTCCTGAAAGAGACTGATACTCAAGCGTTGCCAAGGATACCCACCAAAGGGGTAATCTCTGGACATTCCCGGAAACAATGCCCTGGAGTCACTGGTAAGGTCTGCTGGTTCGGAGACCCTACAAAGCAGCCAAAGGGACATAGGAAGCAGCCTTATACCAAGTCAGACTATTGAGCCATCAAGCTCAGTGTTGTCTACATCAGTGGTGGGGAACCTCCAGCTTGAAGGCCCAATTCCCCCCTCCAGGCCTCCCCATCTGCCCTACACCTGGTACCCTATATCTGATGTCACACATGGGGCAGGTAGGGACATGGCTTGGCTGAAAGGGGGTTTTCAGGCAGTGGCAGTCAGCTAATCAGTGGTGCCTGCAAAGTCCTGTGCACTGGGGTCTGCAAGTGTCAACAATCATTTGATCCCTGGGCTTGCAAAGCACTATGCACTGGCCCATGCAAGAGCCAATGACCAGACGAATGGGCTTGCAAAGCACCGTGCCTTTGCTTTCATGGTATGATTTCAAACCATGCAAGCAAAATCTTGACATCAATGAGACATCAGGTGATTGACAAATAGCTAGGACCACCTACTTCTCAACCTTGGCCCCTGGTGGGGTGGGGGAAATAAGGATCTGCTTCTATGCATCTTTACTCGGAAGGAAATCCCACTGTGAAATACTACTACTACTACTGCTATACATGTGAATTGCTGCCCTGCCTGAGTAGGATCTACTTCCCAGGCTGTCAAGTTCTGAGATCTAGGGGGAACAGGCTGTCAGCTCAGTGGAAGACCACGTAACTAAGAAGTTGGATCTGGGTCCTGGGCTTTATAAGGTGTGATGCATTGGGATTGGCCCTTGGGACTAGTACTGGCATCTAGGAGTTGCCCTTGAAGTCTGAACCTCTGCCTCTCAAGCTTACTGTTGAAACAGAGCAGTGTGGGCCTTGGGGTACGGCACTGATGCCTGGTTGCTGGGAGAGAGAGATGCCTCTAGATGCCTTGCTATTGGTGTTCATCTGCATTTGCAGATTGCTGTTGTCCTTCTGCCCCTCTCCAGCTTGCAGCAAGGAAGTCCATGAAGGGTTGGATATGCGAGGAGAAAACTACAATATAACCACTGAAGAAAGCTATGACCACTGCCAAAAAAGATGCACCAATGAGAATCACTGTCATTTTTTCACATACACCACAGCTTCATTTCACAATGCACATTTCCGGTAAATAATGCCAATATGCTTTTTAATTGGACCCAATGGACTTCTCAGTACTATGGATCAGATAGTTCATTTTTCTGTATATGGCAAGTGGACTACAATGACTCTGATGCCTTTGCCAGGCAGGAAAACAGGGACCACAGGCTGTTTGCTTCAGGATCAATCATCTGCCCATAGAATTAAAGGTAACAAATTGTCACTTACCCACCCTTGGCATTTGGCCACCATGCAATGTGGCCTTTAGGCTGCATAAATTTTCCCACCCCACATAATGGCATCAAAGCCTTCTGCTATGCCAGCCCTTGGCCTGGATTCAGGTCCCTGTACTAGTGTGAGGGTATAAATACTGTTTCTTATGTTACTTCTGGGGTAATAAACGTGGTCATTAGGCTGTGATATTCATGCCCTCTGCCCCCATCTAGTTAAAGTTGGTTCTGAAACTGCTATGACTTGAATTAGTTCTCAGGTTCCAATGGAACCAGGGGTTGTGGGTTTGTTGCTCCTTAACAAGCTACAATCAATGGCCTACCTGTTGTTGGCTTGCCAACCATCACACCAGAGAATGGCATACTATTCAATCCAGATAAAACACAATGAACCAGAAAATTTCAATGAAAGGAAGCATTTAAAGACAATTCTCACATTTCTGCACTCTAAGTTTAGAGATCTGCTGAAAATTCCCCAAGCTCTCCTGTACAGATCATGTATTTTTGTCAGTTTTTATAAAATTGTGCTGGCCATGTTGAGATTATATAAATTAGTTATGGTCTCTGGCTCATGGTGTATAGACCCTAAGGCTGCAATCCTTTAACCGTATACCTGTGAGCAAGCCCCTTTGACCTCATTTGGACTTATTACTGGGTAGACATGCATAGGATTGCATTAGCAGTAGTGTTCGCTGCCTAAATCCATCCTTCTTGCAGTAGCTAACAGTACTTTCTGTTGTCATAAAATGGTATTAAATTGTCTGCAATAGCACAAGCTGAATTAATCTATTTCAGAACAGTCAGTTTCAGTATTCTCTACTGTGGATTTAAATGTGCTAGTGACCCAGCACTTTGGGAGTCAAATACAGATTGTTCGCAGTGGAATTGCATTACTCACTAATCTTAATGAAATGAAAAAATATCTTGCTCAAATCGGTTTGCAAGATACCTTACAGAGAACGGCAAGTCCTTGTGCTTTTTCTCCTCCTTGTTCAAAACTTAACGATGAACCCCCATACATTTATTTTGTACATTTATTTATCTCTATTTCTTTTATTTCCCTAAAAATGACAAGCAGTATGCTGGTATAATTTGATGCACATAGATCAACATTCTACTGCAATCATTTTTCAAGCAGAATGCATATGAGTAGAGCATTATTAGTGACTTCACATGCTGAAATATTTTATAGCAGCATTATTCTGATACCTATCTACCTTCAGAGCACTGTCAGTGTGATTAATTGGATGATGCTTGTGGATTGCTATTCTAATAACAATTAAAATCCAGAAGCACACAATCAAAATTAGTACCTGCTTTGGTCTTTTTTAAAGTTGCCCTCTATTTTCCACACTTCAGGAGATGGATCAGGTTCTAGATAATTTCCTTTAGTAAAGCATTTAACCAAACAAAACATACAACTATCTGGATTTTGCTTCTTTAATGCAGGCCTCTCTATCTGGCACTCTCCTCAGGGCTTGCCCCTCTCACTTGACCATGCCCCTCCTGGCTTCATTCTACAGCTTCCTGGCCTGTTTTTTCCTGACTAGACTATATCCCTGAACTATGCCTTTTATTTGTCTGGATTGAGGACTGAGAGATGTGTCTGTGTCTCTCTGTGTAGAAAAATCTCATTTTTTGTTTGGTTGGAATGTAGCTGATTGTACAAAGGTAAGAGTCACATCAATTGCGTCGAATGCCTTTTTCTCTGGTCCCACCCACCATTGGCATGCAGACCCCTAAAGTTTGTTCTTGAGGGGACATGGCCCTCAGGCTGAAAAAGGGTCCCTATGCCTGACATAGAGGAAGGCAACAAATTTGGAAAACAATCAATCTGAGGCTAGATAATTATTTCCTTTCCTTTGACTGGGTTCCTATTTCATGCTAACAGTTTAAATCTCCTTTCTCATTCAGCAATAAATGCTACTTGAAGTATAGTGCCAAAGGAACACCAACCAGTATAAGGTATCTAAGTGGCGTTATGTCAGGATTCTCATTAAAGGCATGTCAAGGTGCCGATACAGGTAAATAAATATGTATATATTAAAAGAAAACAGTAGGGAGAGTATATTGTAGGGTGTTTTGATACAATGCCATAGGTGTAAATAAATATATATTCCATACAGCAGCCATTTTCAACCTGGTGACCTCTAGATGTTGCTGGGCTCAAGCTTTCATCAGCCTCAACCAACATGGCCAATGGTCATAGATGATGGGAGTTGTAGTCCAACAATATTGGGAGGGCACCAGTTTGAGCCCCAAATATTGCAGGGCTCTGACACGCACAAGATGATGACGTGGATGTGACTATGAAAAAGAATGGTTATAGTAAAGGTTATTATCCATTGTGCCAATAACATATTTGAGTTATAACATAGTCAAATCTTATCCTGTTTTGCTAATTTATTCTCACAACAATCTTGTGAAGTAGTTATGCTAAGAGATAATGACTTGCACAAGCCATTGAATGAGCTTTGTTGCTGAGTTGAGAATATGGATTCAGGGAATGAAGGGTCAAACAGTGTCACAATACACAAATTCTGGAGAATTTGACTCCATAACTCTCAGACCAAAGTGATATTATATGTGTGTGTATTTCTTGATTTCATGGATGTGTTTGACTATACACATTCATTTTCTGTGCAGAGTGTCGGATGGAGATTTTTCAGGAGGAATTTTCTGGTGTTACGGTTGCAAGAGTTCTGACACCTGATGCCTTTGTATGCAGAACAATTTGCACTTACAACCCAGTCTGCTTATTCTTTACCTTTTATGATAGTGATGGAGATGTAAAACACCCAAAGTGAGTATTACTATCAAGTAGTCTGAAGACATCATGCTTCCTAATAACATGTTTAAAATTGTAACAATCTCTTTGAAATATTTATCCTTAGCCCTTGTGGATGAGTGAATGAATATCTGGGGTGTGTGCATGTGGCAGCCTGCCTCCTATTTCTCCACTCACCTGATTGTTGAGCACTACAATTCCCATCATTCCTGACCTCTGACTGTGTTAGCTGGGGATGATGGGAATTGTAGTACAAAAACAGCTGGAAACCCATGTTTGGGAAACCCTGGTTTACAGAATCAGAGGATATGATGTATTCAGAATGCAGCTGAAGAGGCCTAGAAGCACTTTCAGTATGCAATCAATACTATCACTGATGAGTTTGTGTTTGTGTTTTGGCTTTAGATTTACTTGCCAAATGATGAAATCAATAAATGGCACACCGGAGAGTTTTGTAGAAAGACGAGTTAAGTCAGGTTTCAGTCTCCTAAGCTGCCGGACAGCTACACCAGGTAATGCATAAGTTATGCTGTCCACAAAACAATTTCATGATTGATGAATTCCTTGCCCTTATCATGATAACAAACTGTTTTTATTTTATTTTGTTTGCAATGGTTACAAACAAAATGGCAGCCTGTCATGTTATGGCTCACAACAATTTAAACTTTCTGGGGGAGCAAGTGAAGGCAGACTATGTCAAAGGAAGCAAGGAATGCCAACAACTTTGCACAGACACGGTCCGCTGCCAGTTTTTTACATACGATTCAGACCCAGCATTGTGCAACCGAGAAGGGTAAGTTTCTGAAATAAATCAACAAACGAACATCCCACAATATTAAGATTTACCCATAAACTTTTCCTTGCTGAGCAATATTCGAAAATTGAATCCGCCTTCCTTTCTTTTCTTGATAGCAAATGTAAATGCTACCTAAGAATGACTGCCAATGGGGCACCGAATAAAATTGTGACTGAGACGGGAAAGGTTTCTGGCTATTCTTTAAGATTGTGTCAGGTTAAAGACAGACTTGGTGAGTCAAAGTTGGAAGTATGTGGTTAACGTTTCTGTATGTGGGCTTCTTAAAGCATCTGGCTGGCTGGCTGTGGAAGCTAGACGGGTGTCTAGATGCTAGACGGGTTAGCAGGGGCAGGCGGCCTGGTGGCAAAGTGTTGCAGTGGCATGGCTGCTGCTTACCAGAATGGTGCTGAGGGTAGTGCTGAGGCAGACCTGTGTGGGTGCTCTGGTGGAACCAATCAAGCACATCTGCCAGTGTGCCCATGCACACCCGTCCTTGCTGCCACCCTGCCCTACCCCCCACACCATCCAGCTAAATTTTGGCAGCACTGCTGTTGAGATGATAGCAGCGCAGCACTATTCCACCCTGTCAGCCACTTCTCTTGGGATATCTTTGGTATGTTCCATCAGGCCTCTTATGTGCTTCGTTGAAGGTTTTGTCCTATATAAGAGCCATTAAAGTTCCCAGTTAATTAATTAAATTTTAGTCTAGGCACATTGCATAGTTATTGGGTGCTCACCAGAGGCAAAACGGATTTGCTTTCAAAATGCCGCCTTAAAATTATCTTCTCCGTTATTGTATATTCGCTATTCCCCATATATTGTTTTGTTGCTTTAATGATTGCTGAATATTTATTGAAATTTGCTACACCTTCTTGGCCTCCTATTATGTTTGAAATATCAGTAATTAATGGTATTTGCAAGCTGACATGCAATAGTATTTGACAAGGGCTTTCATGCAGTAGTGCTTAGTATTTCATTATAACAGATGGCTGACACACAATGGTTTATCATATGAGCAAATTTGACAGGTAAGCATAACATAATAATTCCTATTTGGTGCCAACTGAAGTAACCAGTGAGACAACCAAGTCTATAACACTACAAATTTTTGTTCATCTGCCCAATATTGTCTCCTCTGAGGTCTCTAATCTGCAAGGCTCTGCTGTAAGTTTATATACAGCAATATAGAATAACCTAAGGCTATATAAACAGACTGTGTGGCCCAGTTCAGGAACAAAAGCTGCCTATAATCCAGAATTAACAACTTTTGATAGATACCTTGATATCTCTTCTAACTTTGTAAAGCATACTTCATCTGTTTAATGTACCAGAGTCTGTCTGTTCAAAATGCTGCTCATGTCCCTGAACCTTCTGTGGTCATTCTGCACAAACATTTCTGTACAAACATTTCTGGGGTAGTTCTGTCTAGCTATCAAGTGCCCATCAGCTTCTGTTTGCTGGTTTGTGTTTACTCTTCTTCTTAAAAGGGATTGCATAGAAAAGGCCTCTTAGAGCTTAATTTGTGCTTGGACAAATCTTTCAATTTCCATTTCTCTTAGTTTCTTATTTTTCCATTTTAAAATTTAGTTCTTCACATTTCCAAAGCAGTTTTGCCACTTATTTATTTATAACCCCTCATAGAAATTCATCAACATTTGGGTGACATTTCTCCTAATATATGAATTTTGCATTCAGTTTTGATTCAAATGCACATTTTTTTTGCAAGCAGTTTTCCTAACACAGTGCACGTTCATAACTTATTTTCACTAATATATGTGAACTTGATTGAGAATACCTGCACTGGAGTAGAAATTTCACCCTTTCTAGTTTCTTCATTTAACTCTTAGCTCTGATAGGGAAGCTTACTGTTTGGTGAGGGAGACTGGGAATGGTTAGATATCATGAGTTCCATGCCACCTTCGAAAACGTATCACTTTCCTTACTGGAGTTGACAGCAGCTTTGTTTAAGTTTGGATTGGGGAAAAACAAAACAGGGAAAGAACTAAACACTCCTCTGCTTTTGCACTACTGCTCCAATCCTTGTGGGAAGGGACAGTCCCACACCTGCTGCTTGGTTAAAATGAAAGCATCAGGATGTCAGTGACCGGCTGTCCCAAGTCATGTCTGGTTAGCATTTGATTTCCTAAAGTCACATCCAGTTTGACTTTGAAAACAAGGGAAAGGACTCCATGGTGGATTGAATTGGTCTTCTGCCTGTAAGTTACAGGCCACAGAGTCCTTTTGTCTTAATAATGTATCCCACAAAGGCCTGAGAAATACACAAGATTGCACCTAGTGGATACAAGGAGAACTAGAATCGTGAGGAGTTTGGATAATCTTAATTCAGAGTATCAGTGATGAAATATAGTGGTGACAAAATTCTAGAAGACCATTGGGAGGTTTGGGTTAATTCATTTGCCTCAGTGTAACTGAACTTGCATGCCTGTTGTGGTAAAAGCCCACATATAGTCCTTGAGAGAGGGCATAAAAGAAAGTTTTTATTTTTTTAAAAAAAATCATTAAATTTATTTTAAAAAACTTCAAAGTTTTATCATTTTAATCAACCTATGTGATCTGTTGCAATAAACAAAAACTATGAGGTAAAAACTATTTGTGCTAGAAAAACATTGTTGAGATTTAAGTATTTTCTTAGAATGTGTGAAGCAATCTGTGAATATGGGACGGATTGTTGGAGGAACAAATTCGTCTTCTGGAGAATGGCCCTGGCAAGTCAGTTTGCACGCAAAGTTATCTCTTCAGAGTCATCTATGTGGTGGTGCAATCATCAGTGACCAATGGATAGTGACTGCAGCCCATTGTACAGAAGAGTGAGTAAAACCTCTGTGAAGTAAGCAAAACCGAATTGTTTAAATGTTTCTAAGTTGCAAGGGATGAGTCTTGAAAACAGTGGGTGAGATCCAGTTATGTCCAATGCAAGAAGAACTCCTCTAGTTCAATGGGACTTCTGGTTTCTCCCTTCCACCCCTCCATCTGTTCCGGAAGGTTCCCCAACCTCCTGGAGTAGGTTTGCTACATGCATGTTTGTGAGGGGAGGATGGAGAAGTCCCATTATGCTAATGGATGCCCCCTCATGCTATGTTTGATGTTTCTCAGTAGCACCGGTGGCCTAACAACAAAGCACATTTCCCACAAATAGCAGCTCTGTGTTGAATTCTGCAGGCATCTGATGCCTGGAGAAAACCACGTGAAGAGACCTAGGAATGGGTGGCAGCAGCAGCAGCAGCAGGAGCAAGTCTAGAAACAGCTGAGGCCATAGAGTGTCTATGCAGTGGCTGGCCATTGCGCACCCCTAGCAACTCCTCACAAACCCCTAGTGATGCTGCCTGCCCTCCTTCCCTGCCCCACCCCCACTGGGCTTCCTCCAAGCCAGCTGAGGTGGCGCTTTTGTCTGAGCCTCTACCTTTGCCTCCAGCCTCCTTCCTCCTCCTTTCTTGCCTGCTGAATGGCATGGAGTCACTGCCCTGCATTCCCACCGCTCTCTGGCTGCTTGTTCCAGAAAAAACGGGAATGAGTGGCTTTCCCCACTTTCTGCTGTTAGTCCTGCTCTCATGTAGTTTGAGTGAATGAGTGCCTCCCCATTAATCCAGGATGCAAGGAATGAGGTGAACTGCTTCCCTTAGTGTGTGTTAGCCTTGCTCTTGTGCTTGCTTGCTCTCCCTCTCTCACCATTGTGTGGGGTGTTGCACTTAGGTTAGTAAACTGTGAGGGCATTTTTGGCTATGCTATGGATGTGTGGAGCTGGTGGCACCTTCTCCTAAACTACAAATGAACAAGCCAAGTAAGTGCATGCACAGTAGGCTTGCCTTTTCTTCCCATGAGCTTGAATGCATGTGAGATAAAACCCTCTTTTTATAGGAGTAAAACATGACAGTGGAGCATCATTCTATAGTTTTCCTCAGGTGGCAAAATATCTTGGACCATCCCTGCCCTGCAGTATTGGTGAAAACTGTCCATCTCACTAGAGAGATGACTGTACATGAAATTACTGGACTGCTAGTGGGAAAACTTAATAGTAGGGTAGGAGGGCTGGGGGGGAAATCACTCCTGGCAACCAATGCACCCCTTTGGTTTCAGATAGTACATGGGTAGACAAGTCTAAAAAATCTGGGACACATGGTCCTCTAGCAGCTATGGTGTCTCATTTACCAGAAGTAATCTAATTAGCATGGGTAGGCAAACTAAGGCCCAGGGACCGGATCCGGCCCATTGCCTTCTAAATCTGGCCCACAGACGGCCCGGGAATCAGCATGTTTTTACTTGAGTAGAATGTGTTCTTTTATTTTAAAATGCATCTCTGGGTTAGTTGTGGGGCATTGGAATTCGTTCCCCCTCCAAAAAAGTAGTCCGGCTGCCCACAAGGTCTGAGGGACAGTGGACCAGCCCCCTGCTGAAAAAGTTTGCTGACCCTTGGTATTTAGTGTTAACTCTCGAAGTGTATACTTAATTCTGACCAAACTAACCTATCTGGTGTATATTGTGCTCTAGGAGGCTTAGTTTGGTCAGCATTGAGTATGCACTTCCATAGGTGCATTGGTTACCAGATGTGAAATATATAGGCATTACCGTATTTTTCACTCTATAAGACGCACCAGACCACAAGACACACCTAGTTTTTGGAGGAGGAAAACAAGAAAAAAAATATATTCTGAATCTCAGAAGCCAGAACATTAAGAGGGATCACTGCACAGTGAAAGCAGCAATCCCTCTTGCTGTTCTGGCTTCTGGGATAGCTGCGCAGCCTGCATTTCCTCCATAAGACGCACACACATTTCCCCTTACTTTTTAGGAGGGAAAAAGTGAGTCTTATAGAGCAAAAAATACGGTATTTTCAGCTCTGCTACCCCACTATAAAGATTAGATTAGATGGATCCTTGGGCTGATCCAGCAGAGCTATGTGTTACCATGCTCTTATGTGTTATGAGAAGAAGGGAAAGACTACTAAGGCTTCAAGAAAGGCATGGGCATGTTATAAATGGCTCCAGATGTTATGAGGCACCAAAAAAAAAGCACAAAGATTATTGGGGGAGAATTAGCTGCTACAAAAATAGAAATGAAAAGAATGCAATACAATACAGTAGTTTAAAACACAAAGAAATAGCTGAATTTCTGTGTGGCAGGGATCTTAGGTTAGCCTCTCTAAATCAATGGAAAACAGCCTCATATTCAAAGCTTTAAATAAGCCTGATCTTTTAAAATTGTTTCTCTGCTTAGCCTTCTGGTAACAGATGTTTGGCGTGTTTATGCGGGCATTTTGAAGCAGTCAGAAATAAATGAAGATACCCCCTTCTTCAGAGTTCAAGAGATTATTGTCCACCCTAAGTATGAGTATTCAGAGACAGGATATGACATTGCTTTAATGAAACTGGACAAGCCAATGAACTTCAGTGGTACGTGAAACTTTTAAGTTTACTGCAAAATCTTAAGCTAAAGTAACTTGACTGCAGTAGCTTTTAACCAGCTATTGTTCCAACCAAGTAAAAATTACGATTGGCATTCTTACAGGAATGCGATGTAGTTTTAAATGAATTCTCTTTCCTCCACATTTAACTATCTACTTTTCCTTTAAATGGAAATTCAGCTTTACAGCAACCTATATGCTTACCATCTGAAGACAGAATGAATACAGAATTCACCAACTGCTGGGTGACTGGATGGGGTTACACAAAAGAGAGAGGTATTGAAAAAATAAAACTAAGAAATGTGAAATACTTATCTTTGGAAATGATCATGTTGAATCCAGAAAAGATGAAGTCATGCCAGGGAAAAATCCACATGCTCTGGAGGGGAGGGTTTCCTGTGACCTATAGGGTAGCAATTGCACTGATACACAATCTAGAAGCTTTCAATTTTGCACTGCCTATAAATATATAAATCTTTTAAATGTGTAATATATGTGGGGCCTTAATTTGATATTAGAAATTATGCGCTTAGTGTTTTCAAGTTGATTTTCCTGAAGGAGTCAGTGATGTGCAGGCTGGGCAGTTCTGTAACCAGTGGAAGTTGCATGGAAAGAAACATGCGAAAGATGTGCATAGAATCATAGATATGGAAGGGACCTCAAAGGTCATCTAAGGCAACCATCTGCCAATGCAGCATCCTTGATCTACGGTCACTCTCTGCATGTGTACAGATAAAGCAGACAGCCTACATAGTGGGTGGGTGGATATTTCAGGCTCCTGGGAGCTTCTAGTTTCTTGTGACAATTTAGTGAGTCCCGACACACAGTCTGGAAATTACTGAGCTAGGAGGAATTGGCAACATTGTTGACATCTCTCTCCCCTTCCTGCTTTGTGCCCTGTTTCCGTCATTTGTAACACTGTAGGTGAGATACAAGATACCCTGCAAAAAGTCCGCATCCCCCTAATATCCAATTTGGAATGCCAGTCACGATACCAAGAACACAGGATAACTGACAAGATGATGTGTGCTGGCTACAGAGAAGGTGGCAGGGATGCCTGTAAGGTAACAGCCCCCTTTGTGTTACTTAGGATTTATGTAATTTACAAATGTTGACCAGTTTAATTGCCAAAGTCTCCTGGGAATTGTAGTTTGGTGAATGAAGGTGATGAGAATCCTGCTAGAAATCCATTTCTGTCCCTCCTACTACAGCTCCCATGGTTCCCTGGGAATAGTTAAAGAAATAAGCATGTGCCAATCTGCACCATGTATTCTCTCTCCATTTACTTTTCAAGCTAACTTATGACTTGAGAAATCTAATCTTTAACATCTGCTTTGGCTTGTAACAGTGTAAGTGGAACTGGCCATTTCTGTCCCACTTTTCAGGAAATCGGTGTAACTATTAAATATGGTGGGTCCTGCTTTATATTGTTCTCTGTAGACGGGCCGGGGCAAAAAGGCTCCATTACACATATGGTGCAGTGAGCAGACTTGCTGGCACTGACTAAAGGGTTAAAGTAAAAGCATTCCATGTACCTTTGCCTGGCAAGAAGGCCATTTTCATTTCCTTTGAAAAATTAAAGGTAGCATCAAACAATGAACATGTGAAGATATGACATAGGTTTGGGTGCTTAGTTAATGCCAATTCTGCAGACCACACATAAATTAACTCTTATTTACCCTTGGTTTGAATTGCAAAAATATTAAAGTTCATTGGATTGAAATCAGCGCTTGTAATGCATTTGAGATTTACCACCATTTTACATTTAAACAGATTACGAACAGATTATTTTTGAGTTCTGTGACGTTACTCTAATGAAGAATATGTTTCTGCCCCTGTTGCGGTTTGTTTATACTCAGGAAAAGAGCTGCTATTGCAGTTGTTAATTTGGATGTCTCATTCAAGACCAGGACTCTCACATGGCCAAAATACTGACAATATGTGTGTTTCTTTTCTTTCTCTCTCTCTCTCTAGGGAGATTCAGGTGGTCCTCTCTCATGTGAACATCAGGGAAGCTGGTATTTGGTTGGTGTTACCAGCTGGGGTGAGGGATGCGCTCGTCCAGGTCAACCGGGAGTTTACACTAATGTGACTGAGTTTGTAGACTGGATTCATGAAAAAGCCTTGAAAAAAAATGTCCAGTGACCTAAACATATGGAAGACGACAGAAGAGGATGTCAGACAAGCAGCTCTAGAATTCTCTGAGAAATCTCTGAGAGGTTCTGTGAACTTGTGGTTTTTGAAAAGGCTAGTTAGCAGGGTTGAAACAAAGACTGAACTCATTTGACCTGTTGCATGCAATAAAAATAATAACCCCCAAAGTGGCAAATGCCTTTCACCCTGGTGCTCATATTGAAACTGACCGATGTGTATTCAAATTACAAAGGGGAATGAATGTACTTGAGCCAATCACTGCTTGACAAATGTAGTGTGGTGTGGTGTAGTGCTTAAGAGCGGTAGACTCGTAATCTGGGGAACCGGGTTCGCATCTCCGCTCCTCCACATGCAGCTGCTGGGTAACCTTGGGCTAGTCACACTTCTTTGAAGTCTCTCAGCCCCACTCACCTCACAGAGTGTTTGTTGTGGGAGAGGAAGGGAAAGGAGAATGTTAGCCACTTTGAGACTCCTTTGGGTAGTGATAAAGCGGGATATCAAATCCAAACTCTTCTTCTTCTTCTCCTTCTCCTCCTCCTCCTCCTCCTCCTCCTCCTCCTTCTTCTTCTTCTTCTTCTTCTTCTTCTTCTGGGACATATCCTACGTGGGTATTGTCCACACCTAAGCATTTCAGTGAGTTTTGGCAAGCATAACTCTACAAAGTAGAGTATGATTTCAGCCATAAATGCAATATTTAAGACTCATGGATTTCACCATGATGCTGATGTTGACTGCTCTGTTGGATCTATATCACCGCCTCATTGCTCCTGGGTGGCTTGCAACAAAATCCTAAACACACAATACAGTGGTGCCTCGCAAGACGAAATTAATCCGTTCCGCGAGTCTCTTTGTCTTGCGGTTTTTTCGTCTTGCGAAGCACGGCTATTAGCGGCTTAGCGGCTATTAGCGGTTTAGCGGCTTAGCGGCTATTAACGGCTTAGCAGCTTAGCGGCTATTAACGGCTTAGCGGCTTTAAGAAAAAGGAAACAAACTCACAAGAACTCACAAGACGTTTCGTCTTGCGAAGCAAGCCCATAGGGAAATTCATCTTGCGGAACGACTCAAAAAACGCAAAACCCTTTCGTCTAGCGAGTTTTTCGTCTTGCGAGGCATTCGTCTTGCGGGGCACCACTGTATAGGGTGAGAATCAAATCAGTGACAAAATACAGAAAAGAAAAGTTCTCACATTGAGGCAGCATAAAACAACCTACAGCCTGGATTTAAGGCAGAATTTAAAAGCCTGGTTGAATTAAAAGTTATTTGCCTGATGCCAATAAGGGGCACACACAAAAGGTGCTCTGTGAGTTTCATTGGGGAAGCTGTTCCATAGGTGCATTTCATTTCCTTGGGACTGCAATAGATTCCTAAAAAATTATCCACTGCAACCACTCATTTTTCTTGATACCGTTAAATTACCTTTCCAAGCTAAACTGTCTCTCGCTAACTGCAGTTACAGAGGGAGGGAAAAACAACAGCCAAGCACTGATTTATATAAGAAATAACTAACCAAAAGGTGGACCATCAGATTTTGCATGAGACTTAGCTTTGTTTTGTTCAGAACTTTCATGGAAGGGGGGAAATGTATGCCAAGCAATAGGTCTCCTCTTTCTTCCTTCCTGAAGCTGTTGCTTTTCATTAGTATGTAAAAGACCACTTTGGGTAGTTCCACACCCTCATATGTTTAGGGGTGGTGTTGGTGCCCCAGAAAAGGGCAATCTCTGTGGCAGCCCCTAAGTTATGAAATTCCCTCTCCATTGCATAGTTCTTGTCCTACGCTGAAGACACAACTTTTTACCCAGGCCTTTGACACCTGAGATATATGTTTTTATGGCTCATGCTATTCTTTTGATTGTAAATTGTTTTCGTTGCTTTTAGAATTGTATTTTTACATTGCTGTAACCTGCCCTCAGACCTTATGGTGAAGGCAGGTAAGAAATCAAATGAAAATAAATAATAATAACCAGCTTTGACCAGCAGGTGAGAAATCCTACAAATAAATTTAAAGAGGGGAAAAATCTAAACTGAGCCTGTGATGAGAGGAGGGTGGTTTTATTGGTGGATGCCTGGGGTGTGAACAGTACTTACTGAAGTACTTCTACACTGCAGAAATGGAAAAACTGGCAGGTGAAAATTTCTATTTTTCCAGTTGTAAAATATGGTGGTATTGGGAAAGTATTGCATCCCACCTGATCTTGAGGAAAGTTGTTCAGATCCCATTAAAAAAAAACAAGTATAAAGAAGGGGGGGTGATCACGTAGAAAGGCACAAGGAATTCATGTTGAGTATATGAAAGGGACGCGGGTGGCACTGTGGTCTAAACCACAGAGCCTAGGGCTTGCTGATCAGAAGGTCGGCGGTTCGAATCCCCACCACGGGGTGAACCTCCATTGCTTGGTCCCTGCTCCTGCCCACCTACCAGTTCGAAAGCACGTCAAAGTGCAAGTAGATAAATAGGTACCGCTTCGACGGAAGGTAAACGGCATTTCCATGCACTGCTCTGGTTCGCCAGAAGCGGCTTAGTCATGCTGGCCACATGACCCAGAAGCTGTACGCTGGCTCCCTTGGCCAGTAAAGCAAGATGAGTGCCGCAACCCCAGAGTCATCTGCGACTGGACCTAATGGTCGGGGGTCCCTTTACCTTTACCTTTATATGAAAGAAACCTGTATTCTGAACAAGTCTGCCAGTAGCAGACTATAGATATGGACTAACAATGCCCTCGTTTCCCCATTATGTGGATTTATCTGGCACATTTTGTGATGAGATGTGAGGTCACTTGCTTCTGGTTATACTATAACTCGAAAGCTGATTGAGCTGTCTGTTGCTTTTACACACATCCCCTGCAGTTTTCCTTGTATGCAGCCTGTTGCCTTGTGTGGACCTTTGCTTGATCACTGTTCTGAGAAGAAGCCTATTTTTTGTCTCCATTCTTCAAAAGTATTTCATAATGGAGGCAGCAGATGAGAGATATAATTCATTGCCAGCCAGCACCACGACCAAATCTAAACACATGACGAAACTAGGGACTCAGGTACATTAGTAAAGAAAATGTGTTTTATACGTGTTATAGAGTAGAGCTTTAGGGCATCACATGTTTCCACAGCTACAGGATGGAGAGATCTGACAGTGAATCTCCATCTTCTACATCAGTGTGGGAGCTCCAATGTACCCCTTGGCCCATAGGATACCTTCCCAGGGGCCATAGGATTGCAGCCTTAAGTGGCTGTCATGGTTTTAATTAATTTGCATTTGTAATCCTGTTTTCTGGCTGAGATACAAAGAGCTATTTTGGGTACACAAACCTGACTCCAGGAGCCTCCAAGTGCTTGGACATGCCAAGCAGAATTTATGGCTTTTTCCTCTGAGGGCTTATCCACACTTTGGATTCTGCTGCTGCTTTCTCCTGGGGAAAACTTCCATCTAGTGCTCAGTTAGAGCCAACAGCAATTCGGGTTTCCCCTGGATTGTCATTTGTTCCAATCTATCACTGAAGAGAGGGTTTTTCCTTGGAAAGGAGTAGGGCAAGGGGAAAACTGCTCAGACCCATGCCTAGAAAGTGTGGGTCAAGCAGAAAACTGCTCAGACTCACACTTTCTAGGTATAGCACAAACAAAAGTTGGAGTGAGCCCTGAATGAAAGACCACCTTGCCATTTTGGAAACTGCTTTTGCCCCTATCTCGCATATCAAATACCACCCAGTAAGGTAGGCTGCCGTTGAAGAAAGGCAGTCCAAAGCTCACTTTGGTGTGCAGACATACTTGCGCAGTTCTTTGGACCAAACCTAAACGTCTAGAAATACTTCAAAAAAAAGAAAACTAAATGTTCTAATACTGGCAAGTGAGATTATATTATTGTGGTGTAGGAAATCAGATTTATAACAGGATACTGACTAGACTTTAAAGGCACATTTTGTCTGACACCTGTACCATGGATAGTGCTAAAATACTGTTTTACATTCCACATTCTCCCCCCACCCCATCTATCCATGCCTAAAACAAACCTTTGTTCAAAGTATTTTGGCTTTTAAATTAGCTTGTCTCTTCCAATCTAGCAAAATTGTTTCTCTCCCAATAAAGAAGCTTACCTTTCCTTGCCATCAAAAGAACTTTTCTTTAAGAGAGATCAAATCTTAAAAGTCATTAAAATGTCTTTTGAGCAATTTTCTTTTGGCACAAAAATTGCTGAAACAGCTGCATGAGCCCCTTTCTTCATGTGGAAAGAGTGAAATTAAACAGTATGGGTAGTAACAGCCTTTCTCAAATTTTTAATGCATTCGTAAGTTTAAGCCTCACATTCCTCTGTTTTTGAGACAGAGACAGCACACACACTATACATTTAAGGCACCTTTAAAACAAAGACTTCCACCAATGATGTAGTTTGTTGAGGGTCCTGGGAACTGTAGCTCTGTGAGGGGTAATCTCTACTTCCCAGCATTCTTTGGGGAAAGCCATATGCTTTGAAGGCGACTGAAAGGTGTGTATGCAGCCACAGGCATTATGAAATGTGGGAGATTTCAGAAAATAATGATAGGGTATTTTAGAAATTAGTTTGACTTTTAAAAGCTATAGACCTGGCCACAGACTCATAATACACTCCTCGACCACCACTTTCCCCTCTCTGTGTTCCTCCCTTCTTGCTCCCATGCCACGGTCATTGCTATTGTTCTCTTTTGCTCTTCTACGCCCCTCCCCCCGACTTTTTTTGCTTTCATTTTCATCCCATGTTCTGCACATTTGCAGCAGGTTGCGGCTACAAATGGGGAGGCAAGGAAAGGATCAGTGGCAGGAAGGGGATGAGCAGGCGAGTGACGGGGTTGGTGGGATAGGGGGTGCCCCATGTTTCCCTCCCTAAATGTTGGGGTGTGTGCAAATCAGACAATTTTGGTTTCTCTCTTTAGTTCAGTTTGTAATAAAATAAAATAAAATAAAATAAAATGGTCCTCATGAAAATTCACCAGCATTTCAGTGCAAATGTCTTCTAATCCACACTTTAGTGTATGCAATTTCCCCAAATATACACATTTTTGCAAAACAATTCCGCCTGATGTAACACAATTTTTTTTTGCAAATTATTTTCACTAATTGTATGCATTTCCCTACACGCTTCACCCATATGTGTTCTGTTATTTGTATTGTTAACGTGTTTGGTGGGGAAGTCCTTTTTTCCTGGCTAGGTGACAGTTGGTTTCATGTCACTGTGGGACCTTCACTTGCAAGCTAAGGAGGGGTTGGATATAAAACTCCCAGTGTACAAAAGAATGACAGAAGTTACACATATTCTGATTGGTGGCTGCACATGCCTCACAATAGGCCGGGAGCACAGTGCATGTCAGTCCGCCGCCCCATGGCTTGTCACATGAGCAACTGTGAGGTGAAGTCCTGAAAAAGGTGGGGAAATTACCACACAAACATCCCATGCTTTTCCGGATTAAAGGGGAGAGGGTGCAAACGATTTTTGTTCCTGGCTAGAAGTAACACAGAAATAAGCACTAAACTTGCACTCTACTTCATCACAACCCATTTGTTTTCTGGAAGTGGCTTTTATGTCATGTGAAAGCTCAAATATAATGCACAAAATAAAAGTTAAGGAAATGTCAGGAAAAGGGAATAAATTGCCACATGAATGCTGCCATAATACTGTGATAAACAAGCATTAATATCTTTGTTGAATATAGTAACTATTTCTGACTGGCTTTGTACCACACTTATTTCCCCCTGTTACCAGGGCTATTGGCAAGTTAAGGGTGTAAGTGATATGCTGGCAATGGTGCAGGAAAACTATTATTAGAGTGCAAGTTGGGGCGTGTTAATAGCATAGGTAAGAAAATACCTCCCTCTCTAGACGATGCCAAACTCAGACATGTCAATACAGAGGACTATATAATACAGCAGTCTATTAAAATGGCATTTAATTAAATTGTTAGTTATTTTTATGACAGCTGAGAGGTTAGTTTGCTGAACTTGTCAAACTAGCACTGACCAAAGGAATACCATTATCTCTTGGAAGGTGTGTAAGTAATTAGGCCAATCTTTGCACAAATACAAGGTGTAAATGAAACTGGAAAGGTGCCCAATATGCCAAAGACATGCTTGGATGCCATTATAATTCTCCCCATGGAGAGCAGTTATTCTGCAGCTCTAATTTTATTCCTATACAGCCAGCATTCAAGGAATGATAGTAGTATTTTTGAACTCTCTGTGTGGCTGGAAGAGTTGACACTCATCATTCTAACTCCACCAGAAGTTCCTTCCCTGATTAGTAAATGTCTAATTCCTTCTCTGTGTTGATCTCTCCAAAAGCAAACAAAGCTATGAATCAGAACGGCAGCAGTCAAGGAAAGGAAAATGTTCATAGACTCCCAAATCAGACATATAATTACAATATAATACTATCTGTCAAGTCTTTCACAAACAGCAGGCGTATGAGTGAATGTTGGGGAAATACTCCTTAAATATTAAGAACATGAGCAGGCAGCAACTAATGTCACTCTTGAGGCTGCTATTAATCAAGCTGGTAAAAATCAAATCTACAGAAATGGGATTCAGATTTTAAAATTGGGATTATGTAAATGTCAGATAAGGGTAATATGGGCAATGTCACTGGAATGAACAGTTTAAAGGGCCTTGTCTTAAAAATGAAACACATATGCAACACCTTTGAAAAACGTGGCTTGGAATTTCAGTACCAGGTTGAAATCTCTCACAAAATTTTCATTAATTTGCCATCCCAAATGCTCTGTTAATGAAAGGTACAGCATATCCAACAGGGACATTCTGTTTCTTACCATGAGAGAATAGTGATCATTTTGGTTGCCGTGATCTTGCACAATTCTACTGTGTGATTTCCCCCCGAAAAAATGCTTTTGGGAGGTTGTGATGTCATGTGGTGCTCCCAAAGCCAAGCTTTTGGGCTCCATGCCCCTAACTGCTTTTTTTTGGGGGGGTAGGGGGACAGCAGCAAGTAATCATGCATGATCACAGCAACCAAAATAGCCACCGTGCTCTCACGATT